GTTGCGTGATTTTACTGATCACAAATAGAGTAAGTTTTTCTTATTTTCAAAGCCACTATAACTGCCAGTTTGCAGAGCTGATGGGAATCGTTTGGTTCATAAAATTCTTTTTGGAATCTTTTCTTCATTTTTGTAACCAGACCGGGTAATTTTTTTTATAAAAAGTTAAAGGAAAAGTTCAAGATTTGCCTTAAAACTCTGGTGTTGCGAGGGAATTTCTCAGAATTGTGTCTTTTTGGGGAAGTAGCAATTCAAGAAAAGCGGTAATTTTCAAATCTCAAATCTTTAAAATATTAACAGGCTAAAAGACACAGAAAAAGTAAAGGTCGGCCTTTAGATCTACAATTTAAATTTAGATCTACGTGTGTAACAGTTTGTGGCTTGAATACGGAAATTTTGATAGCTTTTTGATATTTGATTTTGATTTTGAGAACTGCTTTGGACTTTTTGTATCATTTTTATTTGGATTTTTACCCGTTGAAGCCGATTTTTGCGTATTCATCTTTCAATAATACTATTCGATGATACAATTCTATCGAAAATTCCATTTTTCACAGTTCAGTGACTTCAAAAAATGTGAGGACAAGGTTATTCCAAGAAAACCTGCAAAAGTCTGCCTGCAAACTTTCCCTTTTGATTTGATCACTTTCCCAGAATTTCTGAAAGTTTTGCTCAAATCACTTCAGTGGTTTTTAGAGATTTTCGATCTAAATGACTTTTAGTTTTTAAAAAAAGCTCAATGTAAAGTTTTTATGTTGCCCCTTAGAGACCCATTAAAAAGTAATGAAAATAAAAGTTCCATAAAAACTTTAATAGAGCCTTTTAGAATCTTTAGAGCTCTAAATAAAAAGGCTCTAAAAGCCTAAAGTTACTATAAAAATAAAAAAAAAAAAAAAAAAAAAAAAAACTTTACATTGAGCTTTTTTTAAAAACTAAAAGTCATTTAGATCGAAAATCTCTAAAAACCACTGAAGTGATTTGAGCAAAACGTTCAGAAATTCTGGGAAAGTGATCAAATCAAAGGGGAAAGTTTGCAGACAGAATTTTGCAGCCTTTTTGAAGCAACTCTGTTTTATGGGATACATTATAATCTATTTTAGATAAAATTGCAATATCTTAAGTAAATTTTGCTTGAGTAAAAACTCATTAAAGAAATGTGCGAACAGTTTTTTTCCTTTTCCTTCAATTTCTCCCACTCAAAACCGGAACTAGACTTTAGCAGAAACAATTTCTATCCACAAGAATGACGAGGAGAAATTTCTCTTGTTCGTCTAATCTATTTAACTACGGTGATTCATTTTTAGAGTTTGGTAAGTTCAGTTAACCAAAGTCTTCTCTTGGCAAAGAATTTTAATCAAAAATCTTCATGTGATCCATTTTTTCTCGTTAATATCTCCATTTCAAGAACTTATCCGTGCTTTTGAATCCCTTTGAACTTCGTAAAATAAGTCGTTTTCGGTTCTTGGGAAAATGAGTTGAGTCTTTTCTAAAAGTTGGCTTTTTGAAAATTTCCCAAGCTTTGACCATATGTAATCTTGTCACTGAACTCATTGAAATCGTTTTCGTTTTTTTTTGAAAACTACCGTTTGCTTCAATTTTTATATTCTTTGATATCCTCGCGAACCTCCAATCAAAGGTAGATAAATTAGATAAAAAATAGAGTGAATAACAGTCAATAACCCTTCTTCAAAGAAGCTCATAACAGCTCACGATGAGTCTCTCTGGGATCCCCCAAATTCGAACCTACATCTGTCCTATCAAGGCTAAAGCCAGGATCAGAAGCCTAGGCTTGTCCAGGCAACCTAAGCTTGTCCAGGCAACCTAAGCTTGTCCAGGCAACCTAAGCTTGTCCAGGCAACCTAAGCTTGTCCAGGCAACCTAAGCTTGTCCAGGCAACCTAAGCTTGTCCAGGCAACCTAAGCTTGTCCCTAGACAAGTCTGGAACTGTCCAGGCTTGTTAGATCTGTGCTTTCTTTCCAAAATCTCAATTTCCTAGATGCCTGGACAAGCCTAGGTTTCGTTTTCGAAAGTTGACACGTTTTAGAAAGCTCATGGGTTGAAAAGAGACAACTTTTGAAAGTTTAGTGCGCCAGAAGGCGTTGGTTTTGATCATAAAGTATATCAAAGAACTTAAAAACTTCGTTGCTATCTATCTTTTTTCTAAAACAATTAGTTTTTCAATTGGATAATCAAACTTCTATATTTTTTAGTTTGTGTTAATTGAAATTGACTTTGATTTTTGAATTCTCAGTTTTCAATTAGTCTTTTGCTTCAATGTTTTGTTGCTCAATTTAATGTTTTGTACATTTTTAAAAGTTTCATTTAGAAATTGTACAGCTCAGCCAATCACATGTTCGTTTTTGGTTTTTGAACAGATATAATCAGATTGACTTAATGAATCGTAAAAGTCACAAGATTATCCTTGAAAAGCTTTTGATAAACTTGCTCAAGCTTAACAAATCTTTTGAATAATATCTTTTGAGTTTTCAGTTTTCATTTAGCGGATAAAAAGTATGAGTACAGTAATTGGGAGAGGAAGGGGCGGGGTTTAGAAGGCGGCGAGAAATTCCCCATCTCACAAAAATAAGCATAGCTTCATTGGGAAGAGCCTAGAAAAGGGAAATTTTATTCAGTCTTTCGTCTTTTATTCAGACTTTGCATTTTCGAATCTTGAATGCAACAAATCATAAACTTGAGTGTTTTCCTTTTCCGAATGTTAACTTTTGTGCTAACTCTTCCACAATCTTCAATTTTTCCTTTCGCATTCTTTGCTTACCGCAAAGCGTTTGTTCACCTACAGTAATTCAGTATTTTCAATCCAGAATTGAAACTTTAGTGAACTAGCATTTTCTGATTGAAACATTCTTTAAACTGTAAACTTTTTAACTGAAGAATTTGATACGAACAAAATAAAGATATACTTGAGGCAAATCAAAACTTCTCACCTGAGCTTACTAAGAAATTTTGTCAAGTCAAGATCGAGTTTTCAGCCCTGGCTTATCTGATAGAATTTTCATCAGAGATTCTGAATCTGCTGTTAGTTTTTCTGTAACGCGAGATATGTCAAACAACTTTTAGCTATAGTTTTAGCTAGTTTTAGCTAGTTTTAGCTTTTAGCTATAGCTTTAGCTATATGTCAACCAAGTTTTAGCTTTAAGGCCGTTTTATGAAAGTTTTTAACAGTGGTTCAATAGTGGATCAATAGTTCAATCAATAGTTCAGGAAAAGACAAAAGCTGTCCGAAATCAAAACTTGTTTTTAAAAAACAAAAGTAAAAAGCTTCGTTAGCCAAAGGATTCGAACGCAGGCCATGGAAACTTAGTTGTTTAATAGACAGGACCACCATCCATTACACCATGACCATCGTTGAAAGACTGCCATGGCATAAGCCTTTTCCTCTCTCCGGAAACCTTTTTCTTTCCAATTTCTTCACTTTATTAAATGAGTATAGATAGCTTGTTTGCCAAATATCTCGCGTTACAGAAGCGTTACGGAAAAACTAAAACCGAATTCGGAATCAGCGTAAAAAACTGCATCGGGTAGGATAGGTTTCATTTGAAAAGGCCACAATGATCCAGTACCATCTCCTCGTTAGTGTTCAAGATCATTCTAACTACCTAATCTTACAAGTAGTTGAATATTTAACTAACTAACAGTAAAGTATTCCAATGGAATATGCGAATTATGCATTATGCAAGTTTTGGCAACAAGTTCTGCAGACGTTCTTTCAGTTTAATGAGAAATTTCCCTGAAAACTTCTAATCAGTGAAATTTGTTACAAATCACACTCATTTGGAAGGGAAATTTTGCAGAAATATGTCAGAAAACCAGTTTTTCTGAGAATCAGCATGTTTTGAACAATTTTATGTTCAATAGTATAAAGAATTTCATCACTTTTTATCGAACTTTCTCTAGATTTTCAGAAAAACTTGATTTTTGCCCGATTCTAGATTTGACTTGTCATTTTGAATGAGGCCAAAAGTGCAAAGATTCACTGAAACTTTAGTCGAACATTTGTCTTTGGTGAAAAAGATCATTTAACCTTTCTTGGAGTAAGTTTAATCCTAACAAAGCCTCGTTTTCTTAATTTTTCGAAATCGAAAACCTTTCCGAATGTTTTTGATCTAGGAATAACGAGATTAGCGTCAAATTTTCGGGTTTCTTTCCCGAAATTGGTTTTTTGAGCTTTTTGAGTCTATGAAATCAGTTTATTGCTTGAGTTGTTCTCATGTCTTTTTCCATTTTTATAAAATCACCGTCTGTTCCAGTTTATTCGATCAAAATTTGTCATTTAACTCTCGGGGGAATTTATGAAAATTTTCAAATTTCCTTTTTTCCAAGTTTAAAAGTGAATTTTTATTTTTTTCTGGTTTTTCTGCAGTTTTTTATTGTGGGCTTTTCTGCAGAATTTTTACTTTTCAGCACTTTATAAGTTTTTACTGCACTTTCCTTACTCAAATTTGAATTGTTGATGTCCATTTTAGTGTACTGAAGGTGTTCTTTGTGGTCAATTTTGGTAAACGCATCCTTTTTGGCGCACTTAGGTTGTAAGAAAGGTGGTAGAAAGTGGAAAAGATTGAGTTTTTATCTCGTAATATTCAGGAAAATATTCAGTTTTTCTCTCGTATTCTCTTAGCTCTCAAAAAGCGCAAACACACTCTTTCTAGTGCACTAAAACCATCATTTTGTCAAGAAATCAGTGGGCCAGAACGTGTACGTTTATCCAGCTTTCAGCTAATGTTCGCTGAACTCTCAAAAAGTGTAAACACCTCTTTTCTAGTACACTCAAATCACGTTTTCAAGCCTAGATTTGCTAGTGAATCAGTGCAAAAAAGCGGTGTTTCAATTTTTACAAGCACAAAGTACAATTAGAGTACACTTTGAAGTCAAAAACAGTGCAAAATGTTACAAAAAGTTCTACGTTTAACCAATAGCTTTCGTGTGAATCCTTTTTGTATTTTAATGTTGCCAAAAAAACTTTAAAATTTTCAGTTCACAAAATGTTTCCCCTTGCTCGATGTCGACAGATTCTCTGCTTGTTATTAATTTCAATCTTTCTGCAATTGGTGAGCAAATTTCCGGCTAAAAATGGAAAAAGAAGAAAATTTGTAGGAAATTAGACATTTCAAGTAATCTTCGCGTAATTTTCCATAAAAAAAGTACATACGGAAAAGTTTTTTTTGGGAACATTTTATAGGAAAATGCGGGAAATTGCTACAAAATTGCTACAAAATTCTAGGCCTAAAAAAAGAGTGATCAATGTTGCGGAATTTCGGGAATGTACCCACAAAAGCTGTGTCACTAGATAAAGAACTTATAGTTTTATATCGAGGTTAGATAGAAATTTGTCTTGTATTATTAAGTTATCTTGTTTTATGCAGCCATATTAGAACAAAACTCGGTCTCGAAAATGTGTGCAGGTGGCCGAGTGGTTAAGGCGTTTGACTGCTAATCTGCTAAAGCCTAAGCCTTCCCCCATGTGACTTCCAATCTTAATTCTTCAGGGTTAGACCAGGCCAATCAAGACCAAGGCAAAATCGTCTGACCTTGCTGGCCCATAGGGCCATCTGAACCATAGGGGTCTCCCTGTCCACCAGAAGGCCTGCACCTGACTCATATCTAGCTGATGAAACCTGATGTCTAACTCATGTCTAACTTTGTCTTTAGAGCCGGCTAAATCTCTCGCTACATCGCTGGCTTTAGTCCATAAATAAACTAACAAGAAAATACAATGCATAATAACTTTTCTATTCAGATAACTGCCAGCAACATCTATCCACCGAATTTCCCATCAAATCTCAAATACGATTTCTTGGTCAGAGACCCAAGTCATAACCCAGGTAAGGAAATTTTAGATAAAGCGATATTTCTAAAATCCAGTCTCCATATCAAATCTAGTAACTAATTCTTTTGGTAGCTTTGAAACAGTATCAAGTTGAGGACTAGACTTCCATCTGATACGCACTTTGAGCTTGTGATAACATACATTTTCGGGCACTAAACTTCACATTTCATTCTCAAATACGTTCATATTTATGAGCTTGTAGTAACACACACTTTCTGATGTACTAAAGTTCATATTTTAATGAGGAGAGGGGCACTGTCGTAACGAAAATGAAGAGTTAGGGCGGCAGAGCAATCGACCAAGAATCATCCAAGAAAAAGAAGATGGAATTAGGTTCGAGTTGGACTTTTCCCATGTCTAGTCCATGTAACCAACTTTGAGTCTAAACTTACATTATCTAAAAGTATTTTAAAGTTAAAATCACAAGTGCACAAAATTCTATAACTTGATTTTCTTAATAAATCGACATTTTATGAGCCTAAAACTTTTGCTGACCAAAAAATGAAAATTTCTAATTTTCTGATAGGATTTTGTCATCAGTAGGCTTTATAGCAGATCAGAGATTGTGAAGATTGAAAACATTCGCTTATCACTGGTCCGTTTATCCTTTATTATTATTATTATTATTATTGCTTTATCAGTTAATACTACATTTGACTTGTTTTACTACCAAAAAAATTCACATAAATCCTTTTTCTTGAGCTGAAGCCAAGATTGGAGTTTTGCGCAAAAAATTCATCAAAAAATGTCGCAATCTATAAAGTTGTACACAATTTTTAACAATCTTTAACTCAAAAATGTTCCTTGTAAACCTTTTGGCTCGAAATTTTCCCAAATCGGAGTCATTTCGTCACAAAACTTTTAACAATTGTCTTTTTCAAAGGATTAGTCCATTATTGAAAAGTACCAAAGCTTTGGAAAATCCCCTATTTAAATCCTTTTGCTATTTGGAGATCTTTCAAAAGATTTCTTTTTAAATACAGATGAACATTGAATAGTTTACAGGATTTGTGCGTGAGAAATGAAGGGATCTAATCTCGGTTTATATTTAGAAATCGAACCATATCAAGAGAAAAGACATCACCGAAATCGAGGGAAAGCCAAAGCGAAAGTGAGTTTTGCTTTGAAAATGGATAAAAAATGTTTCAAATTCACCAAATTCAAATATGTTTCAAATGAAAGTGTTTAAAATCAAATCTTGTGTAGAATTTGAATGAGTTTCTTTCACCAAAGATATGTCATAGCCGCTTACGAAATTCAGCCGCTAACGAATGAGGGTATTTCCGGGCATCCAATCAAAAAGTCACCCCCATAAAAAATGTTCATAATACATATATTTTATAATAAATTTTTGAAATTAGCTCATTTGGTTCAGTAGAAATTTCTTTTTGAGCCCAGTTTAGCCTAAAATGGCTATAAAAAATTTTCTACTCAGCCAAAAAACTTGCCTAATAGCTCATTTTGTAGCCAATTTGATGTAGTTTCTTACAGTAAAGCTACATTGAACAGGGCATTTGTGCCGGAGAAGGCGTTTATTAATTGTTGTCAGCGCCAAAGTGTTCTTTGAGCTCTAAAAGAGTGCAAACGCACTTTTCCTGGTGCACTCAGCGGTTTCCTAGCGATGACAAAAATGCTATAAATGTCTACATGGTAACCATAAACTAAAAACAGGTGCAGACTCTGTGTCACATAATCTACCTATAAGCCGGACTTGACCCTATTCGCAAATTTTATCACCGTCTGATCCAGATTGACAAAATAACGGTACACTTCATTACTTTACACATCTCCATTTCCCCAGATTCCTGATTTTTAAGTCAAAATTCCCCTTTTTGCTTAACGACAGCCCACGCAGAATTTTTTTTTTTGGCATAATTACAACCTTCTAATCGGAAAGATTTCGTGTATTCTGCTCTAGAAGAAACCAGCAATTTCGCGTTCGGTGAAACGTTTTAGAAAAGAACACTTTTCAGCTAACAAAATCCTGCTATTTTTGAGCTTAGCAATGAAATGATTTTTGGGAGAAATTATTAAGGATTTGGCGAGGTTTAAACGCTTTGTCAGCTTTGTCATTTGAGTTTTGAGGTTCTTCAGCTTTGTCATTTGAGACATGAAATATTATTTACCGAAACCGAAAATAAACTTTATTATAACTATATAAAAGAAAATAAAACGTCTGTCAGTCATAATACTTCCACTTCCACGGCGGAAAAAAGTGATTGATTGCAAGATTTGTTTGTTAAAACTATGCGCCGATCCCCAAGACACCCAGCTGGAATGAGAATTGAACCAAAAGAGCTAGAGTATGCTTGAACTTGAACTTGATAACTTGAAATGTTAGTCTGTTAATCTATCACTTTTTTTTTCCGTTCGTTTAGAAGCTGTGTCTTGGGGATCGTCTTTTTCCGTTAGTTTTTCAGATTCCAAAAGTAAGCCTTAAGAAAATCCTAAATAACTAAAAAGTTACACAATTTTCAAATAACTTTACAGAAAAGGATTAGTAAATTAAAATGATAAAGAAATTCTGGTGGTCGAAATCAAATTAAGCAAAATTATCCTAGTTTTACTGAAGAATTAAAGTTTTTCGGTTCAATTACCCAGGCTTTTCAATGGCTTTAAGGAGTTGGCCTTGCTTTAGCTTTAATTGCTTGGAATTTTTAAAGCTTTGATTGAATCTAGAATGTTGGAATGTTTTAAAGTTTGAGATATACAGCTGAAAGTGATTTAGACAGGTAGACGGCGGCATTTTGCCTCAGACTCAAAGGCAAATTTCTACCTTGATCCGTTTCTAATATTATGAGCCTAAAAACTCGTAGCTATTTCTAGTTTTTACCATAAAAATTCTCGATTCTCTCGATTTTCGTCTGGATCAAATTTTTCAACTTTTAAAGTAAGCATTTTTGAGCAAATCTGACTTTAAATTTCGATTCTCCATGACTTTTTAATCTAAAAAAAGTCTTTTTCGAAAAGATTTTAGCTTTGCGAGCGTTCAAAAAAGTTCAAAAAAGGCAGTTTTTGGTCATTTTTGATCTTTTTTGAGCTAAAATCTTTACGAAAAATCTCTTTTTGGCGGAAAAATATATGAAGAATCCGAATTGAGTTTGCCAGAAATGAAATCTTTTTTCATTTCCATTCCCCAGTACACATTTGATCGAAAATACGGTAAAATGTACTATAAACTTAAAATAAACTTCTCATTTAACCTGCATAACTTTTAAAATCTCATCATTTTGTTAAACTGACTAACTTTTAGGCAAAATACGTGTCGATCTCTCCAATCGACGGAATGCTTCGAATTTTGGACAAAGATCGACCCTGGGCACGCGCGATCAATCGATATTTATATTGAATATTTTAAATTTTATCATATTTTTCAAGAAAACCCCTACCTAGCTTCATCTAGATCATTCCACCGTTTTTCTTTCTTTTTCGCAAGATTCCATATGTTTGTGGAAAATTGTACGGGTTTTTGGAATATTCCACATCGGCGCGAAATAAGGCAAAAATGCGTTTTCTATAGGATTTTTCTGGGAGTACCTTTTTTAGATGCGGAAGATTGTGCTGATTCCGAATCTGAAAAAATTTTTCAAATCCCTCTGACAGAAATTTTTAAAATTTAGTTTTAGCGGTTTTTTGGCCATTTTGTATGGAAAATTTTGTGGTACCCTGCAGTTTGGGGCTCGTAACTCGACAACGAGGGTCTAGAACCAAAAACGAAGGAATAAGTTTTATTCTAGAGACTCTCACGAACATTTTGATACAAAAATCATAAAATTTGCTCAACTCTACAAAAAGTTATATAGAAAACGCATTTTCGCGCCGATGTGCATTCCCCCATATTTCTTTTTTCATCTCTGCCTTTTGTTTAATGGAAAATTTTGAAATAAATTTTCACAAATTACCTTTTATTTTTTGAAAATCTCAAATTACTTTTAAAAATTACACCTGCTATTTTGTCACTAAAGATCGGCGAGGGTGTGTAAACACAAAATAATATTTTCAACAATTAGTTCTTTCATTTATTTTGCCAAGTGATCAGTAAATTATTTTGCAGAAAGCAGAAATTTACGTTTTCTTTTAAAAAAACAAAGGATCACCTGGAATTTAAAAGGTTTTTCACTGATCAGTGGCTTTGTTTTTGCCACCAAAGTCTCACTTAACGTCATCTACAATTGTTTTGATCTGAAATGAATCTAAATCACTCCGAGATCCTTCTAGATAAAGATTTTATTATTAAATCTATGTTCTAGTTAGTAGACTCAATAAAATGAATATCTCCAATCGATTCACCCTCCCCCGGGTACAAATTTACAGCTGAATATCTTCTTTTTTTGTGCCATCTACAAACGAAAGAGAAATCTCTTTGTACATCAGTGGGAAAGTGTTCTTTGTGCGGTCCTGTGATTGCTCGCGATCTGGCATACCATTCTGGTATAAAGTGCTTCCCTCTTGGAATCAGTAGAAGGGAAGGAGCGGTCAGCAACTGAGCGTTTTTCCTCTTTTTGCAGACGAACATGCACAAATTTCTGGGATCAATCTTTGCCCCAAATTTGGCTGTATTTTTGCTATAAATTCTGTGTTGTGCGTTGTGTTATTACTTTTACTCTACATGACGCTACAATTTCACACCTTTTCTTTATGCAAAGAAAAGCATAAAGGTGTGAAATTGTAGCGTCATGTAAAGTATTGGTAAAATAACACAACACAAGGTACGTCATAATTACTCATAATCACTCTCGAGGGTGTAGCTCATTCAAAAGATACGAACTCCCGGACCCAAAGAGGATTGTGTTTAGATATAATCTTATTACGAAAATAGTTGGTTTGGGGGGGGAGGAGAGACGGCCCCGGGGGGCCTCCCTATGGACCGGCCCCTCACACAAGGGGGGAGGCAAAACCGCACAATAGGCGTTCCCACAAGGGCCACGGCCACCAACGGGGCCGACCACGACAGGCCCACAACAAACGGGGGGCTCATTCAAAAGATAACCGATTCTCATAAATATTTTACAAGTAAATGTTGAGTGGGTCTCCAGTAGCGGTGCCCATTATCTAACCGATAGAAGCTCACAAATTTTTTTAAACAATCTCTTAAAGTTGGGGAGTTGCACTTAGCCTGGCGCGCCATCTACCTTTCGGGTTTTTGAAGTGATAATGAAAGCCGATTGGAAAATTTTTGATCAGAAATGGATCAGAAAGATGTCTTTCAACTTCCAGTCATCGTTTACGGGAAAAATCTCACAGAAAATTAATAAAACCCTGCTTATTTATTTTTCGTTATGGAAATCCGAGCCGAGAGGTGTTTAAGAAGTTGAGAAAGAAAAGCGAACTGATTAATCTTTTGGTGATTTTTAGTTTTTAAAATTCAGATCTGAATATTGTTGATTGAAAACTAACGAAAAAATTAGCTCTTCTCAGTAAGCAGCTCGTTTTTCAAAAACCCCAGAACAAGGTCGCGCGCCAGGCTAAGTGCAACTCCCAACTTTGAGAGCTTGTTTGAAAAGTCTGTGAGCTGCAACCGGTTAGATAATGGGCACTGCTACAGGAGATCCACTCAACATTTACCTGTAAAATTTTTATGGAAATCGGTTATCTTTTGAATGAGCTACACCCTCCAGAGTGATTATGAGGAATTACTAGGTTGGTGCAAATGAAATTTCGTTTTTTTACAAACATTAAAGGCATCCAAAATTTTTTTAGATAACAATTTATTTAAAACAATAAGCACCATTATTATCTATGACATCCCTCCAACGTTGCTTCAGATTGCGGATCCCCTTCTCAAAGAACGCTTGATTCTGTGATGCAAAGTAGTTGGTCACCCAATTTTCGACTTCTTTGGCATTCTTAAACTGGCAATTCTCAAGGGAATGTTGCATCGATCTGAAAAGGTGAAAATCGGAGGGTGCTAAGTCTGGACTATACGGCGCATGTGGTAAGACCTTCCATCCTAGCTTCTCTAGTTCCTTACAAGAGGTTTTTGCCGTGTGAGCTGGAGCATTATCACGGAGAAAGTTGATAGTTGAGGGATTTTCGCAAAATTTCGTCTTTTTCACGCAAAATTTCGTCAACCTTCTTGAGTTGTTGATTAAAATAAGATGAATCGACTGTTTTCCGGGCTCTAATAATTCAAAATGAACAAGTCCATTGATATTCCACCAGCAAGACAACATCACTTTGCGCCCATGATAATCCGGCTTGGAGTTGGAATGGCGCTTGACCTTGCTCAGCCATTGTCTTTTCGAGAAGTATTCTCAAAGTGAACCACTTCTCATCCATCGTCAAGATATTCTCAAAAAAATGGCTTCTTTTCGACTTCTGGAGCAAGATATGGCTGATCGGAACGTGCTCCCAGATTCTCAACACCAATTGATGTGGAACCCATGTCCATTACGATTTGTCTTTCCAATTATTTCCAAATGGCGTACAATTGTTGAATGATCACATTGGAGATGTTTGGCAAGTTCTCGTGTTGTTTGCATTGGATCAACTTCAATTAATTGTTCCAATTCATTGTTGTCGATGGCTGTGGCACGATGTCCATGCGATTCGTCTTCAAGGGATTCATTACCATCTCGGAATTGGGCAAACCAGAGCTGGCATGATCTTTCGGTGATAACCTGTTCTCCAAAGGCGGGACAGAGATCACGATGTGAATCAGCAGCGTTTTTGCCCATTTTGAAGTCATAGAGAAGACACGTGCGCAGAACATACTGATCCACCGACAAAGCAAAAACAAAAAGTGAAAGCTCTGACTTTGAAAAATGCGAAAAAAGTAAATATCCAAGGTACAAATGCACAAAGAACATCAAATAAGCTCTTCAGATTAAAAAAATAAGAACATTTTATATCGACCGAAATTTCTTTTGCACCAACCTAATACACAACACAAATGTCAAGTATTGTGTTACTTTAACAGCAGCTAGACTCCACTACTGTACTCTACACAAATCAGCTTCACCATAAAGAAAAGGTGTGAAATTGTGACAAAAACATGTTTCTTATCTCCTGGAAAATTTCTACCAGTGTTCATTTCTTGTGAACATCGAGGCTCTTCTGGGGAATTTAAACATTCACCGGTTTACGTAACTGTTTAATACAATGCATTTAACTGAAACTATACGAGAAAGTTCATGCCAATACTTTCAGTAACCCGAATTTCCGGCATCTCTAAGGACCAAGGAACAAAACTAAAACGGCCAACAATTTAAAAACCAAATAAGAGCAAGGTTCTACCACTGGCTTGGCGATACCCTGGAACATTTTGGTTTGAAACATCAAGCCAGTGAGGGTCCGGAATGTTTAAACCAAGTTCAGACCCGACTAAATCAGACTTGGACCCAGCCTTGTAAATTTTGACTTCGAACATCTTGCGCATGCCGATCTGGCAATGATAGAGTATAGTGTAATATGAAATTTGTAATATAGAACTTTGCTTTTTATCAGATTTAATTTAAGAAGAATTAATTTCCATTTTCACATCACGATTGCTTACAAATGTTTCATGATGATTTTCACATCTGAATAAGTCATCAATCATGTTTCTTTTCAAGTACTCACATTATCGGCTTATCGGCTTGAAAATCTTTTTGACTAGACGATTTAGCTTTTAGTAATTCTTGAAATCTTTCTTTTTTTACAATGATCCGAGATTAGCGCTTAGAAAAAAAAAGGAGACGAGAAAATGAGACGTAAAAACGTTCTGAAAATGTAAATTTTTACGATTTTTCCAAAGCGATTAAGTGTGGGATTTTGTGAGTTCGGGAAAAACATCATCAAACGATTTTCGGAATTGCCAATAAAATGGACGTAAAATTTTCTGAGTCTGATCAAAGGAATTTGAATTTTAAATAAGACTTATATACAAGAAAAAGTCTTGCAAAGCTCAATAGATTTTATATTCTTCTGAATATTTGAATTCATAGTTTTACGAAGAATGGCTTTGGCTATACATGAGAATTTTAGATTCTTAGATCATTCTAGATTCCTAGATCATTCTAGATTCTTTCTTTTAGCTCAAAATGTGGCTCAGATTGTGACTTTAGAGCTTTTCGAATTTTAGATGGATTGCTTTAAGGCGAAACAATGAGCTAAGCTTGAAACTAATACAATAATCCAGTACCATCTAATTACAGTATTGTGTAAATAAAAAGTATTTTAATGGCTGATTTGAGAGCTGATCAGTAACCTTTAGCTTTTTTACAGTCGCCAAAAAGTTTTCCAGACACCGATCGAAATTGCCACCCACGAAATGCCACGAAACGAAGATTCACGCCAAAAATGAAAACATTTTTGTCCAGTTCTGTCCGATTTTTGTCCTTAAATGTCGTTCGTCTGTACCATTTTGTGCAAATTGCCTCCCGATTCCGATAGAGATAAAATAAGATTCAAAAGTTGAAATTTTCTTTTAGAAGGGCGTTGCAATGGAGGCTTTAAGTTCAACGAACAGACAAAAGAGTGCGAGTTGATCAGTGAGTTTGTTTTCTAGTTGAGATGGCAAAATCTATGAACAAAACAAGTATTATGGTAAACTATTATTATAGTTTCTAACTTACAATCGTCGTACTATTTGATTCAATCTCAGAAGAGGCTTCTGGCACCTAGCAAAGCTGTTAAGTTAAGGATACAATGCTTCTTGTGCAAAGTTGAAAATCTCTGGGTGCTAAACAGCTTCAGTTTTACAGAACTAGTCATGAATTAACCTTGGGATCCAGGGTGATTGAATCGAGTGTACAAAATCAAATACGAATACAGTGGCTTAACCATTATATAATTACGGTATTGTTTAGGAATCCAATAGCATAAATGACGATATTTGTTCCCTATCATTTGTCACAAGTAATAACTTTGGCATATGCTTAAAGAAGTTTTAGTTTTTATACGAACTAGCTACCATATCAATAACTATAAAATCAATTGATCAAAGTTTCGCAAAAGCCTCTTTTTACAGCTCAACCCTTCACAGAATACTGTAATGAGTTGAATCCCGATGATCCGAATAATGATGGATGGTTTGGTGAATATCCGCACACTGATAATGATGACGTTTGCGGGATTCGAGTTTGTTTTTGAAATGCAAATCACTAGTAATTGAATTTTATAACTAAAGCTTCCAAAAGCGGTTTAAAATGAGCCGATTCTGGTTTCAATTTTTTTTGAGTAACACGAGGACAGTGTAGTTGACTAAACAAGACACTAAAGATTTGGGTTTTATGAATTTATTTCAAAAGCTGATAGGATTATTTCGAGAAAATTTTGTTGAACATTACTACGGCTTTTTAGACTATAAGAATGAGAAAAACATGGTTATAAGAATGAAATGAATTTCCGGGATTTGTTCAACGTAAAAAAGATAAATGGATAGATCAAAAAGGATTTTTGGAAATTGGAAGATTTAAAAAAGTTTTTTACCAGTCTAGCAACATTTGAAAGTTTTTGAAAGTTTGAGGGAACGAAATTTTTGTAGCAAGAGACTTGGGGAACTAGTTAAAGAAGCGAAACATTTAAAAAGCTACATCTGAAAGTTTCAAGATATTCAGTGAACTGAAATAATGCTGATAGTTCGAGTACTACTTTAGCCAAAAATTTTATGGATTTAGTAGTTTTAATGAACTTTTCTTGGTCTAAAAAATCACAAATTTACGGGAGAGCTCTGGTGATCCCTGAACTGAACTTGATGAACTTGGCAAACTTGGCTGTGCACAAACGTTGAATGCAAAAGAAAAGATCATTTGCAAAATTGTTCAAAGCTTCTTGAGCTTGAATTTTATTCTAGGCAATTTTCCCGACTTCGGATCGTTGTTGGGGCAAATGGTTGGGCGTTTCTGAGAGTGAACTTTGTGATGTTGGCAATGGTGGTGTGGCAAAGGTAATCAATATTGAACACTTTTTACTAGGGAACGGTCAGATTTCATCATCGCTAATCCAAATGAAACCAATATGGATTTCACCAGTGAAACACGGGCAACACGATGGCGTTTTTAGCTTTTTCTTAAACCCTCTAGATTTTTGTAGAAACGCAAAAGAAATTTTACCCTCTAATGCACTGGATATAAGGGTAGATAAGGCTTTAAGGATCATCATCTTCGCCATCTTGTATTTTAACCTACTATCACTCGGATTCGAACCCTGGAGGTCCCGGGAGGCGTTGTATTTTAACCTGCTACCACCCGGTCAACCCCTGCACTTATTGCTGATCTGAAAAGTCCGGTTTTAAGGTCTATGCTTGATTTCTAAAACTCCTTACAAAACTTTAAACGCATATAACTTTTGACAGAGTGCCGTTTAGCAAAAATGGAAAGCAGATTCAAAAATAGCGTGAAATTATGCGTTGAATGGTCTATTACCGATGTCATTTGGCCAGCCTATTCAGTTGAACTTCCCTTATGAGTCTAAAGCTCAGGGGACTAAAAACAAATTTAGTCCCGATTGATCGCTCAAAAGCTTTATACAAAAGGATTCTGTAATTGTGATGGGATGTCTGAAGGAACTGGATTCAATTGTTGTAAGTATTTTGGCCAATATTCTGATAAACAAATTTTTCTATAAACTGTTGAAAGTGTTTTCTGTACATAAACTTTTAGACAGTGAATGTATGAAGAAAGAGAAGTTGAAAATGAACTGTCCAGGAGATCGAATCTGTCGGAAATCTGTAAGCTTGATAGAAATTGCAAAAGATTATCAATTTTCAAGGTTGCTTCAATGAAATCTTTCAGGTAAATGGCACACTTTATTGTGGTTGCGCCGAGGGTTTTCAGTACACGATCAGTGTTGGCGCATCGGCTTGTACCCGTTAGTTTTTGGAAAAATTAGTACAACTATCTGAATTTGAAATTTTTTGTATTTTTAAGTTTAATCGTCTCTTTTCCAGCAATCCAACCTCCATGTGAATCTTGTCATTTCGATTGTCATATCTCTTCAAAATGTCTTCCACTCGGTGACACTTCTTTTGTCTGTGCCAGATGCAATTCTGAACTCGGATTTGAGGTTAAACTAACAATAAGAATTTAAAAATATAAAACAAACTAAACATTGAGTTATAAGATAAGATAAATTTCCTTTTCAATGATATTTTAAACATTTAGGACGTTTCCATTCAACCGGGAGTGCAGCCAGGAAAGTCGTGCAGAGGTTAGTTTTTAGCTTGGCCTGGAATTACTTCTAAAATTATTTTAATTACTTTAAAACTCTTATGAAGTGCTTCTAATTACAAATTACTTCTAAAAGGACCAATTTTCCAGATGTGGACGAATGCTCAAAGGATAACGATTGTGACCAAAATGCGGCTTGTGTAAATCAAGAAGTTCTCTCGAATTCCTATCGCTTCAAATACACGTTAGCTTTTGATTTAACTTGGAAATTTCTAAGTTAATAAGCCCAAGCGTTAAATAAACCAAAAATTTCAGTTGTATCTGCAAGAAAGGCTGGCGTGGAATGAACGAGACGGGAACTAAGTGCCATCCATGTCGTGGTAAATTATTAGATTGATAACTTGAAAGTTGGTACACTTATTCATTGCACTGGCAAAGATTTGGCTGACTTGTTAATTTGCTCGGAGTATTTGATTTAGTTAAGTGTTGTCTTGCTATCCAAAAGTTCCCAGTAGATGGGCCCTTCTATTAGATTGACAACTTGAAAGTTGGTACACTTATTCATTGCACTTTTTAGAAATAACTAGTGCACCAATTAATGTACAGTTTTTACCAATAAAAGAGCTCATTTATTCTCTAAAACAGGCTTTTGACAGATTTAGAAAAGCTTCGGTTTTGTAGGTTTCTAAGGGGCAAGGAGTTGAGAAACCAAAAATGATGAACACTCGATGAAGCTATTTGAGCACTTTCTTCCACATAAACCTATTTTGATGTGAATAGAAAAAGAGAGACAATAACAAGTTAGATAATTAGCCAAATTCTCAGCTAGATCTAATCAATCGTTTTTGTTATAGTTCCACTTGAAGAATTTTCAGAAAAACTTGAATTTCTGCTCAAATTTCTTTCAAAAGTTACCCAAATTTGCCCAAGCATATCTTAAATTAGATAATATATAACTTTTATTAGAGAAGCTTAATTCAATTGGCTTATTAAATATGTTTGATGGAAAATACGAAAAAGTGTACCAACTTTCAAATTGCCAATCTAATACTTCAACAGAATTCTGTTTTCGTCAATTTTAGGCAAAATAACATACAGGTTTTTGTCAAAATTGCAAATTTCCATCAATTTTAATCAACTTTACTGTCAAATTTGGTTTTCTGAATGATTTTAGAATAATACAAAGATGATTCTCTAAGGAAATGGTCGCCAACAAAGTAGAAGCATCAAATTTAACTTGAGTCAAGTTAAAATGTTCAGAAGGCTGCGATAAATATAAAAATATTAAGTTATCATTGGTTTTGTATTCTTCTTTTCTTGTTTTATGCAGCCATTTTGGAAAAAATTGGAAAAAGCTCGGCCTGGGAGCTGATCAAAATATCGCCGCGTACGAGCAGCCAAAATAATGCCTTTTGCGGTCAAATTTATTTGTGTTTCTTATTTTCATTGGATATAGAAAAGAATTAGCTATCTGCTGAAAATTTTAGAGCCGTTTAGAACAAATCTGAGATTAGAAAATGCCGAAAAACAAAAAAGGGCTCAAAAAGAGGTTAGCTGAGCTTTTCTCGACACCAATTCTGTTTTAAGTGATTCCAAAGTATGAAAAATGTAGATAATTTTATTCTGCATCCAATTTTTATTCAATTGAATTGAATTTTATATTCTATTTTAGATTTTAATTATATCCAATAAGAAGACGAAACACAGAAATTTAACCGCGAAGGGACTTTTGTCGTGACGCTTTTTTCACACGGTGCCCTTTTCACCAGCTCCCATCGCCCCTGCAAATGCGAGCAGGTGGCCGAGTGGTTAAGGCGTTTGACTGCTAATCAAATGGGGTTTCCCCGCGTGAGTTCGAATCTCATCCTGCTCGAAACTTTTTGTCGTTTCGACTTTTAACTGAAAAACTTTCATCTTAATCAAAATGACTATCCGATATCAATTTCGTGCTTTTTATAACATTTTTTAGATGAGAACGAATGTCGAATTCCCGGGATATGTGGAGCGGGAGCTGAATGTCAAAACACTGATGGAAGTTATATTTGTAAATGCAAAGATGGCTATCAGAAAGGACCAGATGGGTGAGATTGATTTATTTCTGAAAATTAAATTTACCAACATTTCAAAGTTTAACGCAATCAAAAGGCTTGAGCAAAAGGACGCAAAGAGCTAACATTTTAGCCCATTTACAAGCCAAATTTGTTAGTTCAAGCTGAATCTATTCAATCTATCAAAATCTATTCAACTTTCTGAATTGAACAATTTAGTAAATGTGTCGATGTTGATGAGTGCTCACAAAGTCCATGTGGTCGCTATTCGAATTGCACAAATACTGAAGGCAGTTACATCTGTCAATGTCTTCCCGGATTCAAAGATGTTCCCATGCCATGGACGATTAAGCCACAAGTGAACTGTTTACGTGAGAAAGGTTGAGAAAGATTATGAAAAATTGAATTCCAGTTGACAAAGAATATCACTGCAAGAAATGCTGCAGTGCGACCACTGTTTGCGTGGAAACAAACTCACAATTTCAATGTCAATGCAAGAAGGTAAGTTTTTCAAGATTTCTGGCAACTTACAAGTTTAACGGAATCAAAAGGTTTGAGCAAAGGTCAAAGAGTTCAAAGATAGGAAGTTATCGCTTAAGACTATAATGCTTGGATTTACTATTAGATCATTCAATTGCCTATCCAAGAACATATTGAAACTAAAGTAAGTGTTAGATAAAGCTCAAATGCTGGAATCTTTTCTTAGAAAGCTATAGAATTGAGCCAGTCAAAGCCAGTTAGTTACATTTTCATAGAATCACCTCTACGTTGACGGACAAAGATGCAAACCGAAAGTGTGGTGTGAAAACAACGCCGACTGTGCCCCTCAACCAAAGGGACTTTGCGTTGAATTGAATCCACCGGGAAGTGGCTATAAATGCAAATGTCAAGAGAATTATGAGGGCGATGGAAAGAAGTGCATTGGTGAGTGCAGATTGAATTTTTCGACTTTCAGAGCTTACAAGGGAAGGCTGAGCCGGCTAAATGCCATTCGATGCAGAATTTTATGCTGATTCCGAATATATATATATATTCCGTTTTTGCTAAATAACAACCTGCTAGGAGTTATAAGCGTCTAAAGTTTTGTTAGGACTCTGAAAATGTGAGCATTTTGGTCTTAGCGGCCTCCTTTTGGATTATCTGGATCTTAGCGTCCCCTTATCGAACAGTGCAGCCGTGGCCGAATGGTACAGCGTTCGTTTCTAGAGTGAGACCCCATGAGTTCATTCCCCGGCCAGGATTCTTTTGCTTTTTTTCAACTGACTAGTGTTCTTTGTGCACACTAGCATTGTTAGATCTTAAATAGAATAAAATATAAACCAAAGTTAGCATTGGATAGGATTTCCAACAAGTTCAACAGCTGGAGTGGAAGAATTTTGATTTAAAGATTTGAATGCTTGAGTATTTTTTAAAACAAACAAAAATTTAGCCACTAATGTCTGTGCTCGTGAAGCACCTTGTACCCTCGTTGCACACGCCGATTGTTTCTCTCAAAATGAAAAGAATTACTTCTGTAAATGTGAACCCGGTTACGTGAGACAAATGGCTGAAGAGGGCAATCCGAAGGCTCCATGCTATAGTAAGAATAAAGCTTCTATTAATAAACTGTAACTTTAGGCGTCAACTCGTCCCAAGTAAATAATTGCTCGATCTGTGATTTGGCGACACAAGACTGTCGACCGGTGTTGGACCTGTTGGGACAACCGGATCCAAATTTCAAGTCATGCTATTGCAAAGACGGATACGAGCCACGAAAAGATGGAAAACCCGGATGCACAAGTAGGAAATTTTGTGAATCTGCAGTATTTACAAGTTTAAGATCTGCCCCCGAGCTTAGAAACAAAAAATTGCATCACTAAGACGTTTTTGGTCGGCTAGATTTGTTTTTGCAGACACAAACGAGTGCCTCTTCGAGGACATGAACAACTGTGATCCGATTCGAGCACGCTGCATTGATAAGATCCCGCATTTGGATGGTGGGCTGAAATTCGAGTGTAAATGTTTGCCCGGATACAAAGGACCTGGAACGAGGAACACTTGTCAAAGTAAGTAAATGGTTAAGTAATGAAGTTGTAAAAATATATAAATCCGAAATAAACCGTAATCGAAACTAGCTCTTTTGAGTTAGCAAAAGTCTCAAATTTTGCAGTATTTATCTCGGTATAAGCAGTATAAGCAAGAGATCGAGAATTACAGAGTGACCGCGAATTATAGCGACTCACTTAATCAAGTACAACGACAGAAAATCAAATTTCTATAAGGTGTTTGATCTTCTGTTTGGTTTGTTTGATCTTTTTTTGTCTTAAACGTGATCATATTTATTAAATAACTTCAAAAACGGCTCTCAAAACCAAAAATATTGTGTTTTTCGCCCGATACCGCGACTCTCAACTTTGTAAGATCATATAAAGATTCTAGAAGCACCAGTCAGTTAGAAAATGGGCTTGGCTACAGGAGGCATACTAAAGAATCATCTCCAAAAATTTCATAAGGATTCATTAAGTTCTCGCTGAGTTAGACTCTCAGAAGTGAGTCGCTATAAGACGATATTTGATCCAATATCATACCTGCAACTTCAAACCTTTAGATATCAACGAATGTGAAGAGAATCCGAAACTCCCATGTGCCGGTCAGCATATGAAATGCAAGGACATCGTTGGAAGCTATGAATGCTACTGTGAACAGGGATACACAATGGTAATGAACCTTCACAATAGCTTTGCCCTAAAATATTATGATGCAAATTTAGATCGCTGGCACAATGGTTTGCTTGGACGTGGATGAGTGCCGAGCACATCCTTGTCCGCCTAATGCTGAGTGCTTCAACAAAGTAAAGTTTTTTGAAATTAAGTTCAGATTGGTTCAAGCTCAAGTCTAGATCAAAGATTTAAATTCCAGTATATTCAATCAATCAATTACAGGATGGAAGCTACGAGTGCCGTTGCGCCAAGGGTTTCAAGTCGACCGGTGAATTGCTCCCAGATGGAAATGGAACGTGCATTGGTGAGTTTAAAAAATGAAGCCAAAACCCAAATTTATAGATGTGAATGAATGCGATGAGTTCCCGACTCTGTACAATAAGTCCGCTTGCAACACCGAGGCGAGCACATGTCGAAACACACCGGGAAGTTGGGAATGCGAGTGCAAGCGACCTTTCTACAAGCCTTGTGGAGAGGATTGCGAAGGTAAGTCTTATCGTTCAGTGCTTTAACATTAAACTCAAGTCAGGCTAGATCAAAATACCGATAGAAGGCTAAGTCGATCGTTTAATATGTAATACACTAGACATGTTTCGGTCGCTCTGGTCCGGTCCCGGTTTTTCGATTGATCGACCAGCCAATCAATTGAATCAACTAATCTGAGCCAGTCAGAAGAAACAACTTATAATTGTCGGATCCGCTCCGCCCCCTTTGCCATTGGCAATCCAACTTTGAGCTCAAATTTCTTGGTGTTGGGCTGTTCAATTTAAACAGTTTTTGTACCAATCGACAGAGAAAGACTTGGCGCATCTAATGATATTAAGAACATTTAAATTGGAAAACTCAGCACCAAGAAATTTGAGCTCAACGTTAGATTGCCAATGGCGCGTATCAAATGCCCGATAACCGCATATAATTAGCAGGCCTGGTCTCATCGTGAGATCTTCGAATCTTTGTATTAATGTAAATCATTCAGATGTGAACGAATGTTCTGATGGCACGGATAACTGCGACAAAATGACGACAATTTGTGATAACACGAAAGGGGAATACATCTGCAAGTGCAAGAAAGGATTTGAGAGAGTCGAGGGGTCGAACGCCGATGATGAATCAAAAGATAAACTCTCTTGTCCAAGTAAGCTAAATGAAACGAGTTAGAAAGAACCTTGAATCTTGAAGCAAAATTTCAGACATCAATGAGTGCACGAAGGGGACAGCAAAGTGCAATGAGAACTCGGAATGTGTTGACACAAATGGCGCCTACTATTGCAAGGTTTGAAAATATTTTCTACTTTAAAAAAACTTGAGAATACTACAAGTCTTAATCTTTACTACAGTAGACCGGAATGAAAAGTATAGAAAAGTTATGGATAAGCTTTTGATTGAGTAATTTATCGGTATTCTGGATTAATGATTGAATATTTTCATCGCATTTCTATAATAGCTTGTTGTCAGAATTCTCGTTGTTATATTCGTTGAACCATTAGTCAATTTCAAACAGGAATATTTATTCAATAAAGCAATCTAAATCAATCAAAATAGTTTCCATCTTTTTCGACAAACTGTGCTCATTTTACTGGTAGAAAGCAAATTCCACTCTCTTAAAAAGTCTTTAGTTTTGAGTCAGCTCTCAGTCAGTCAGTCTGTACCCATTTTTTGGCATCTTTTTTATCTTCAAAGTGCTCTTCAACTGGGGATTTTTCAGTGACCGAAATACATAGTAATCTAATGGAGCTAGATCCGGGAAATATGCGCCGAAAAATAATAAAATAATAATAAAATAATAATAAAATAATAATAAAATAATAAAATAATAATATGCCACAATAAAATTGTGACGCCGAAAAACAGCTTTCACACGAAGACCTTGAGCCACTTAAACTTTTTCAGAAATTTGACTTGAAATGGGAAACTTTTTTTGAAAAGCCTGTAGAGCGAATCAGTTTAGCAGTGTGAAGGTGGCAGCCATGTTAACTCCGCCCCTTTTTCGGTCCGTTTGCCTTTGGAAATGCTTGTACCTTGACTGGATTTGTTTGAAAAACCTTGAATTTGCTTTTATTCGATAGAAAATTAGATTTCGAGTCGAATGAAAGCAAATTCAACGTTTTTCAAACAAGCCCAGCTAAGATACGAGCAAAATACGTAGATTGTCAACGGCAAAACGAAAGAGGACTGAAAAAGGCGCGAAGTTAACATGCCTGATGGACGGGCATTCTCAGGCTGCAATAAGACCTTTTTGCACCAATCGCCAAAAGAAGTAGTTAATAAAGAAATAAGAAAGCATGCCCAATCACTGAAAGTGCTTTAAAGCAAGGAAAATCTGTTGTCCTTTTTAATGGTAAACACTGGGGGCCAACTAAAACTTAACACCAAAAAAATTCTTTTTTTTTTGCCGTGACTTATGGGCCAACCCAATAAAAACAGCAAGAATTTCAGTGTCTGAAAGGTTTCCACGAGTCGTCCACCCATTTCGATCCACTCCATCCCGTTTGCATTCGTTTGTTTTATCCGCTTAATTTATCATCTATTACAATCTAGAATCAACTTTATTTCTTTCAGGTGACAGTACTTGCTCCGATGACAAATGTGTTTGTGGAAGTTGTGTCGACATTGACACTCCACCCTATTACAAGTGTCTCTGTCCGTATGGATCATTCACACCGAATGACACGATTTGTTTGGGTGGGTTTGGATCATATAATTTTGTGGACTTTGTGTTTTCTATTTTTTGATCTAGCTAAACTGAAGAGCTAAACTAAACCAAACGAACTGAATAGAATAGTCGTATTTTGGGTTACTGTATTCTGTGAGTATAAAAGTAGAATTTTTAGACAAAAATCTCCTTCTGAGCATTATTGTTAGTAGTTTTAGTAAACTGATTGCAACCAATAAAACCATTTCTTCTCTGAAAAGTGTACAAAATGAGATTATATGAATTTGACTGAAAAAAAGCTGAATGAAATTAAAGTTTTTGAAGTAAGAACACAAAAGAAACATTTTTTTACATCAATAATTGAATAAAATTACATCAATAATTGAAAATAAAACCAATTTACAGAAATAGTAAAGGTTTAATCGAAGACAATAGACTCCAATGATTTTCGACGGTTGTTTTAAAGTCATCTGGAACACAAAACTTTCAATTCTTAAGCAATTTCACAGAAAATTTTCAGATCAAAAGTATTGTGACGGTGGGGATTATCATTGTGGTGATTTCGGAGAATGTGTCGATCGAGAATGCGTTTGTGCGGAGAACTACGAATGGTTGACTTTCCCCGGCCCGTACACTCCTGAAACGATGAAAGATCGCCCCGGATGCAGCCGTAAGAAAACAAATCAGATTACTAGTTTCGAGATTCAGCCATCAACCTGTGTGATCGTCAAGGATGCCCGGCATCTGATATGAAATGCACACCATTGGACAGTCATCCATTCAAGAGATGCGAATGCCCGCTGGGGACGAAGTACTCGAGGGAATTGGTGGCTTGTATTGGTGAGCTGAAAGAAGATTAACAGTTGCTTCAGTTTATTTTATTTAAATACCAGCCTAAGGGTGGTTTTTTGGCTGCGTGTTTTGAGGCTAACACATAGTTTGATCTCTCAAGTTAATAGGCCCCCTCCCCTCCCCTCATGCGCCCTCCAAGACCCCAGTAACAATACTGGGATCTTAATCTTAATCCTTCAAAGCAAGATCGGAACCAACCCTGGTACCCTACGAAGCACCACCGACATCTATACTGAAACGCTTGGCGCGACTAACGTCGCACCTCGCGCCCCTCCGAGACTCCTCTAACAATACCTTCGCTGCGAGGCAACTCAAATTTGCATACTTCAACTCCATGCTTGAAAACATTTAGTAAAAAAAAGTTTGGAACCGGCGGGAATCGAACCTGACACCCCCTTAGAGCAATCGTTTTGTAGATGGGACGCTAACCATCTCGACCACGCCCCCCTGCCCCAGGGCCGCCGATGGTAAAACGGGCATAACTAAATGGTTTTTCTAGTTTTTTTTTATGGTTTTTTAGGAAAAACTTATTTTGACCAAAAAGTATGTACCTATTCATTTTTAGTTCCCTATTTTAAAAAAAAGTTTGTCGAAATCGGTTCATGTGGAGCCGAGATCCAGAGTGTGACTGACGGACAGACAGACAGACACTTCTCTTCTATATATAGTAGATTCTATTCAATACATCGAATTCCATTAAATTTGGGATTAAAACTTGCGTTTCAGCGACGATTTCAGCGACCCTTGGGTTTAAAAGGCCATTTTAACGGGGATGACCACTCGCCCCCGTGGCCTAAAGGAGAAGGCGCTGGATTCCGAATCCAGAGATTGCGGGTTCGAGTCCCGCCGGGGGCCGATGATTTTTGTAACTTCAGTTTTTGTGAGAAATTCTTTTTTAAAAAATCGATAGAACATCGTCTTTTACTTCACTTCTTTTTCAGATATCGATGAGTGCACGGAAGAAGTCTTTAAAGTCGATTGTCCCATTCACTCTCATTGTCACAACTACAACGGGACATATGCTTGCGAATGTGATCCGGGATTTTTCAACGTTTGCAATGAAACTTTTTGCTTTCAAGTAAACTTTAGGAAAATATCGACCCAAAGACACGGGCTCAATCACCGCTCTGTAAAAACAAAGATGAGTGCAAGAATGGGCAGAACAATTGCTCGAGAATACCGGTAAAGAACCATTTGGTGATGTATTTCAAGAGTTTACAAAAAAATGTTTACAAAACTTCTTTGAACAAATGTTGGAATGAACAAATGTAAGTTTTAGGTTCAAAATAAAGTCTTTAGAACAGTTTCTGCAAGGATGAGACACCAGGCTTCAGCTGTCAGTGTAAACCCGGATATTTCAAATCGGTTGACAGGACGAGGAGCTGTGGAAGAGGAAAGCATTGTCTGGTAAGAGCACTAAGCATTCAATTTTAAGTAAGCTTGATCTTTTTGCTAACTAAAAGTGCTCAGATTATAAAGAAATTCGATTCTTTAGGCTGAGACTTGCATGGATGTAGATGAGTGCAGAAACACGATTTGCCCTGAACACTCGAAGTGTCATAACACTGATGGATCTTACTAGTGAGTTGACAAGAAAATCAAAAAAAAAGCATTCAAAGCAAACTTTGAAAGTAAAAATTGAAAGACACATTAATCTCACCTTTAATTAAGTTGATAAAGGATAAAACTTGAATGAAAAAGTCGAAAGGCAATTAATTTTAGCTGCGAATGCGAACCAGGCTACAAAATGGAGAACGGTGTTTGCTGCAGTGAGTCATAGAACGATCTTGGCAATTTCAATATGTTAATTTGAAGCATTTTGAATAGGAGTGAACTACTGCAACGGCGAGGGTGGCGGTCATAATTGCACCCGTTTTGAGAAATGCGTACTCACCGAGAACTTCTTCAAATGCGAGTGCATTGAGGGATACGAGCACAATTTGGCATCCAACAATTGCACATGTAAATCTATTTATTAGGTTGAGTCTTTCACCCAAATTCATTTTCTAATCGAATAAGTCTCAAGCTACCAAATTAAATACGGTTTTTTCAATAGATAGCTCAATCATTTCTCTTGCAAATGCCTATTGAAAGTTTCTGAAAAGCTTTGTTTTGAGGGTTTTTCATTAGTAAGAAGCTAAGTGTTCAAAAACGAAGATCCAATGATGCTATTTGGACCGTTTCTTCCAATAAAACCTATTTTAATGACAAAATAAAAAAGATAGCTCATAAAAAGTAAACAATAAACAATGAAAGAAATTGTTTGGCATGGGTAGTTTGAGACTCATTCATTTAGATAATGAAATCAAGGGTACAAGACTTACAGAGCAAGGATGATTGGGTCCTGTGGCCTTTTCCGATGATATATAGACCATTCGGCGCAGAATTTTACCCTGATTAATGTGAAAATTAGTTGCCAAATGGCGGAGAATCACCGTCAAACTGACTTAAAAGTTTTGAGCCTCTCCTTTTAAGCCGATTTTTTTCAACACAAACCGTTCATCGGTGGCCGAGTGGTTGAGTGGTTGTATAGCAAGCTGAGGGCCAAGAGTTTGAATCCGATCCGTCTCTAACAAGATTGCAAAGTGTCTGACAAGAGTGTTTTTATAGGGGTCCCAATTTGCGATACGCCGAAAGACACATGTAAGCCGAGAAACATGAAATGCATTGATGATGCCACAAATGGACGACATGTTTGCCAATGCGGGCAACATCAAAAGTTCATCAACAATAAGTGCATTGGTAAGTTTTTAGGAAAAAATATTCGGGAACTGTAACTGAATTTTTGAAGATTGAAACATGACACTTGAATATCGTCAAAATATTCACTCTTGGATATAATCCAACTTATTGTAAGTATACTGTAATAAGATAAGTTTCAGTGCCTAAAGTAAGATTAAAACTATTTACGTTACTGCTTTCAGACATCGTTCCTTGTACTCTCTATCCGTGTCCGAAAGGCGATCAGAACATTTGCAAGGTGAGAATTGAAGAAAGTTAAACAAGTAACGCTATGCTTGAACTTATTTTCCTACTTGCTTTCTTCTTTCTTTCCTTCTTTCTTTCTTCCTTTCTTCTTTCTTCTTTCTCTTGGCAAGTTAAGATACCGCATAGCTGGGTGGTTAGAGCAATTGCTTAGAAAGGGTTAAAAAGGGTCGAGGGCTCAATCCCCTCTCCGAAAATGTCCTTTTTCTTGTCAATTTCTTCACTTCTTTATGTTCGTTTAGAACGACAAGACCCAAGCGGATGGATATCGTTGCGATTGTGCAAAGGATTACAAAAAGAATCCAAAGTGCGCCGGTCATCCCAATAATTGTTCGTGTATCCCGGAGAATCTCTGTGAAAAGGTTTGTAAGCCTGAGAAAGTTTAGTTTATCGATCAATAATTTATTGGGAAAATTTTAAATTCATAATCTTACAGTATCCATGCCGGAAAGACTCACAATGTCAATGGAAAAACGGTGAACGCGTTTGCAAATGCAATGATGGTTTTGCGATGGCTCAATTAAAAGAGGAGTGCTTGTGTGAGTTTTGCAAAGACAGACAGCACTACAGCATACTGGCGCAAAAATGGACTACGTTATGTACTACGATAATCTGATTGAAAAATAATTAAAAAAACACTGAAGACTGAAGATCTTTCAAATTACATGAGTAGCCAGCCTTGTTTTTGATTCCGGAAAACTTTGATAAAATATAGTACTAGGTCGTTAAAGTATAAGGATCTAAAAACTTAAAGTAACAAATTTTCACCTAACAAACCTCTTTAGCCACCGATGGCTGCACTCTTCCGAATGGGAAACCCCGCTGCTCTCCCAGCACCGAAGATTGCCAGCCAACTGGACCTGGAGCGGTTAGTTAGTTAATTTTTAAAATTTGGATACTATGGGATTAAATTCCAAACTTTTTTTGGGTACTATGGGATTAAACTCACAGTATCCAAATTTGCATATTTGATTCTTTGTGATCAACGAACTTTCAAATTCCAGGCCCGTTGTATCTGCAAAACGGACGCCATCCAAGTCGGCGAGAAATGCGTACCGAATCCGTGCAATAACAATAGTAGGTTTCAATTTTTAGTACAACAACAAGAAAATCGAGAAACAAGACGCTTAAGTCAGATCATATTGTTCTCTAACTTTTGTAGAAATGCAGCTAAATTAAAGGCAAAAAAAACCTCAAAACTTTGGGTATAGTGACGCCCAAGAAAGCTGAAGACGGCTCAGTCGTTCACCGCTCTTTCGCTCTTATAGTTAGAGGTCTCCAAAGGAGAAGGCTCTATACTAGTCGGGTATACTAGATTGCTTTTTTGTTGAGTACATTTTTTACGTTCCTCTTCAAACTTCGAACTTCTACGTAAAAATTTCCAATGATCTTTTTAGACAAAGCTTTTCTTTAGGATTGAGCTGATCACGATGTGCTGTGGCTGAGTACTCTAGGTTTAGCTGCTGTTTACCAATGGTTGACCAGGATATAGAATTTGGGGCAGAAATTGATCACAAAAATTTGGACATAGCGACGCACAGAAAACGGAGGATCGCTCAGTCGCTCACCTAGATCTAAAAATACGTGAACAAACCCCAAATCATGATTCAGCCACCATTGAATTTAACCGTAGGACAAAGATACTTGAGTTTGTAGCGTGTTCCCATAGACCGTCGAATCATTTGACCACCATCCGGGTTGGACATGTTGATCTTTCTCACGTCACTCCAGAGAACCCTCTTCCAATCGTCTACCGTCTAATGTTTGTACCTCTTGGCGAGGGCCAATCGCAATTGCCGATGCCGTAAAACCATCAGAGACTTTTGTGCTGGTTGGTGGGCAAACAATCGAGCCGATTTGAGTCGATTCCGAATTGCTTGTCCCATTACATTGACTCCGAAGCGCGCCTAAAGCATCTTGACTTCATAAGGGCTCGTCCTGTTTGGGTCCTTTACAAGCATCCTGATCAATGCACGACCCTCCTTTGTTGTTGTTTTTGGTGATCGACCCTTTTCGCATGTCGGTGCACTTCCCCTTCCAATTTTTGGCGTTTGCAAATTCGAGAAACGCTTTTTCGCGAAACCGAGAACAATTCACAGACTATTGCCACTTTGGTCTTGTTGATGAGCTCAAACAATATCTCCTTGCACGCCATCTAATAATAATGAATTACTTAATTAAAAAAAAACTTTTTAAAAAAAAAATTTTAAAAAAAAAAACCCCCCCCCCCCCCCAAAAAAAATTTTTAAAAAAAAAAAATAATAAAAAAAGAAAGGGATGGTTTAGAGAAAAAAAAAAAAATTTTTTGAAAGGGGAAAAAAGGGGGGGGTTTTAAAAAAAAAAAAAAAAAAAAATTTTAAAAAAAAAAAATTTTTTTCCCAAATTATTTTTAAATTAAAAAAAATAATGGGGGGGGGGAAAAAAAAAAAATAAAAAAAAAAAATTTTTTTTTTTTTTGGGGGGGGGGGGGGGGGGGATAAAAAAAAAAAAAAAAATAAAAAAAAAAAAATAGGGGGGGGGGGGGGGTTTATCATTAATGGGGGGGGAGGGGGGGGGGGGGGGTAATTCAGGAAAATCAGAATCATGTATCAAAAACAAAGTTGCCATAACATTATACCAATGGGTCAAGGCCTGAAAAATGATATCTTTAGTAAAAAAAACTTTTTCGTGCTAAAATGAATCGCGCGCAATAGAAAAAACTGCTTGCTTTGAAAACTAGAAGACATTAGCTAGATTATTCGCCAAAAGTTTTTTCTGAAACAAACGTTTTTCCTAAAGAATTTTTTTTTTGAATCATTTAGGAGGCAATGGATCAAGACTTTTTGATGACTGTACATACGAATTTTTCTTTCGCATTTTAGATGATACAAAAAGATATTCAGATGTAAATTAGAACCCGTGGATTCTCAGGGTCGGGGAATCAATTGGAACTCATTTTATTACTCTTGTCTACAGCAAGTTAAGCCCCACCTCTATTTTCTCACAACCAGTTATTCTTTTTCATTCTCAACGTTTCATTTCAGCTGCTTGCCCAGTTGATGCTACAAAATGGCAAACGTTTGACAAGAATGGAGTACCCATTTGCACTTGTCAGTGCCCGACGGGAATGTCCTTTGAGAATGGAAAATGCACGCAAGTGGATCCGTGTGGATGCCGGGTTTGGGTTTATGATAAGCATTAGAATTCTTCTTTTGTTTGGTTAATGGTTTGAGATCTTTCTTTGATGTATTCATTATTGAATCTCTAGCCGTTGATGCCACCATGCAAAAAAGCGACGGCTTGTGAGTCAGCTGAACAAGAATGTCGTGTATGGGATGGAGAAGCTCACTGTGATTGTCCAATCGGATATCAATATGATCCAGTTACAAAGACGTGTCCAGGTGAGAATTTAGAATAGTATTCAGTTATCCAGTACCACCGATAACCTAAAGCATTAGACATGAGAAACGAAATGCTATTGAAGTAAGGTTTAGAATCAACTAAAGTAGATAAATCAAAGCCTGGATTGCGTTAAACAATAGTGAAAATGCGGTTTTCAAAAATGAAACTAATTTAGACTACAATGAGTGCAAGAATAACACTTTCTGCCCACCGGATACGAGTTGCAAGAATTTGGAGGGATCATATCAATGCATTTGCTTGAAAAGAGGACAAGTCTTCGATCCAATCATCCAACAATGCATTCGTTTGTTTCAGGACTTTTATCTTCATTTTAATAAGCTGTTGCATATTTAAAACAAAATTAAACTAACATCTACTATAGATAAAAGAGCAGTGCCTCTCTGTCTGTACGGGCATGAAATTGCAATGTTGTTTTACAGCTGACACCGGCTGTTCAGAGGAGGCTCACTGTAGCGACGATTTGAACAAGAAATGTCAACGAGTAAGTTGTGAAGATGAATTATTATAGATTTTGGAAATATATCTTGAAATTTGATTCAAATAATAACTTAATTTGCCCAGGTTGGAAACGATCAAATCTACTGTGTCTGCCAAGAACCGTATCAGGGATCGGGAAAACCGGGAGAGCCGTGTACACGTAAGTGATGAAGAGATTATTGGGCTTTGAATGTGCAGCAATTGCAGTTAAATCTAGTTAAATCTTGTCTACAAAACATTGCATGCAAATTATAACTAAACAAGATTGCTTTGATAAATTGCGTTAAGTATCCGTTACAGTAATCACAGCAAGCTCCCGTCAAAGTTTAAACTGTTATTTGTAAATTTTCTTTTCATAAGCGTAAGGTTGACATTAAATTTAAAAAGCTTCAGCACTATATACCGTATTCTCCACAGTATTGCACTCCGTCGAGCCGAGTTGGTGACCATTTTACGGTTTCCAAGTTTTCGCAGAGATCCAACACTTTAACCCCCCACAAGATCTCATCGTCAGCTACATTTTCCGACCTCACATCGATAAGTTCTGATAAGCGGTTCTCGAGATTTCGAGTAATTTAGGTGACGCTCAGGGTGCAATACTATTAGAGGAATACGGTAATCATTTTCATCCACAGAACAAGAAGCCCCATCATTTATGGAATTTCAAATTTGTGTTTAAATGTAAAGTGGCCATTATAGTAATTTCTGGGTTTAGTTAAACTGTAATTTGAAAATTTTTGGTTCTCCTCGGATGTAACTTTCAAATCTTCACCACTCTATAATCGTTTTCCTTTCGAGAACAAGAAGAGACATCATTTGAATAGATGCAAATTACGCAAAGTCCAATTACAGTAACTCCTGTGTAAAGCCAAGTTTATTCTTTTCGTATTCTTTTCGTAAGCATAGGTTTACTATTGTTTTCCAGAATCTTCTCAACTCTAAGCTTCTCATAAATTAAAAAAACTCGAAATCCATTATTTGGAAAAATTCAAATTTGATTTCAAATGCTATACATTACAACATTCCTTGGACTGTGTTTGAACTCTAATTTAAAAATTTCTTTTGCATAATGGGTAAATATGGGATTTAATCTCTGAACCTTGACTACTTTATAAACATTTTCATTGCAAGAACTGAAAGTCCCATCTTTTGAATAAATTCAAATTTGATTTCAAATGTTAAGTGCCCATTAGGAACTCAGGCACACCTCTTCGACAGCACCGTCCTTCCGGCACTCCGCTACGGAACAGAGACCTGGGCCACGACACAGACCACTGAACGAGTCCTGAGAACGACGCATCGAGCCCCTGAAAGGAACCTCCTCGGGTACAATAGGAAGACGCAGCTAGACCAAGACCTCAGAAGTACGGATATGTGCCAGCTCTCCGGACTCAGAGATCCAGTGGAAGTGATTGAGAGAAAAAGACTCAGATGGGCTGGCCACGTAGCCAGAAGAACAGACGACAGATGGACGATACGGATCACAGAGTGGCTACCACGAGACCAGAAGAGGCCCATCGGAAGACCAGCAACGAGGTGGAGCACAAGAGTGGCAGAGACGGTCAGAGAAAGGATGGCTAGAGTGCAACCACCACCAGCAAGTCGAAGACTTCGAACCAGGAACAATCAAGATAGGAAACACTGGATGACAATAGCAAGGGATAGAGAAATGTGAAAGCAGGTTGTGATCTGCGCAAATAGGAACACCTGAATGCGAAGACAAATTTAAAAAAAAGTGCCCATTAGAGTGATCACATTGCTGAAGTTTTAGTCAAACGCAAAATTTCTCTCGTTCAGAATAAAAAAGTCAATCATTCTTGCTTAAATAACTTTTAGATATAATATTTTTAGCCATCGATTACTGCAATCTTCCTCAGTACAAAAATATTTGTGGAAATGTGACCGGTTCTGTGAAAATCATTGATCCGATTGGAAAAACTTGCAAGTTAGTCACTAATTTGAATATTTGGCATAAGATATCAATAAAATATATTAAAAAATAGATCTAGATCTAGATAAAGTACATATTGTTCAAACAGGTGCTCTTGCAAAAACGGCTGTGAGGCGATATTCGAAGCGGCTGAGTCGTCAAAAGTCAAGGAATGTAGAGGTGAAAAAAAACTGAAAGGCTTTAAGAATTTACCAATTGTTAAAGTACAAGAAGTACAAAACTACCATTTTAGATATTGATGAATGCTCGAGAAGCCCACAAATCTGTGCAAATCGTCTAAACACAAAGTGCCAGAACAACGCGAATCTTTGCGGTGGATACGACTGTGTCTGTCTGGAACGCTATCAAATGAACAATGTAATAAAATCAATAAACTTCTCGATAATATATTCTTACAGCAAACAAGTGCCTGTGAGGCAATCGATTACTGTAAAGAACGTCGTGTGAACTGTGGCTCGAACGCGAAATGCGAGCCGAGAACTGGAGCCTGTAAATGCGATCCCGGATATCAATGGGATCATATCACAAAGGTAAGATGTTTGGCAATCTTGAAAAGTTGGCAATTTCAGCCACAGCTTGGCATTCACAAGGCAAAGATTAAAACAAAAGATAAATTAAACTCACAAAGAATTGATCGCAGACAAAACCTGTTTTTAGCAATGCATCGACATCAACGAGTGTGACCTGTGGCCTTGCAAGGAACATGAACTCTGTAATAACCTCGTCGGATCGTATGAGTGTCTTTGTGATGGTAAAACAAACCCAAATCTTTGATCAATATCCATTTAGCTGGCTTTGTTCGTTTGGCATCGGATGGTCCTTGTGTCGATGACAATGAGTGTGCTCGTAAGTTTCAAAAGAACTCAAACTTTTTAATAAAATTTAGACCCGGTCAAGCCATGTCCAGAGCACTCAGTTTGTCAGAATTTGATTGGAGGCTTCAGATGTGATTGCAATACGGGATACTTCCAGAATGGAGAATTTGACTGTGCCACGTGAGTAGGAGTCACTTTGTGTAATAACTAATATGTGTTGGACCTCTCGACCTGGTGCGTTCGGCGCCGGGATTCTGAACCCACAACCCTTCGCTTACTGGGCGTACGCTCTACCAATGACACGTATCCCATCGACCTTATGCATTACTTGGGCCTTATGGGCTTTATGCACTGTCTTAAAATTTGAGGTGCAGTCTGGTCGGTCATGGTCCTCTTAAAAATCGTCTAATATTAGGTTGATAAGAAAGTTCGTAGAAAATAGAAAAAGGTTGCACGGTAATTTCTCAAAAATCAAGCCATGAATTCTGCCCAAATTTTTTGATAAACTTGACTATATTTCAAAAAAGTTTTTGACAAAAAAATCAGAGTGAGCTTCAGGTAAAAAAATAAGAGATTTCTTCAGCTGAAGTGACTTGGTCACTTTTTGAGTGACCAGCCTTTAGACAAGTTTTTAATGGGTTAATAGATGGGCAAGGGACCCCTTGAAAACCTAAAATGAAACACTTAAAACAGGGGAAATTTGCGATTAAGGCAAATTCTATCTAATGCTTTAACTTTTCAGAATCACCTATTTTAGAAGAAGATGCCAAGAACATCTTCCAATGACACCAAAAAATTATTTTTCAAATACAACTTCTCTGTAAAAATTTTTTGACCAAAAATAGAGATTATAGAGCGTATCTCTCATTTATGCTAGCTTTACCTCATAAGGAATCATTTTTCTGGTGCAAAAAGTAAGCTGAATTTAAGCTAGAAAATAATACTTAATAGTACCCCATCCCCCTCGTACAGTCGCGTAGTCGCAAAAGTTTTTAGTATTTCATTTTTTTCAAAGCACCCGTACTTCCAAAAATGCGTCTTTGGTATCAAAAAATAGCTGAAATTCAGGGCTATTTTTTGATGCCTAAGCGCACATTGTAGCATAAACCAGTGTCGAGAAAAACTCGTTCAAAACTAGAGCCACGCAACACTCCGCACCGTCATTATGGGGGGGGGTACTATTACAGTATTTACGGTATGCAAAAAACTCGAAAATTTTAAGAGAAAACTGCACTTATTTTTTTATACGAGTAATTTTTTGGAGTCTAGCTGTTAATAATAGAACAAAGTGTTCTTGAATTGGTGGATTCATTTTTAAGAAATTCCAGCTCAAATCTGTGCAATGACTTTCTTGTCAACCTGATAGTAAGCCATGACCAAGCCAGAGCCATGGGCCACTCATATTTTTACACCCGTCAAAAACTTTAGCCGAACCACCGATCCGTGTCTAGTAAACTTTTTGGGAGTTTATAAGACTTGACAAATTCTAAAATACTTGTATATTAATAATTATAAGGAAAACCTACTAGTTTAGACCCAAATCTTTTCTTTTCAGCAACTCTACAATTTGCGACACTTGCCCAGTGAACTCGCATTGCATTCGCACGATCGCCAAAAACACTATCTACAACTGCACTTGCGATGACGGATTCAGACTCGACGGAACTGAATGCAAAAGTGGAAAAAAACAGAAATTTGCTTTGAAATCGAATTTCCAGATATCAACGAGTGTGATGAGTTGAAACCGTGTCACAAAAATGCCACTTGTACGGATTTGATTCCCGGCTATAAATGTGAATGTAACAAGCCGTTGGTTGGCAATGGAGTTACTGATTGTAGCTGTGAGTTTTAGAAAAGCTTGAAAATATATGATTTTATAAAAGTTTCACTTATAAAATAAACTCATTACTATTTAGTGCCCGATTTCTGCGATCCCCAAAGCGGCTACCTGGACTGTCCGGCTGATTCCAAGTGCTCGCCCAAGTACCCCGGATACACTTCGGTAAAGAAGATTCAGCTCTAGAATTAATGGAAATAAGTGTCGAAAAGGGAACACCTATCTATCGAAAGTGTGTGTCAGATGGCGAGCGATTGCGCGCACAAAGAACTTCTCGAGACTCTTCTACATAGAGATTTTTCTTTCACATTGTAGATGATACAAAAAATGATATTCAGCTGTAAATTTGTACCCGGGGATTTTTAGGCTCAAGGAATCTATTTTATGTATTTAATGAGTTTTTTCTTTTAAAAAATTCAGCTAAATATCCTAAGAATATCCTAATTTTACAGAAAAAGGGGAAACTCCACTATGTTGATTGCAAATGCACGCTGAGTGGCTTCAAATTCAACGAAGAGACAAGGACTTGTGAAGGTGTAGTTCAAGTGTGACGGTAACAGTAATTACAATGTCAAGCAATAACTTTCTATACAATGTACAAAAAGATTCGTGATTCAAACGATTCGAATATCCGACTTGTACTGTACTTTGATGCTTGAGTAAATTAATTCAGGTATTGTAAATTAAACAATTTTTAGACATAAATGAATGCGATAAGCCGGACGCTTGCCCGACAAAAGCCGTTTGCAATAACAAGATCGGTTCTTATGAGTGTCTCTGTTCAGCCGGGTACGCCTGGAATCCAGACACCAATCAGTGTGATAGTAAGTGGATTCTCAATAGACGAACTACAATTCTTTAGACATCAACGAGTGTCATTGCACAGCTGCCGGTTGTTATGATAAGAACAAGTGCTCGATGCAAGTTGGCCGATGTCAAGATACTGATGGTTCATGGACTTGTGTCTGTAATGCGAATTATGGGCATCCAAAGAGCACAAATGATAGTCAAACGTGTGAAAGGATTACCTATTGTCGAACGGAACTTGATGATTGCGATAAAGAGACCACAGTGTGTAAAGAAACCGATACTGGATTCATTTGTGTCTGCAAGGGGAAAGGGTTACGGTGAGTTGACTATAAAAAAGAGCAGTGTCTGTCCGTCCACTTGGAACTTTCATCTCGAGCTTCAAAAACCACACCCTTATAGGTTTTCGGGGTCAGGGAGTTCCCCGTTGAGGTCAATCAGGTCAAAAGTGAAAATTTAGTGGCACTACGGGGGGTCGAACCCGGGCACTATGATGGGGTCGTTTGGGCCTTAGACAAGCGCGCTTCCGACTGCACCACGGCAATTAGAATCGTCTCCCAAAACATCCAGCCAGAAAAATCCGCCGTTAGACGGGTCTTTCGGCTGGTGAGAAATCTTGTGCCATTGCTTAAGCTAACTAAACCCAATAGCACGAAATAGTGCAAGTCAAGAGCACCAAGGATTACGGTAGCTGTTTACCGCCGTATAAGCAGCTACCGAATCCATTTTCTATTCTGCACTAACCGATGAGCAAAGCTATTCAGTTAACAATACAGCGCACTCTTTTGGATTTTTCCCATTTGAACACCGAATTCAGATACGTGCCCAACACAAACAATAAGAAATGTGAGGACATCAACGAGTGCATTGAGAACACACACACTTGTGGACCATTTCAACAATGCACCAACAAATTGGATGGATTTTATTGCAATTGTACAAATGACATCCCGACAAATGATCCAAATACATGTGCCCCGGTATCCGATTGCCCGAAACCTTTAGATTGTGGGCCGTACGGCTTTTCGAAAATGGAGAATGGACAGTGTCGCTGCAAGTGTAATAATCGGTATCAGGTTAGTTGATTGAAATATAATAATCACCCTAGCCATTGGAAAGTTTGTAGTTTGATCTCATCGAAGAGTTTTGTATTTTAGTGGAACGAGAAAGAGCAAACGTGTATCCCGTACAACAGCTGTGATCTCGCCTACGAGTGTCCGTTGAATTCTGACTGCAAGATCGTTCAGAGACAAAATGAAACAAAAGGTTGGGTTTACATTCAAAATTACCCAATGTGATAAAGTTAGATTTAATGAAAGCTACAGTATACTGGCTGTCTTTAACTTTAAAACATGCCTGTCTTGCTCACTGACCCGGACTAAGCCTAAGTTTTTCGTTTTGCTAAAGAAATAAAGGATTACGATAGTTTAACCTGACTTTTAAAAACCAAATCTAGTTCAAAACAGAACCAACTCTTTCAGATGGATCCCCGGGAGCAGCTGGCACTTACGCGGCTTGCGTCTGTCGAACTGGCTACGAGATGATCAACTTCCAATGCCATCAAAATAATATCTGCAAAGAGCAGCCAACTATTTGTGGATTGGTATTTGAAAGCTTTTGTGGTTGGAAAACTATATTTAGGACGCACAATGCCTTCCCGATTCTATTGAACCCTACAAAAATACACTTGTGTTTGTGCCTACGGAACAATGGTTTATCAAACGGTCGATGGACCGCGGTGTGAGGAAGCTAAGTGAGTAAATGATCTATTCAGCAAATCTAGAGAAAAATTGAAAAACAAGAACTCCTAGTTAAAACTTTAACGTTTAACAGCAACAATTGCTTGTCTTCAAGACTTGAGCAAATTTCACATTTCAGTTGTGACAAGCGGAATCCTTGTGATCCAAATTCGGCGATTTGCTCGGTGATGAAATCTTCGGTTCGCTGTGATTGCAAGCCAGGCTTTGAGGGAATTGGCACATTGGAGAGCCCATGTTTACCGGTTAAAATTTGCGAGAAGTACAACCCATGCTCGAAATTCGCTCATTGCACCGAGGCGAACGGAGTGGCGAGATGTGAATGCAACAAAGGATACACTGGAAATGGAACTTATTGTAAAGGTAAGAAAAAAGTCGTTCACCTATTTTTGCGTTTAAAGCAGGTCATGAAATCCAGTTGTTCACATTTGTTTAAAGCCACTAGAACCTAACAATTGATAGTTTTCCAGCTATTAGAGGCTCACAGCCTCTAATAGCTGGAAACTTACGCTTGAAAACTCACAGCTTACGAACCCTCGGCTTTAGATGTGAATGAGTGTGATGGAGTCAACGATTGCTTCCCTGGAGCTCTCTGCACGAATACCCAAGGAAGTTATGTTTGCAAATGTCCTGAGGATTATGAAGGAGATGGAAAGACATGCACTCGTAAGTAGACAGTGAAAATTAGATTCTATGCCGAAGTCATAAATCATAAATTAGGTAAGTAATGTGACATTGTGGTAGTAATTTTTCATAATTAAAACCATAGTGCCACATTGTTACAGTTACAAGAAAAGAAATTAGTAGTCCTGTACTAGACATGGGAAAATTTCAACCCGAACCTAAGTTAACCTTTTTTTCTCGGCCTTTTCTTGGCGGAGACGGTGTGTTTACTGGAGTAAAAAGTACTGACCGAATGTCATGGTTTTAACATTTTAATTTGATAAACCAAGATTGAATAACACTGAGTCTATTTCAGCAATCAAATACTGTGAGAACAAGTTGGATAAGTGCGATCGGAGGTCGACAAATTGCCAGGTCTTTGTCACAGTCTTTAGTTCAAAAATGTTAAAGTTTAGCAAGAAAAAGTCGGCTACACGTGTCAATGCAAAGGTGGATTCAAGAAAAGCTACAACAACAAATATCAATGTGATGGTATTGAGCTTTAGATAAAAGTTAGTGAATCAAAATCCTAGACATTGATGAATGCCATCCGATGAATCCCTGTCCAATTCATGCTGCGACCAAAATAGTAAGCTAATCAATCAGATTTTCTTAAAATCAACTCGAATTGATAAGTCAACTTGAAAAATTCGATTTATAGCCGCACAAATGCATCAATAGTATTGGCTCGTACTCGTGCGAGTGCTCGAATGGATATGTGAATATAGATTCGACGCATTGCAAGGGTGAGTCTTTTCTTGAATACTTTGCGACTACTGGAATACTTAAATACTTTCTTGAATACTTTTCTTGAACGGGTACTGTGCTTGATCCAAGATTTTATTGTATAAAATAGCCTTGAGCTTTTCTTAGAATGAATTCTTAGATTTTCAAAAAGTAAATCAGTCTCCTGAGTTTTAAGGTACAAGTCGATAGAGTTGAGATCTTCATTCTGTGCCGGGGTACTTTAGTTGATTGATACAAGAGTCCTAAGTTTCATTGTATAAAAGTAATCTGGCCTTGAGATTTTTTCAGAATGAATTCTGGCAAGGAGGCATGGAGTCATTATGGATTTTTTGAACTTTGACTGCTACCTGACTTTATCATACCCACTTTGAGCCAAAACCATAATGATTCTCCTTGTTAGTTCCTCAAAAAGTAAATCAGATAGAAATGGGATTTCCTTTTTGCATCATTCGGCTACAGTAAGCCCAAAAAGTGTACTGTAAGAGTACTGTAAACTCAAAAAGCCAGGAATTTTCCTGTGTCATCAAGGTTTAGCAAAGCTGCAAAGCCTTCATTTAAACTTTAGATGTTGATGAGTGCACCCATGATCCATGCCTCGCCAACTCCGAATGTATCAATTTGGAGGGAACATTCAAGTGTCTCTGCGATGAGGGATATAACAGTATGACAAGAAATTCAACTTTGTTAAACTGAAATTCTTTCAGGAACGGTCACTGGTGAGGGTCCACTCGATTATTGCTGTGATATCTTCCCAATTTGCGAGAAAAGACCGGAAATCTGCGATCGAGCCGTGAGCACTTGCAATATGGTGCCCTATAAGGTAGATTTGCAAATTTTAGATGCTCAGAAAATGGCCAATATATTGTAAGATATCAGACTTTTGCCAAATGATCCAAAATTAATTATGTATTAGGTTGATGTAAAAGTCTTTTTCATTTTTTTCGTACTTCTTTTGAAAAATAACAAAGTCATCAATTAACCTATGGTTTGCTCTAAATGAAAAGTGTTTATTGTTCAATTTCCCATCTTTTTAAGTCAATTTGGGTTCACTTTCAAGCAAATTCGAGAGGGAAAACGGGTTTTTCAAAAAAACTATAAAAACCCATAAAGAAATTGGCTGAATCAATTTCTCTGAAAATCTGAAAAAATATCTAACTTTTTGTGCTCTATCTTTTATTTATTAACATCAAGATTGGTTTCCTTAGCTAAAACGTCTAAAATGCATCATCGAGCCGTCGACTTTTTTGACTACCCGACTTCAGGCTCTCAAAAAAAATCTAGACATAAGACATTTTAAACTCGTTTTAATGTCATTTTGCAGAAAAATAATTGGCCTTTCAAATGCAATAAACCGTTGTTCAATTGGTGCATTTGTTACTTTTTAACGGAAGTACGAAAAAAATGAAAAAGACTTTTGCATCAACCTAATATTTGATAAATTGAATGGCTTTCAATCGCTTGAAAGATTGGATAAAGAGGCAAGATTAAAAATTAATTCCTTGACACTTACCTTCAGGCTTAATTTATAAGCACTTTTGTCTTGATTTCCTTCTCTTTCTTCCTTTCTCTTCTGCCTTGTATTTCCTCTTTCTTCTCTGGTAAGAAGGTACTGGATAGCTCAGTCATTAGCGCATCTGCCCAGAAAGCAAAAATGTCGAGGCTTCAATCTCCTCTCCAGAAATCTTTCTTTGTCATTCCTTACTTTACTTGATTAGTATGAAGACTGACTTTACAATAGTTTTGAACAATCTTCATTGAAAATCAAGAATCATTCAGCCAGCATACACCTGTGATTGCAAGCCCGGCTACGCAAAGAAAGATCCAAACGGATTGTGTGAAGGTTTGTTTCTTTCAAAAGCTTTTCAAAATAAAGTTTGATTAACAAAATCTAGACATCGATGAGTGTACAAGTGATGCAAAAGTGATTGATCACATGAAAAATAAGGGATCCAATGTCACTTGCACAAACAAGATCGGAAGCTACGAGTTGAACTGTAAAATCGGATACAAATCAGTGGTTTGTTTCTAGAAAGTCAAATAAAAATTATCTCTAATTTCTCAGGAAGACAAAACAACGGAGCTTCTTGTTTGTGGACCTGTCAATGAGTGTGCTGAGGATCCGGCTTACACCAAGGCACTTGATGTCATTGAGCAGTTCAAGGTTTCGAGTTTGAAGCACTTTAAGCTTGTAACAAAAACATCTGTCGGCCCTTTTTTTTGCCGTTGCCAATCTAAGGTTTTACATGTTTTTCTCAGCACCAACCCTTCAATTTTGATTGTTTTAACTATCATTCGATGCAGAACAAAATTGCGCGTCGAATGACACCAAAATCAACTCAAAATATAATATCCATGCAAAGTTATGAAGGTTAAGTGCAAAAGCTTAAGTCCCACTCACCATGGGCGGAATTTAGGCTTTTAACCAACAACTTTGCATGGATATTATATTTTGAGTTGATTTTGGTGTCATTCGAATTTTGTTCTGCATCGAATGATAGTTAAAACAATCAAAATTGAAGGGTTGGTGCTGAGAAAAACATGTAAAACCTTAGATTGGCAACGGCAAAAAAGGGCCGACAGATGTTTTTGTTACAAATCTAGTGCACTCAGCTCTAGATGCTAACATTCAACTTTGGTATCCAGCTTTAAAAATCTGATCCGACCAATAGCCCAGTTTAGTTCTAAATCTATCCTATAGAAAGCTTTTCGGTACTTGCCGATTATATCCCCTCTTTAGAAAAAGGTGATGAACAAGGAGCCTGTAACAATGAATGATCTCACCAAATCCCTCCCCTCAGCCGAGAAACTCGACTCCGCTTATGCAAAATGTCTTGAAACTCAGGTAAGCAATTTGTAAACGCATTTTGAGTACACCAGAAATTGTTTCAGCGCTTCCCGATGTGTGTCGATTTCGACTATGAATCTGGCTCAAACACTCAACTCTTTGAAGAAGAGAGTCCCGATGAGTTGAAAGAGTACAAGGTGAATAAAGGGTTAAAATAAGATAAACGAGTAAAACTTTCAGGGATTTGGTTGTCGTTGCGCTGATGGTTCAGATCCGACAAAGAATGGTGATTGGATGGAATGTCAACAAAGTGGGGTTCTGAATGATAGATAATTGCTCAATGAGAAACTGAGATGAGATCAAGCTCTCAAAATCTTAAAACAAAGCTCTTACAAGTTTTAACTCTTCTAAATCAGGTATTTGCCGCTGCTTGGGTGCTAATGTGGATCCAAAATGCATGAACGGAGTGCCCGGACAATGCCAGTGCAAACAAGTAATAGAAATTTGAATGAGCTAACGTTTTCCGATTCCAGGATCCTGTCAAGAAATATTACAAGCGATACGATAAAGCTGGAAATCTCTACTGCTCAGGTTTAAGCATTCGAAAAATGTGATCGCTTGTATTTTTAGAGAACCAGTGCGATGTAAACACTAACCTCATCGCTGTCGCCAATGGATTCAATACACGGGTAAAAGGAGAGATCTTGTATTTTGACTTTAAGACTTGTTCAGAGAAAAATTTTTGCGCACCACACTAAAATGCACTAAACTACCGTAACCTTCCAATTTTTCTTTTTTATTTGCAATTTGCCGATTTCTTTGGTTTGTTCTATTTTTCACCATTATTTTTATGTTTTTTGATCAACTCGAAATCTGAAACCAAACTTAAGTTTATTTTAGCCATTTTTTGAACAGATCGCTTTGTTAGAAGAATTTTTACAGGATGATGGACGACTAATGCACGTATTAGTGTATTTTTTCATCAACTTTAAAACTTTCATAAGAGAACGTACGAAAAAGCAAACTCAATATGATTAAGCTTATCAAAGGTGTAGTAAAATCGACCTGACGAATGGCCAATGTGTTTCCAATGTGGAATCGTCCCTCATTAATACGTGCATTAGTCGTACATTGCCCTGTAAAAATCCTTCTAACAAAGCGATCTGTTCAAAAAACGGCTAAAATAAACTTAACTTTGGTTTCAGATTTCGAGTTGATCAAAAAACACAAAAATAATGGTGAAAAATAGAACAAACCAAAGAAATTAGCAAATTGCAAATAAAAAAGAAAAATTGGAAGGTTACGGTAGTTTAGTGCATTTTAGTGTGGTGCGCAAAAATCTCTCTGAAAAATTCTTAAAGAGTATTTTGTACTTTGAAAACACAACTTTTCTGGATTACTATCAGTGCTTAACTTTGTTAACTATCGAATCGATTGCTTAGCGCATAGATCTTTCAGATAAAATGCGAGAACGGCCGACTGATCGTACCGGCTGGTTGGGAGATCGTTGAAGGGAGTAGCAATCAAATGGAGTACATGATCAAGGGTGAGTTAGTTAAATCAGAAACCACCGTATATTAGATTACCAATATTAGCGCGATTATTAGAGCGACCGATCGCTCTATTTTTCAATACCTCCTTGAAGGATCGTTCTATTTGCGGGGATAGTTCCATTTTTCATTCCCAATTTGAAAGAACCATGTCCGACCATAAAATAATTATTTCTTTTAAAGAAAATTTCTCATAACATTTATTGAATATTAACAAAATTAAAATAAATAACAATTATCCATTGTAACAATTGAGTTGATTCGTTTGTTTCTTCCAGTCCTAAATTGATGATCGTGTCACTCCAAACTTCTTTGCGGCCGCGTGAATTGAGTTTCTGAATTGAGTTTCGTGAATTGAGGCGTATTCTAGGATCTCCAATTTCGTTTTATGCATCGAATGCCCTTCTTTTCTTTTCCCTTGTTGTTCGCTTTGATTTTGCAATCAAGTGTCTCCTCATCGAAGCTTTTGTTCAATCCTTGTCCGAAATCACGACGATCCCAAAATTCAATCAAATCGTCGATCGATTCGTTCACCGTTTGTTCAGCTATTGGCTCAATGATCGTCTCTTAGTCCATCACCTAAAGAAAAATATTAAACATTGTAGCAAAAGTGTTAAAATAAGAAAAACTCAAACAATTAAATAGATAGGTAGATATTTTTTCAATTTAAAAGAGCGTGACTAAAAGCTTTGGAAAAGAACCTAGATATGTGCATGTCATGATAACAAAGAATTATGCACCAAATACATTTTTGTGTAAACTGTTCCATTTTGTGCAAATAAAATTTGTGGCAATCAATTTACTAAAATTAAGCAGTAGATCCGACTAGAAATTTAAAAATAATGCTTTCCAGAAAATGAGAAATAAAATCAATTTATGAAAGAGGGGGTCGCTCTAATAAAGCATTTATGGTAATCATTTTAATGTGAATTCAATTCTCGATTGTAAAACTCTCCAGATATCGATGAATGTGCAAAGAGTAACCCGTGTTGCGACGATCAAAATTGCAAAGGACCAAACTGCGTAAAATGCTTCAACACACCAGGAAGCTACGAATGCAAGGTCAAAAAGACATTTGAAAACCCAGCGATTAGTGGCTACTATCTTTTCGGCTACGGTAGAAACTACTTAGGTTACTGTTACATCTATTAACTCGATTATGGTACTGCAAAGCGATTCTGAGTCAACTTTAAGACGTTTTCAAGTAAAATAGTATGACTTTGGTATCATCTTGTTAAATAGTGCAAAGTCTGTTCAGATCTCAACAACAAGCGGCGATTTCTCATGTGTTTCTGGCAAATTTGACGGGAAAACATGTCTTTGTGCAGGTTTGATCCATTTGAAAATCAAAACAGATTTTATATTAATGGAATTTGATCTAACAATAAGGCAGTTTTTGTGGTTTTTTGTATAAAATTGAAATATTGGGTTGTCCAGTTATGAATGCGCATTTTTACTATTTTGTAAATTTCTCAAGATATCGAACCGTATGAGTGTTATATATCATTGATATGAGTGTTATATATCATTCGAAAGCTGAAGATCTCCTCTACATTTTGGAACAAAAAAGGTTTTGAATTCATTCAACTTTTTGGGAAATTGACTGCACAAAGGGCGGAGGTCGTTTTCGAAAAAACCCATTTTAGCTTAGTTATTCCTCAAGTTTTATGGTGTAAAATAGCCGCCCAGAAAAGAAAAGAAAAGTAAAGATGCTCTGAAATTGTTATATTTTTTAAAAAGTTGTATTGATATATCTATTGGCCAAACATCAAACGTTTAACTCAATTTGAGCGGAGCCAAAACTTGATCCAAAGGCACCTTTTCCATTTTTTGGCCACCTCTTCTTCTGTGCAGTCAATTTGCCCAAAAGCTGAACAAATTCAAAAACTTTTTATATCAAAATGTAGAGGAGATCTTCAGCTTTCGAATAATACTCATATATATCTTTTTCTTGATTTCGGTATCTTGAGAAATTTAATAGTGAGAAAAATAGTAAAAAACGCGCATTCATAACTGGACAACCCAATATTAAACCGTCAAAGTGCCTCTAGAAGCCGTCTGCAACGTGAAAAAGGCGTGGTTCTACGACTGTACTGGTTGCAATGTCACCTCGAGAACTTTCGCAAACGATAATAGATCGGTTTGTATTTTTTATGTACTTGATAAAGATAATCAACTTAATGAAGCTGAAAGATATTTCATTAAAATTTCTAGGTTTGCTCTAACATCTTGAAAGAAGACGGTTCCGGTTTCAAAACCTTCAAATCAATGAAAGATCTCTTGGCGTCGACGTGTGATGTGGTGAGCAAGATTTTTCTTACCGGAAATACTCTAATAGTACCCCACCCCCATAAGGACGATGCGGAGTGTTGCGTAGTCTAGCTTTGAACGGGTTTTTCTCGACATTTTCTCGTTCGTGCTGCGCGCTCACAAAATAGCTGAAATACAGGGCTATTTTTTGAAAGTATCATGTCACTCCAGCAAAAGCCATGACAGACTTTGGATGAGATGAACGAGCAACAATTCTACCGATGCTATTTGCAGCTTGAGATGTTTGTGCAAGTGCACGATGGTTTTATGGGTTGTGGGCCTGCTCAAGCGTGAATAGTTTTTCATCTGTGAAAAGAGTGTTCAAATGTTTTCCACAAGCGGCCCTTGCTAAGAGCACCTTGCACCGGTAAACTCTCTTTTTCTTATTGATATCGGAAAGTAGGTGTTTCTTCTGTACGGGATGAATTTTAGTTTTTTTCTGATCAAGCTTCTCATTGAAGGCTCAGAGATATTGAGCTCTTTAGCCAATTTCCTAATGCTTTTCCGTGGGTTCCGCTCAATTCGTTTTTTTCACGATTTTCTTCAATTGCGGCGTCGAGACTTTTTGGCCTGATTGACCGAAATGACCTTCAATTTGACGATCTTCAATTGTTCCACGCCTGATAGCATCATTTACGGTTTGTCGAGCCGAATTTGGACGACCAGCATTGTCGGAAACCTTTACAGTGGAGATCGAGAATAGCTCCACGGCTTTGATTTGCTATCACCATCGCGAGTTAAGCTGTAATTTTGAAAATTTTAATTGCAAAAACTAATTAAAACATTTAAAAGAATAAACTGACATGGAAAAGTGAAGAGAAAATGGTAGAAAATGATCGATTTTCGAGTGCAACAACTTTGTCCGGGTAATTATGACGCATTAATGTAGTAAAATAATAATAAAAATATATATCTTTCCAGTACTTAAATGGTGGACAGGGGTACTGTGCGATGAACATCCGAGGCGATGCGAACAAAACAACTGATCAACCAACCTTCAATTACTTTGGAGAGTGCAATGGTAAAGTATAAGCATTGAGTATTTTTGCATCTATTCTGGTTTTTGATTGGTACACTAGCCGGCAAATTTTTGACCAACTTTTCTCTAATCTCTCGACAGCAATCATAAATTTTCCGATTTGTTTGAGAGAAAGATATAAAAGAACCAGGCTTTCTTCCTAAGGTCTTAACTTTTTAAGTCCAAATTTCTAACTTCTTTTGGTTACCGATAACTCTTTGAACACCTTTTTATAAATCTCTTTATAAATTAAAACTTTACCAATTGATTTACAGTTTGCTTCAAATCGAAGATATTTAATATACAATTTTCTATCTTTTTACACCAATCTAGACCCATTTCCAAGAAAATCCGAGCGCAAAAACTCGTTTTGCATAAAATTCGATAAAAGGTGACAGAAAGGAAATTGACTGAAGAATTTTTTTGAAAATTTGGCTATAAAGCTAAATTTTTGCGCTCTTTCTTTTTTTATTGACATCAAAATCGGTTTCTTTGGGCAAAAGTGTCTCAGTCACGCAATCGAGTCGTCGTCCTTTTTGACTGGCCGAGTTCGAACCTCCGAACAAAAAACCAGAAACAAAACATTGCTGAAGATTTCAACGATCTTTTATAGAAATATATCGGGTCTTTCTAATGGAGCAAACCGTAGGTCAATGGGTGAATTGACTATTTCTAAATAGCTTTTTAAATGAAGTGTTCAAAAGGTATTGGCCAACCTAATAGATTGATTTCAGAAGCAGTGGCTCCAAAATGTGAAAGTGGGGTGGTTCCATCAAGGACTTCGACCATCTCCGGCCTCCCCAAAGAACTCTACATTTGCTATTATGGACCTACCAACACATACGGGTAATTGTTAAAAACTTTCAATGCTAATAGAAAAGCACAAAAACGAAATTGAGATTACAAAAAACTGAATTCGTCCTAGTGATGTTCCCGCTGGCGCCACGACGACGAATGTGATTTCGACGTTGAGCTGTCAAAATCAATTTTCATCGAAGAACTGGGCCTTTCAGGTTGATTCATTTGAAAGGTGTTTTTAATTCTAGACTTTCAGCAAATCGGAAACACGCTCGAGCAAAAGAAAGTCAAAGTGGCCTAGGAAAGAGAATAAAGATTTGTTGGAATTTATCTGAATAATAAAATAACAGAGATTGACAAATCATGCCTTTGAAGCACATCTTTTCTGAGTAAAAAATGTAAACTAAATTATTTAAGAAACCTTTGTTGATAAACCGATCAGGCTAGGATTTCGATGTTTTTGGGAGAATCGATAGAGCTATCGACTGTACTGGTTGCAATGTCACCTCGAGAACTTTCGCAAACGATAATAGATCGGTTTGTATTTTTTATCTACTTGATAAAGATATTCAACTTAATGAATTTGAAAGATATTCCATTAGCATTTCTAGTTCGATAAGTGCCCAATTAATATATAAGTAGTCGATAAGTGCCCAATCAGTATCAATTTACACCTAAGGAAGAAACTTTAGCAAAACCTTCAGACTACATCATAGCCGTTATCCAGAAAACTTCTAACCAACATCAATCGATTCTCCGTGTCGGTTTACATAGGACATGTGAGCTAAAAATTTGCTTTAAAGCTTGTGGAGCGAGCTAGACGGGTTCAAAGTTTGGTTGTCACGACTTTTTTTGCGCCTCTGCCCAACTTTGAGCCCCTCTAGCTCGCTCCAGAAGCTTTAAATCGGATTTTTAGTCCTATGTAAATTGACACGGAGAATCGATTGGTGGTGGTTAGAAGTTTTCTGGCTAGCAGCTAAGGGTCTAAAACCCCAAGCCCTCTTAAGTTCTCGCACAAAAATGCAAATTTTTCCGAGTGAATTTCATTTTAGAAAAATTTCATTGTAGCCATGATGTAGCTTGAAGATTTTACTAAATTTTTCCCTTGGGTGTAAATTGATTGGGCGCTTCTCGACGAAGCCCTCTTCCCAAAAACACCGAAATCCTAGCTACGGGTTTGAAACCAATTCAAATTATTGATGAAATTTGACTGAGAAACTTTTCTTGACCATTGTAGAGTTACAACGGTTTGACAAGCCAAATTTGTCTCGATTTTCAATTTTTTTCGAAATCCCGACTCCCGATCTGGATCTTTTTTCTTTTCACCTCTAATCTGAACCACCGATCGTTTTCTCTTTTCCGGATTTTTTTTTTGTGTCTAAGCGTGCATATTTTCTTTTCAACCTCTATGAATTTCTTGGTTTACTTGATATTTTTAATTTCTTTTATCTGGAAATTAAAGGCTATACAAGAACAAAAGCCTGGTTAGTTTTAAAAGTCAAATTTTCAAGCCTAATTATAATTTTAGTTGTTTTTTTGAAACCCATTCAATTACAACAAGCTCTTCAAGCAAAAGATATTGTAAGTTATGATTTTTCAGGGATAATTCTTTTTCCAGAACTTCAGCAAAATGGGAATGAGCTATTGCAAGATACCGAAAAATATGTCGACTTTGACGAGAGCGATTCTCTGTGATCTCTATCGACGATACAAAAGAATTCCATTCACGCAAGAGTTCAAGAATAACACAAACTATCACAAGTAAGGAATCTGTATAATAAATTAAGTGGTACCTTGAAAAAACTAGTAAGTCAAAAGCCAGAGTCAGACCAAGTCGATTGGCGTGAAGCAGTTGGATCCCAATTTCTCTGTTAGGTGCCTGACCTCACGAATTTTGCCAGGTCAACCTGGTCTGACTAGCTATCTTTTCCTAAACAAACCCTGCATACAACAAAACTTTTTACAGCCCTTGTGAACAAGCAAATTGGTATCCAGCCGCTTTGCCACAAGTCGAAGAGTGGAGATCACCGAGAGAAGCGCTGGATTTCGCCGTAATTCGTGATCCAGTCAATCGATTCATTTCACTATATGGACACTTCTGCAAGTATTCTTTTCTTGTTTTTCATCAATAACGATTTTAGGTCTCTAAAACAGTGCAAAGGTGCAGATACAGAGAAATTCGCGGAAGCTCTATACTTGATGTTTTCAAACGGAACGAGGCCTGAATGGATGACGTTTAGACAGTCAAATATTTTGAAATATCATGCTCAACCGCAGTCGTGGTGAGTTATTGAGGAGAAAAAGATTTACATATGAGTAAAATATCAGTTCACATGCATATCCCGTTTACCGTAACCGTAGCTCGTAAGAGATGTTTCCGTAATCAACTCGGACAGCTCTAAATCAACTCTAAAGCGTGCCCCGATTACCGTAGTATTCCGTAATAGATACTACCGTAATCCAGTCCAGTAGTTGAAGGAACTACATTAATATCAAGTAACCAGTCAGCTAGTTCAAAGAGACAATTAGAAAAACTGTAGTGTAATTACTTTTTTATTGCAGTTTATCACTAATTATAATTACTAAAGTGAGTTCGAGAATACGGTGTCTGGAACACGCTTTACCTGCGTTGTTTATTGGAAAAAGTTGAAAAATAGCAGTGCTGTCGACTGAATATTTCATTTCATGATACTTAGACAGAGATTTGGTTCAGTCTGGGATCTAATAGCATTTCTTATTGAATTTTAAAGATCATAAAACATTTATACCATTTCCAGGTTCTGCGATATCCGAAATCGAGCCGATTCCTACTCATTTGTAATCTACACAAATCAACGATCACAAATGAAAAGGGATTTCTTCGAAATTTTCCGAAAATCCGGGATCCCTCCAAGATTCGCTATCGAGGTACCGAAATCTTCAAATCACAAAATTTTACTTTTAGGCTTTAAATCATCTGAGCAAATCGAGTACAAGACATGCATCGAATCGAAATGATTCCAAATTGTTAAAAGAATCAGCTCTCCAAAATGATAACACAATGCAATACATCAATGCTATTTATCATTCCGATTTCGATTTATTATTTCCAAGTTTTGATGATGAATAACCTAATCTGATTGCTCAATAATATTTTAATAAAGATAATTAATAACTAAACTTTTACTTGGTCTCTCACAAAGAAATATAAAGCTCTCGTTTTACACAAAAAGCAAGCTAAAGGCTATGGTCAGCTTGCCAGCGTCTGACTAAAATAAACAGCCTTTTCTCGATTTTTCTGCAGACAGATCCAGAGCTTAAAGAAAATGACCCTCGATCATTAAGAGCTCTAAAAAATGCTGGATTTTCCGAACAACGTGTCGAAACCCGGGTATCCACTTCCGAAAATGGTTTTGTGAATTTCCTTGAAGAATATTTAGCTTAACACTCTCTGCCAATGAATTTAAACCAAATTTGAATCGAATAACATAAAAATTCAGTATATTTGAGCAGGTTGGGAAAAAACAATCGTCCTAAATGGTTATAATATTACAATATTCTGCTATAATGTAGCTTTACTAGGGTTAAGGGTTAAAGTAGTCACTTGTACTGCAGTTCTTACAGTACATACTGTAGCTCAAATATCATGTATTCTGTAGCTTTAAAGTGCTGATGTTATAGTGTTAAGGTAATTTGTCATATTTTAAAATTTCAAAGCCAAGAGAAAAATCATCTGGCTTTTTTTCCGTTTGTAAGGAAAAAATCTACTCTCTCACTACAATAATCATTTTATCTAACTTTCATAATCTCCAACTTTTCACTCACCAAATGATCGCGCTTCTTGCAAAAATTCGTGGTATTTTCGTGGTTACAGTTTCCTTTGTTGTTGTTTTGTTGTTTTGACATTGTTTGACAAGACATTGTTTGTTTCTGAACAAAACCCAAACCCAGAGAAGTTCACTAAATGCACAGTAATAAATTTTCAATGATATTTAAGCTGAACTGTTTGAGAAACTTTGGAACTTTATTTCAAACTATGGCTCAATATCTCGACATCTTTCTGTCGCAGTGATTTGAAGTCCCGAGGCTTCTTTGACTCCTCACCAAGAGCGCTTGTTGGTGTGGGTGAAGCCAGTGGATCATGCTAAAATTGACTATTGTGGAATCACTTTCTTAAACTCACCGAATCCGATTGAGCATATTCGATTTTCAAAACGAGCACATCGATTCGCACGAGTTTTTCCCATGGGACTTTATCGAGATTGACGATGAGCTCCCCATTTGAGCCTGGAGTAGTGAATTGTTGCAAGAATTGGATAAAAAGCTTGGCTATTATAGATTGATAGATTTCAGAGATCTGCTTATTATCTTCTTACGCTTATATCATTTGAAAGTTACGAATTTCCTCTAAAAGATAGTCGAAAACTTCCCGTCGCTTTCCCACTTTCCGCATCAATATGCCCAAATTTTTGGGATCAATTTTTGCCTTAAATTTGGCAGTATTTCCGCTACAAATTTTGCATCCTAGTAAACCACTAGAGCAGCTAAATTTTGTCACTGTACATCACTTTGTAAATAAGCTTGATCTTGAAGAAAAGGCGTGTTCAAAAAAATGATTAGGAACTTGTCTACTTGCCCGCCGAAAGTCAGAATTGATCTGGCTGACTAGAATGACTAGAATTTAAGGTAAGTAATTTTGGTTTAAAAATGTTAAGGTTAGCTTCTAGTTAAAGACATATTATATGAAAAGAACAACCCCTGAAAAGTACTCAACCTTTTGATTTGCTCAATTCGGTTCCCGTTGACAGAATTGTCACTTTGGTCTAAACTCGTTTTTTTAAGCACAAAAATTTTTGCCTCACTTGATCCACGACTTTCACATTTTGCAACGTGTATTCGGTGAGATTCACATCAATCAACCACGCATAGATTATCGTGTTTTGTTGATCTTGTGGGTTCCAGACTCTCTGTTTGGGCAAATTATCGTTTCTCAAGTTGCTCGTATACCTAAAGCTTTTTATTGATAACAATAAGATTTATTTCACCAACCAAACATTGTTCAAATCGCTTTGATAAGCCCATGGATGGGTTCCGTAAACAGCTTCCGCGTTCGCTTTGACGAAGTCGCCGATTTGGCGAAGTCTGGAACTTACGACTGAGACTTGAATGGTTACTTCCAAGGTTTTACAAAGTCATTTTTTCTCAGCTCCCAGATTTTTCTCAATTGTTTTTGATACCAAAAAATACTAGATTAGAAGTGCTATCGTTTGACGCTCAAATACACATTGTAGCATAAAGCAGCTCGGAAAACGCAGCGACTAAAGTAGACTACGCGGCGCAATACCCCGTCATTATGGGGGCTTCTATTAGAATGATTACGGTAGACCACAGTCAAGAGTATTGCTTTGTCGTTACATCTTACCCTTACCTTTCCTCAAGAAGTGGCGGGATTTTCCCATGCATATCAGGACCAACATTCAGCAAAAAGTTCCCATTGCAAGCGATTGTTTGAGCGAGTTCGGCAATAGCATCGTGTACAGAAAGAACATCTCCGCTCTAGAAACGAATGGGATCCTAGTCTAACTCTTTCCAGACTAGGACAGAGTTAGACCAGGTCGACAGTAAGCCTAGGAGCTCAGTCAGAATCATTTCAATTCAGACCTGAGGCCAGGCTCCGCAAGGATTTAGTTTCAGATCTGGGCTAGTTGCTATGAAATATCCCTGACTGTAAGGGAATTAATGCCTAACTTACTCTCATTGTCCGTCGTCCTCCCCACGAGTACTGATCCAGCGAGTCACAGTTCTCCCATTTTCTTGCCAATAAAGTTCCTACAACTAGAGGTTTCTTCAAAAGAAAATAAGCAAACCAGCTATATAGTTATCTTCATATGTGAGATATCCTCCATGCACTCCCATAACACCTCGACCCCAACGATCGTTGACGACAACCGTGTCTTTCACGGGGCTGAAAAATAGACGTATACCAGGTATTATACTTGTTTAACAATATCTGATAACAAAAAACTTAAAAGATACTCAAACTCATTAAGCTCAACGGTAAATGATAGTGAAATCGCTGGTTTTGCTCACTAGGAGCAAGTAAAGTTTCCCATTTTTACCGTAATGAGTTAGCCTGACTTCTGGTTTGACTCTGATTGGCCTAGCTACAATGCTGGCCTGGCATGAAAAGTGCCTGGACCTAGACCTGGTCAGCCTTGCTTACAGGCACAGTCTTCATGACTCAGCTGCATGACTTTCAGTAGGCAAGGGGTAAACAAACAGTTTGCCATTTTTAAGCAAATTTATTATATTGTTATCCCTATTCTTGTCGTTAACCTTGTCTACTTTATGTGAAATCTTTCTTCCATCAAACCTTTCATTGTACAACCAAGCGATGAACTCTTTGCTTTTCCAATACTCAGCTGTCATATCCCAATCTCCATCCGACCAGACGACTTCCGGTTGATACGTGTTAACAATATCCAAAAGTTGAGGATAAGAGATTTGCTGGATTGATAAGAGATAAGCTCAGCTAAGAAATTTCACGTACATCCACGTAATCAGTCGTGTTCTTTTGCGTATCTTGCATGTACTGTGGATTGAACCATTCATAGAGCGAGAAGTAAAGTCCGAAATGGATATCCGTTTTGGCGAATGCTTTCTTCAGCGCATCTAGATTCTCATATTTCTTTAAACCAGCAGAAAAATCCGTCTAACAGCAGGTTTTTCTGGGTGGGTTTTCTAGTCGCTGTGGCGCAGTCAGGAGCGTGCTTGTTTTCAGCCCACTGGATGCAGTTTCGATTCCCGTAGTACCCCTCAATCTTAGCTCTTTTTATTTTCTATTTTAAATGGCACAACTACAATATATTCTAAGGTTTTATAAAGAATTCTGAGCTTTATTAGCTCGCACAGACAGACAGACAGACACTGCTCTCTTATATATAGTAAATTCTATAAATCTCTTCACCAATGACGTCGATTTTTGGTCCAATATCCACCGAATTCCAATTCCACGAGACTTTCGATGGCCACATTGTGTAGCCCTCATGATGTTTTGAGGTGAAAACGAAATATCTAAACTTTTTACTGCTTTAATTTCGTGATTTCTTTAAAAAAGCTAAACCCCAAACTTACTTATTGGTAAAGTTCTTTATTTATTGAATATTTTCCATTTATATATACTTAGGGAAACAAGAAACTCTTTAAAATATCTTTAAAGATATCCATCAAGTTTGTGAAATGGGTTACCACAATAATAATGCTATTTTTTGTACTTTCTACCCTAGCCCCATTCTCTAATCTGCACTAACAATAAATTTAACTGATAAGCAAGTCCTGTAAAGTCCTATTATGGCAACTAAAAGTATTCAGCTTGCAAGACTGAATACCTTATCAAAAAATACTTACTTTGCACCCGAGGCTTCAACGATCTCTCGAAATGCATCTGCATCAAAGAATTCGGCTCGAAACTAGAAGATTGCGAGTTTTAAAAGTTTAACTTGAAAAAAATGTCTTACATCGTTTGCAAATTGGGCATAAGTATACCCAGGAGCGTAGTTTTTCGCCATATACTCCGTGCAGTTTGGGTCATTCTCGCCTTGCCAATGCCACCAGAACCATTCAGATCTAAATTGTGCATTTTGGATATATTCCAAACCGGGAGCTACATTAAATTCACATTAAATGTGACAATACTATACTTTTGGTTGATCTTATATGTAAAATTTTGTAAGCGCCAAGTCCGCGTATTCCCCTCTCTTTTTTCCTTCCTCTTTTTTCCTTGTCTTTCCTTTCTTGTTCTTTCTCTTCCCTTATGTTTCCTATTTCTTCTTGGGCAAAAAAAGACGTCAATGGCTCTATGGTAGAGCATCTGCCCGGTAATCAGAAGACCCAGGGTTCAATTCCCCTTCGATTCCATATTCTTTGCCATTCATTTCTTTACTTTATTAAGTAAGTTTAAGTATTAAGTAAGTAATATTTACAAGGGCAGGTCAACTGGGCGTGCCAGCCAAATGACATTCGACACAGAATTTCAAGCTGATTTCGAATCTGCTTTCCGTTTCTGCTATGGAGCACTCTGTCAAAAGTTATAAACGTGTCAAGTTTTGTATGGATTTCAAAAATCACACCCCGAGTTTATAAACAGCTTTCCCAGAGATTTTATTTGATAATGTTAATAGTTAAAAGTAAACATTTTTAAAATGAACCTTTATTTGAAACGGAGAACAATTAACATTGCAAATCCAAAAAAGTAGAATGGAGGACTCGAACTAGAGAGTCTTTGTTTTCTACTCTAGCCCACTACCACTCGGCTACTACAGCTTCTACAAATTCTACGTCGATGGCTCATCCCATTTGGCTGGCACACCTAGTTGATCTTCCCTTTTAAGGAAGACAAACATCTACAAGAATTTTTCAATAACACAACGCTAATTGTTAGTTAAGATACGATATTTAGTCGCTGAGTCAAAAAGTTGGAATCTCACCGATATCCGGGTACACAATAAACACCCCAATGCATGAAGATCCCGAATTTCGAGTTGTCATACCAATCGGGAAGCGGCCGGGAATCGATCGACTCCCATGTTGGCTAGGTTTAACAATTAGAATGACAATATGCGCAATATAATCTTGCTGAGATATTTAGATACTGGTATTTGGCTCAAATCTTGAGCAGCTTTCAAGAACCAATACTAATTACATTGAATGTGACAATACCAAACTTTTGTTCACTTCACAATCCAGCACTTGTATTTTCAAAGAACAGATCGCATTTTGAAAGCAAAATTTTGTTTACCTCGTAAGTTTGTGTTAACACCGTAGCGAATAGCGTGATCAAAATATGGAAAAACATCTTATTATTGGCTGGATTACTCTTTGGTGGCACTGTTCAAATCAGAACAAGCACTGATTTTAGGGCTTTTCCCTTATAAACTGATAAGCCGAAAATCTGGGAAAAGGCTTTTATTACACTTTTTACTAACAGAAAACAAGGAAATAGATTTTTTTGACCAAAAGTAGGAACAATTATCTGAAGAATTGAAAGCCTTGGCTTTAAAAAACTGGATCAAAGTTTTCAATCAAATAGCTGAATAACTTTTTGAGCTTTATTGACATTAAACGATAATTTCCAGATCTATCAAATCGCCTCCGCGAACCTTAATCTAGCGTGTTTGTAGTCGAAAATCGTGTAGAATCTCTCGATGAACGACGTGCTAAAACTCCAACGATTGCCCGTTCGATTGCCGAACATTAGCCAAGAGCAATGGTGGGAACCCTGGAAGTTGAAGAATCGGATAAAAATTAAAACCTTAGAATCGACAACCCAGCGATAGGAAACTGACCGGAATTAACATAAATTGAACTATGCTTCTAGGAAAGATGGGCTTACAATAACTGTCTCAGCTTTACTAAAGCTTATTGACATAAACAGTTTAAATTTTTTAAAAGTAACGATATTGTGGAGGAGCGCATTCTAGTTAGCAACTCACATAAAAAGCTTTGTAGCCTTTCGGCGTGAACATTAATTCCAGACCACGACAGGGATGACTACAGGGGAATCTCTGTGAACTTCTCGTATGGAGGGAGACTTCTCTCTCGTCTACTCAATAGTTGGAATCCCTCCGAAGTGTCGATTACCGTGTGTCGATTGTTGAGCAAAATTTCCGTCTTGTCGAGGGGAAAGAAAATGGCTTTGTTTTTTTTCAATGTGTCAAAGCCCTATAATAGTGATTGATGATGTAAATGACTGAGCCGAGTTTGTAAAAAGTTTCTTTTGCGGTTCATCTTTTTTCCAGTTCTACATCGACTCGTTTCTTTACTTTTATTTATTCGTTGGTATTTGAAACTTGTTGGATCTGAAAGTAGAAAAAAAAGTTGATTTGTTAATGCCAAAATTTCACTTCGATCCGTTTCGAATTTCGGTGAGGTGGTTTTAGAAAAGCTTTCAATTTGAACCAGTTAGCTTTATTAGGCTTCAAGTGTGTTTCAAGAAATTTTTCACTTGTCATTCTTGTTGACCTTGTTAAGTTCAGCCTCTTCTAGGTGTTTGTCACCTATGCGATGTCGATCGGCATCCCTCATCTCGATAGCATGATCCCATTGGTGGGTGTCACTTCGGGAACTCTTTGCGCTCTCGTCTACCCGCCACTCTTCGAGATCATCACTTTTTGGGATGAATGGAAGGTGAGTGATGGGTTTTCTCAAAAGATAACCAAAGCAAGACCGCCTAAAAATGTATAGAATGCTAGTCGAAGTGGGGGTAGTGTGACAGGCAAACAGGCTATGAAACTGGGCCAGTTCTGGGTATTTTGCTATGCTACGGACTTGGAAATTCCCTCTAAAATGCTTGGTAGCAGAGTCCGGGTCTGTTTTAATTCCCCTCAAAAATTAAACAAACAAAAAGGCAAGTTTTGCAAGCCACCCTATGGGCATCTACAAAAATTGCAAGTACTTCCCTGAACTCGATGTTTTGTTTCCTCGAACCCTAGCCACGTTTTTGGGTCAAGATAATCAGGGACAAGCCAACTATCAAAAAATCTTTTGTATTTAAATCTCGATGACACGTCAAGAGAAATTAAACAAATTTTCAAGTAAAGGGAGTCATTCTAAACACTACTTTTTGCTTTGATTTAAATTCCTAGCATTCCAAGTTAAGGAATTCCAAATCCCATTTTGAATAGGAAATGCAATGTCAATAAGAATTTAATAACTTTATATACAAACCAAGAAAAGCGCAAAAATTGTTGAAAGAATGTTAATACGAACGTGAACGCGCACAGCTTGTCCACTCTTGTTAACAACTTCAAATTCGTTGCGTCCGTACACATGATAGAATTTAATCTGCTAAATTTTTGAGGTAATAACGACAAAGCAAATAATTGACAAGACCAACCGCCATGGTGTGTCCAGTTTCCTATGATTTGATAATCAGAACAATACCAGAAAGCAGTCATCGCACACGTGTTGTACAATTAGGATAAAGTAACTGCTTTATTTTGTGATGTGCTTGGCAATCAATCATTTGTTTGTAAAGTCTGCTAACATGTACCCTTATTGTTATGTTCAAGTCTAGATAACAATACCTGTGAAACGCCAATCAATTCTGTTAACCCCGTTTTGATGCTTTTCATCGATGGATGTAGTTGAAAAGGCTTCTTGCAAGACTCGGAATCCAAGTCGACAACAGCTGCTTAAAATAACCAATTAATACAAAGAAGTACACGTATCACGGGGCTATTAGCACCACCAATCATATCATAGCTTCTTAAAATTTTAAAACATTACCATTTTTGAAGTATCGCCCTTCTCTGGAGTAAGTTCTTCGATTTCGGGGCGAATCTTTCCAACCCTTTCCACCCAACTTTATCTGGGAAAGAGTGAATATTTTGGCAAGTTCACAAAGAAAACTCCATGAAAATGGGCTTGGCAAAAACTCTTGAGTTAATGATTCACTTTGTTTGTTTCCGGACAAAAAATTAAGAAGTCGATCAGTAACCGAATGCTAAAATATGTAAACATGATCTCTAAAATAGTATTCAAAAGCATAAACTTGTAACTTTCGGCTTTTAATTTTTTTTATTTCCATGCAATTTCTTCCAATTTTTTGAATTCTAATAAGCGAAAAAAAAGTTTATTCGTTAAGAAAATTGAGTTCTCCACTGGTTTCATGGTTTTTTGAAAATCAAAAAAGAATCAAAAAGAATACATTTTAAAGCAATTTTTGAGGCCTCAAAAAGTTGGTATTTTTATAGTTTAATAAACCGGTGAAGAGTGGAGAATCAGCGTATAGGAAAAAGCATGGTAAAAGTGCAACAAAATTTTCGAGTTCATTAACTTGATACATTATCATTGATTTCCCGGTCGTTGTGCCGAGCGAATCATTTGCATGACAAGACTGTTGATTTCAGTTCGTTTTGCCCGCTGCTTGTCACTGAGAGTCGCATATTGCTTTCTCCATGTGTCGAGGTAAAATCCTTTCTCCCAATCATTGATCCAGCCATGTTGGTGTGCATAGATGATCGATTCCTCATTTAGCCCTTTCGAACTATCTTTCGCAACCCGATGAAATGCCTGAAAGCAGACATATTAATCGAGAATCTCGTTAAAACCTTGACGGGAATTAACGGGAATTTTTGAGTCAAAATATTGGATTTTAAAAAGTTCACATTTTTCAAAATTTCATAAGGCTCTTCAAAAAGCTTTATTTTTTACAGTTTTAACATCGAAAGCTTAAAAAAGCTTTACAAAATGACGCAAAACTTTCAAGAAATACATATAAAAACTTTTGAAGAACTTCTTTGAGCTTTGAAAAATGGGAACTTTTTCACAACTCTGATTTTTATATAGAACCCGAGATCGAGGCCTCGTTAAGCTAAAGAGAAACGGGAATTAACGGGAATTTTTGAGTCAAATTTAAAGGTATTCAGCCAATGGAAAATTTCATTTCTTGTTAACTCTCGTTATCAGCGTTTCTCGTTTTTTCCTTTTCTAATAATTTCTCGTTTAACAAGTCTACCTGAAAGATTTTCTTTCCTTGATGTATCCCCATGAATTTGTTGACGCAAACGTTGCCAACGACAGCCTCACGCCGGTTTTCGTTGTTGCGAAGAACGCACAATTCGACAATCGGGTTCTGACCGCATAGGCACGACTCAGGCCCATTTCCACCCGACATGTAAATATAACTGAGTTCCCATTCGCGCCTTGCCGTTTCCCAATTCTTTGAATTGCTTCGACTAATGATCTCTTCTTGAAGCCGAGCAAAGTTCGCACCTCCCTCACCCATCGTGCTATCTACAATTTAAAGTCGTTATTTAAAAAACCTTTTTTTTTAAAGTACATTTATTGAAAACCAATAATGTGATACAAACAAAGGATATATAATAAGACATAAAGGTCAAAACACACAATTTTATGGCACTGCGGCCGTTACCCCTATTACCCAAGTGTTGTGAAAGAAAAAACCCACTTGGTGGGAAAAAGAAACATTTTTATCTTGCCAGCGTGATTGAACCCTCGACCTTCCGCTTAAGAGACAAGACTCCTAACCGGTCGACTATCTTTTTCAACTAAGATTTCCGAAAAAATTAAAGTCACTCAAAGCGGTGGTTCTGAAATTTTAAAAGTGTTTTTGGGCTAACAATTTTTTATTCTTTTCTTAGCTTTTTTCAATTTTCTGACCCTCATACATGCAAATTTTCCTTCAATACTAAAATTTCACGTAAAGAGTTCAAAAAACATCTTTAAAAGTATAAAAAATTAGCTTGAAAAAACACTTTTGGCATCAGAACTACCACTTTGAGCGGAAATTTCCGTTGAAAAAGTTTTTTAAAGGGCATTCTGTAAAAGAAGGAAAGTGCAAAAATGGACTCAGTTCTGAGGAGGTGATCGTTTTAAAAACACCACGTTTTGAAGAACTTATGAAATTTGACATATCTCTCAAAGTGCTTCACTTGTAAACCCTTTGTTTTGAGATAGAGAATCCTTTTAGCAAAATTCAAAATACTAAAAAGTTTAGAATCTGAGACATTTTCAAGGCTTTTATGTGGCCTTCGAAAAGTATTGTTTTAAAACGCTTACTATTAGGTTGAACGGAAAATAATGCGAACTTTGGGCAAATTTTCATGAACAATTCGCTATTGTTGTTTAGTACGTTTAGTACCATTCGAAAGATCTACTCATTCTCCACAAAATAGCCTTTGAGAGATTTCAGAAAGTTTTTTTGTCAAGTTTTTCCAAGCATCTTGTGGCAAATTGCCCGTGACAATTTGCCCAAAATTCGCATTATTCTCCGTGCAACCTAATATAATTTGAAAAGGCTCACGATAAGAATAGAGTCAAAAAAATTTCTATTTCTTATGTGTATTATAACATAGGAAGGTAAATTCAGAAAGAATAAAGTACAATAAAATACACACTTGAAATGGAAACAACAATGAACAAAAGTTTTTCGAAAAGGCAACAAAAAGAATGCTTACGCGAGTAGAAAGGGAATAGCGAGATAAGGGAGCAGGCAAGCAGGTCCCAAGGCAGGCAGAGGATCAGTCATGAGGAATTGAGGCAGAAGAGGACCCTGTTATCGAAATTTCGCAAAAAGGAGTTCTGTTTCGAAAGTATTTCATAAGCTAGAAAGGAGATCGCGGAGAGGAGGCAAGCAGATCCCAAGGCAAGCAGAGGAGTTTTTCGAAAAGGCAACAAAAAGAATGCTTACGCGAGTAGAAAGGGAATAGCGAGATAAGGGAGCAGGCAAGCAGGTCCCAAGGCAGGCAAAGGATCAGTCATGAGGAATTGAGGCAGAAGAGGACCCTGTTATCGAAATTTCGCAAAAAGGATTCTGTTTCGAAAGTATTTCATAAGCTAGAAAGGAAATAGAAGACTGAAGTGAAAGCAGGTATTCTCAGTAATGATCCAGTACTCAGAATACCTGCTTTCACTTCAGAAGATCAATAGGTAAGAGATAAACAAATAGTTTCGCCATTTTTAAGCAAATTTATTATATTGTTACCTCTATTCTTGTCGTTAACCTTGTCTACTTTATGTGCAAACTTTCTTCCATCAAACTTTTCATTGTACAACCAAGCGATGAACTCTTTGCTTTTCCAATACTCAACTGTCATATCCCAATCTCCATCCGACCAGACGACTTCCGGTTGATACGTACTAACAATATCGAAAAGTTGAGGATAAGAGGTTTGCTGTAAGAGATTGATAAGAGATAAACTCAGCTAACAAATTTCACGTACATCCACGTAATCAGTCGTGTTCTTTTGCGTATCTTGCATGTACAGAGAGTCTTTGCTTTCTACTCTAGCCCACTACCACTCGGCTACCATAGCTTCATAAAGTCTCTGGGAAATTTGCTTATAAACTCAGGGTGTGATTTTTGAAATCCATACAAAACTTGATACGTTTAAAACTTTTGACAGAGTGCTCCATAGCAGATTCGGATTCAGCGCGAAATTCTACGTCGATGGCTCATGCCATTTGGCTGGCACACCCAGTTGACCTGCCCTTTTAAGTAAGCCAAACATCTACAAGAATTTTCCAATAACACAACACTAATTGTAAGTTAAGATACGGGATTTAGTCGCTGAATCAAAAAATTGAAACCTCACCGATATCCGGGTACACAATAAACACCCCAATGCATGAAGATCCCGAATTTCGAGTTGTCATACCAATCGGGAAGCGGCCGGGAATCGATCAACTTTCATGTTGGCTAGGCTTAACAATTAGAATGACAATATGCGCAATATAATCTTGCTGAGATATTTAGATACTGGTATTTGGCTCAAATCTTGAGCAGCTTTTCAAGAACCAATACTAAATGCATTAAATGTGACAATCCCAAACTTTTGTTCACTTCACAATCCAGCACTTGTATTTTCAAAGAACAGATCGCATCTTGAAAGCAAAATTTTGGTTACCTCGTAAGTTTGTGTTAACACCGTAGAGAATAGCGTGATCAAAATATGAAAAAACATCTTATTATTGGCTGGATTACTCTTTGGTGGCACTGTTCAAATCAGAACAAGCACTGAGCTTTAGAGCTTTTCCCTTATAAACTGATAAACTGGGATAGGCTTTTATTACACTTTTTACTAGCAGAAAACAAGAAAATAGATTTTTTTTAATCAAACATGGGAACAATGATCTGAAAAACTGAAAGCTTTGGCTTTGAAAAACTGGATCAAAGTTTTCAATCAAATAGCTGAATAAATTTTTGAGCTTTATTGACATTAAACGATAATTTTCAAATGAGATCTATCAAATCGCCTCTGCGAACCCTAATCTAGCGCGTTTGTAGTCGAAAATCGTGTAGAATCTCTCGATGAACGACGTGCCGAAACTCCAACGATTGCCCGTTCGATTGCCGAACATTAGCCATGAGCAATGATTGGAACCCTGGAAATTTAAGAGGCGAATAGAGATTAAAACTTTAGACAATCCAGCAATTGGAAACTGAATTGACTCAACACAAATAGAACTATGCTTCTAGGAAAGATGAGCTTATAATAAGTGTCTTAGCTTTACTAACATAAACAGCTTGACATAAACAGTTTAAATTTTTAAAAAGTAACGATACTGTAGAGGAGCACATTCTAGTTCTCAACTCACATAAAAGGCTTTGTAGTCTTTCGGCGTGAACATGAATTCCAGATTTGGTCCAAGGGTGAAGACAATGTTTGGCATGTTGATCGGATTACATTCGAAATCGGGAATGAGCTCTCGAATCTGAAATGGATTGACAATTGAAATGGCATTTATTTTTGAGTGCTGAATGAACTTGTGCTATTACATTGAACTTGAGAAAACAAAAGCTTTAGCTCTGCTTTGCAAGTACTCACGCCGTTGAATGCCTCAGTTCCAATATCCATCAGAGAAGCTCCCGAATCGATCATCGCCCAGTGTTTTCGATGCTTTGGAGCCTTCCATACCTAACAAGCTTTATAATTCTGTCCTTAAAATATTCTTCATGATCATTAATTAACTCAATTTTTTTAAGACTGTGGGACATTTGATGCGTCCCGCCCCCTTTGCCATTGGCAATCCAAATTTGAGCTCAAATATATTGGTGTTGGGCTGTGCCATTTAAATAGTTTTTGTACCAATCGATAGAGAAAGAATTGACGCATCCAATGGTACCAAGAATATTTAAATCGGACAGTCCAAAACCAAGAAATTTGAGCTCAAAGTTAGATTGCCAATGGCAAAGGGGCGAGGCGCGTATCAAATGTCCGATAACCATTTTTTTACGCTACGACTTTATTTGAAAGCAAAATAATCTCAATAAGTTGATCAGAACTGCATATTTTGTGCAGCAGATCTCAATAAAATCTACCGTAAGCCCATCGATCGAGACTCGATGCACTTGAATGGTCCAGTATGGATCATGTTGGAGAATTGGAAGCCAATAGATTGGACCCTAAAAGATGACATTCTCGAATCTTCTCTAACCACCTCCATACCGTAAACCTGGCCGGATTCACTCCACAAATCGTGAGCTCTCCATTCCGATACAACATCGATTTGCCCATGTAAATCGAGAAAATTTTGTCCTTGCAATAAGCCTAAAATAGAGTGATTTGATAAATTGCTTAAAAAGTTAAACCTGATTGAAAATGAAACGGAGTGGAGACTCTCCCAGGTTTCCGTAGTTGTAAGCGAGTCCGATCGATCCATCGGTGTCCTGGAATTAAAAAGAAAAGTTTAAAGTTTAAAAAGGAATATTTTAAATAATAACTTCTGAATGATAATCAAAAAATAAACTGATTTGACAATTTTTAAAGTTGGCATTGCATTGCTGATCTCAAAAATTCACCGCCAAAGCGCCTCTGATACTTCTCCCGCAAATGAAGCGTTGACTCGAATCGGTGCAATACCCGAAAAACGTTGGACCCATCTAGAATGCCAGTTATGCATCAAGTTCACAAAATAGTTTTTTTATTTAGCTCTACACAAAGTTTGTCTTTCATCCAGGCGCCCTTCACCGCGCCTGATCCATAAATGATATCAAATTGCTCTCTGGTGTCCACACAAGTTCGCGAGGTTCGACAGTGGAACTAAATATGAGTCTTGAAGTTTAGAACTTGATCTTCAGAGATACCATGGTCACTCTAAAATACCCCAATATTTACTAGGGATAGGCACGAATTCAAGGTCGGCTTGTGACACCTAGTGCAAAAACAAAAAACTGCATTAGGGACCGAACTCTGATCCTGCGGGCGGTAGTCTAATGCGTTACCCACTAGGCCACCAATGTACCACCTCCCTGCTAGAAATGAGCCTTTTAAAGTATCTGCTTTGATGCTAAATTTTCGATTAAAGTTTTACACGCCTGGAAAGTCATTTGGCAGATCTTGATTCCAGATTCGGATTCCTCATACCGGATTCTATAAAGTGCATTAGATGTCCAAACAAAAGCTCACCTTGAGCTCGTTGCTTTCCCTAGTTTAGTAAGACTGGTTTCAGGCTATGAATCAAGTACCAGATCGATGTTGGCCTTGTTTGTATAATAATGGATGGGCGATACAATACCAGAACTGAATCACACTTGCAACGTGCTTCTAATACCTGGTTATGTCTCCTGCATTGGTCCTCTCCTTTTCGACACTTGCAGGTCACCCATGAAAGATCGGAACCCGTATCGAAATCGACAAGAAAAGTTTGCGGTGGATTTCCGATTGTTATCGGACCATAGAAAAAAGCCTGCATGGATTTTAATAAAACAGTAACTAATTGAGTTTACATCATTCTCATTAAGCAATGGTATTCGGAGTCCAAAGTTTGAGCGAGGAATCGACATTTTTTCGACATGATAAGAGCGATTGAGCGGGTTGTGAATTCTAAAGGGTTTTGGTATTCTTTTCTTTAAAATAAAATACAGATTAGTTTTCAAAGAGTAACTTAGCCTCTTTGAATTGGCAGAAACGTTGGCTCTATTTCGAGAAAGGGGACTTTTTGATGAGTACTGGCACTTTGAGAGTTCATAACTTTATTTAGAGATAATGTTAGTGTTAACTTCTTATATAGTTTTAATGAAGACACTTCAGGTTTTCGAATAATACCACATAGAGGTTGATTGGATCATTCAATTCTTTAAAAATCAGGAGTTAAATCTCACCGTTTTCTCGGTTTGGCTACTGTTTCAATTATTCAACAGAATGTGGAATTTGTAGAAAAATACAACCAAATTTAAGGCAAAAATTGATTCCAAAAATTTTAGTATAGTGACCCTGATCTCGGGGAGTCGGGGAATCGACTGGAGCTATTCATTTCATTGAGTATACCAATTGGGACTCGGGGTTTAATTGATCTGAACACTTTATATAGTGATTTTCCTTTGATTTTGAAAATTTATCTTGATTTTCTTAGGATTTTGTGGTCTTAGGATACTTTAGGCTTTGAAATGATACCAAAAACAGGCCGATTTGACCTGTTTTTGGTATCATTTCAAAGCCTAAACTATCCTCATTAAAACTATATAAAAAGTAGACACAAATATTATCTCTAGATAAAGTTATGAAATCTCAAAGCTTGAGAACTTATTCAAAAATTCTCTTTAACGATCTGAAACCAAAAAAGGGTTTTATTGCTTTTGTTCTCTTGTCTTATTGCTTACGGGGTTCTACTTGAGCAGTATGGTAAATGCCAGAATCCAAAAGATAAGGGACTGACCTTTTTTTGCTCTCAAACACATTCAGAAATAATATGCAAAGAACGATCTTGAAGAATATATTCATTTAGTGAAAGCTTGAAAGCTGGCCGAGTTTTGGCCAGGATCAATGATTTGAGCATTTCAGGGGCAGTCACATCAAACGGGTGGACTCATTCCAATCTGTTCCACTCTCATTCACCACTCAAGTCAAGTCTTGCTCTAATCCCCATCCATCGACTTATCACTTCTCACTAAATTTCACCGTTTCCTTTTCAAGAGTCAAAAGAGATCAAGTCAGGCTTGTTTTTTCGTTCTCTCGTTTGACTGCAAATTTTTGAAAAAGGAAGTGGACCATTGATCAGTGTTTGAAATGTTTGAAGGTTTTAAAATAGGTTGGTTTTAAAATAGAAAAAATTTGTATGTTTTAAGAATTTATAAACTTTTGGATTTAGTTTAAAATTGAAAATTATTGAAGAAGCTTTTCTCAGAATTGAAGCTCGAACGAGAGATGGATTTATTATAAATAAACTGTGAAAAACAAATTTAAAAAACGTTCAAAATGTCTACTTGATAAATTTTTCATTACAAAACGATAACAATTTTAATACCTATTATATGAAAAAATGCAAAAATAGTACTCAAATCATTGCTGTTAGGAAAACAAGTCAAATTTACCATTTTCAAAATGATTGCGCTCGGTTTTGAGATGGTTTTGAATCTATTGGGTTGGGGAGAATGAGTCGGCGCCGAACTTTAAAGGGACTTTTTGCACACATAAAGCCTTCTTTAAACATACGTTTGGTTTCATCAAAAGGATCCACTATTTCTCTACAAAATCACTTTTGAGAGATTCCACAAAGCTTTTCTTTCGTGGAGTTTATGAACTTCCAAACACAGCTGGTTAAAATGGCAAAGAGTCCGACTCATCATTTGAACAGTTTCTTTCACATAAACCTTCTTTGGTGTTTATATAAAAAAGATAGAGTATACTCAATTGCATAAGTTGCCAAATTTGCAGGAAGATCCCACCAATGGTTTTTTCTAGATGACCGTTTGTAGTTTTTGTGAAAAAATGGCTTTTTCTTGAGCGGAGGCGCTGTTTGAATTTTCTTTTAAATGTCATTTTGTAGAGAATTAGTTAACCATTCTACTGATATCAAACGCATATTATTTGACGAAGTCGAATAGAAGTTTTGGACATTTTTTTCATTTTCGGCGCCGACTCATTCTCCCCAACCCAATATTTTTGCCTATTTTTAGCCTATTTTACCTATTTTTCCTTGCCAAGCCTATTTTTGAAGCCTTTCAAGTTTTGAGTTTGCATTTCACATTGAATTCCATTAATAATTTGAAACCTTTACTAATAAGACCCGTTTTCGATAATAACAATTCATTAGGAGATTATTAAGCAAAGCATTATTAATTCTTGGCAAACATAAATCTTTCTTTCAAGAGTTCCAGCTTCATTGATTCGGCCGTTTTCTTGCAAGCAAAAAGTGGGAAAGTCGCTTGATCATAACTGTTTTTCGGATAAGCCCATGTGCCTGGACGACAACCAGAACATGAAGGGGTTAGGGCAACGATCTGGAATTCATGTTTAAAAGTTTGAGAAATGAAATTTGAGTTTAGTGAATCTGAATTATCAAAAGAAATTTTAGTTTATCATTTCCCCTTTCAATAGTGAATATATTTCTCGTTTAGGAGATGGACTACATGAAATTTTTGGCTCATTCGAATCTTGCTAGTAACAAAACTAGAACATCAACTAAAAGATAAGAAATTGGATCATTTTTAAATGCTTATTTTATAAAACTTCTCGATTTTCAGGTTTCTAAACTACCAACAATAACCTCATCAACAACTCACCGCTACTCGACCACCACCATTATTCGCACAAATGCTCCCTCTGAAATTGCTTTTCTTTCCGTCGACCCAATCAACTCCATTATTCTCTTTGTAATATGTGCCACCTAAACTTCCTGAATTAAAGAATTAAGTGCTTTGATTACCCGTCAAAATGTAACCCTCAACCGGGCCACCGATTGGTCCAACACAGCCGCGGAGAGCTTGACCTGGAAAGGTTTTTTGGAAAAGGAAAGAAAATGTAATAACGAAAAACAACATAACAAACAATAACAAGGCTTGAAAATTGACTTACTTGCCAAAAAGTCTCCCTCAGCTTTGCTCAAAACCGAGGTGAGATGAGCGTTTCGAGACTCGCAGAAATCCTCGCCTTCATCGTAGGTTTTATTCTCTCCGAACTGAAATTGATTTTGTTTTTCAAACTTCCACAACAAACTTAACTTTAAAATATTTTCTAGTTAGAACTGTACTCTTACATTTATGATAACATGTTATATCATGACTCACATAATAGAATGAATCCGTCTGGTCGAAGTAGATCCACGAGGTAGGGAGTGGGGAGAATGGGTCTGAAAGATTAATGTAAGGAATTAGTTTTTAGCTTATAACTGGAGGTGTAATTACTAAAGTTAGTAAACGATAATGTCGAGGAATTTTGTGAAAAATTGAATACCGAAGTAAAGAAGTGAAGAAATTGGCAAGAAAAAGTGGATTGCGGATAGGGGATTGAACCCTCTATCTTTTGCTTTTGCTTAACCACTGAGCTATCCGGCACCTTAACTTGCCTAGAGAAAGAAGGAACGACAAGGGGGAAGAAGAAAGAAAGAAAGAAAGAAGACGAATTCCCAAGCATGCAAAACTTGCTGGTCTAATTGCTAATGGTTCATTCGCATCTGTATAAGCGATTTGCGAAGTTATCAATTAAGATTTTAATTTGATGAATGCGTCTTTGCTAATCAACTTGCAAATCGTAAAACAATAAAACTCACTAACGGCACCAGTTGTTGTGGTAGTTCTTGTCGTTGTTGTCGTTGTCGTTGTAGTGGTGGTTGTCGTAGTTGTGACAGTTGTTGTATCCGCAGCTCTTGTCGACACAACCAATGGAGCACTTGTCGAAGTGGCATCAATCGTTCCATTCACTTGCATCTCGCAAATCGATGGCAACACCGTCGCACAATCCACCGAGAACCAATACTGGCTCACTGTGTAGACGTAAGCACAACCATTTTGCGATTGTGGCTCTCCTAAATTTGTTCAATTTGTAAGTAAAAACTTAATCTTTTTACCTGGTGCCCATTTTTGATAAGTGATCGGTTGATTGTCGGACCAAACCCAATCGGTTGGGCCACCAAATGGGATGTACCGTCTCAAGCCGATGTACGCGTTTTGACCATCAATGTCTGAAAGATTGAATATTTTATAACCAAACTTGAATATAACTCTATATTTGCATGAAATGTTAAGCAAGAATGTAAACAAACAAAGCACTAAACATTCCGTTTTTTCAAATGTACTCCACATTTGAAAGTTCGTAGTAAAGCTTTGAGTTAAGCTCATGTTTAGGTCATCTTGTGTGTTTTACACATTAGATCCATAGATATGTAGCTACCTATTTAACTACTGTTACTTATTGTCAATTTAAATCATAATTTCCGGTCCTTTTATGGGTTGGGGCTGGAAATAGAAAATATGATCGGCGCCGGAATTCGAACCCGCGACCTATCGCTTACCGGGCGAATTTTTCCAATGAGCTACCCCTACACGTGCCCCATTGCCATCAAGGTAAGACCTGATGCCTTTACTCATAAACCCACGAGTGGTGGCCTCGTTGCTCAAAACGGCGTTCTCAAAGGCATCCTTCACTCTCACCAGTCTTCCCCCAATCGACGAGCACATTCGCTCGGCATAGCTGATGTCAGTGGCTGAAAATGTTCTGTATAAAGGTTTCGATAATAAATCTAATATTGGTATGCCCTTCTTGGTTGTAGTTATAAATACGGATATTTGAATATGTAAGCTTTAACACCGATCATTGTCTGAAAGATTGAATACTTTATGATCAAACTTGAATGTAGATTTACATTTGCATGAAATGTTAAGCAAGTGAAATGTCTAGTCAAGTCAAAACTGAATTTTCTGAAATCTGTGGCTAATTTTAAGCTAAACGCAGCTGCAAAAGGTCTTCCAATATATCCAAAACTTGCAATTACTACTAAATTTAGTAAATTTACAACAATCTTCTAACATTTTTACCTCCATTATTGTAGAAATAGCATTTCCCAGTCTGCGCATTATACAGCGCTCCCGGTGGACAAATACCGTAAACAAGAGAAATCAGAGCAAAGGCGACAATTTTTGAGGCCATTTTGAATATTTGAAATCTACAATCTCCATTCCGTTTTATATAACACAATTATCAGCATTGCTTTATCAATATCGTAAACTTTTTTTTCCAGAGTTTTTCCTCTGACGAGTGAAAGTTTATGAGTCAATCGTTTGTGGAAAAGATAAGCTCTTCTCTTCTCAAATCCAAATCATTTCCGGGGTTTTATTGCAAATTTACGACAATGATTAGAAAGATCAGATTCAAGAACACGTCTGTTGTTCTTCAAAGATAGGAACAGGGGGTTGTTTGGGGTGAGTAAGAAGTGTTTCGAGATTGCACTTTGTGATCAAAAATTGGGAATTTAGACACACCCTTTCTGGTGCATCCACCATTTTCTTGGAGCATCAATCGGATGTCGTGAGAAAACGTGGAGTCTGGAATGCATTAGAAAGGTTGAGTTAATTTTTTGAGCACAAAGTACACTTCAAAGAACAAACCCAAAGTGCTTTACAGTACAAAAGTACGCTAGAGAAACAAGATCTTGTCAAATGAATATTCGAAAAAGCTCAATTTTCCCTTTTTTTTCTCGCTCCGGCCATCTGCCATTTTTGACACTTTTCTTAATAAGATAAATTGTTAAAAAATTTTCTCGATATTTATTTCGTGAGAAAATAACATCTAGTATCATTTAATAGCAATAGGAATAACAGCAACCTCTTTTGTGGAACTTTCATAGCCAAAATTGAGCCAAGATTTCTGGGTTCATTTTGAAACTCCGCAAAAAAGGGAAAATTGAGCTCTTGCAAATATCCACTCGACAATAAGATCTTGCTGTATAAGCTTCTCTAGCGTTATATTTTTGTTGAATGGTAACATCTAGTATCATTTAATAGCTTTTAAAGTAAAGTACCACAAGTTTGTTTGAAGGAATCCCTTTCTAGATGAAAATATTCTGTGTCAAAAAGTGACAAAAATGCCAGATCGCCAGAGAGAGGTGGACTTGAGCTCATTTGAGAGCTTGTAAAATGAGTTATAATATACCAATCGGGTTGTAGATAAATGATGCCAGGATGAAGGGCTTCATTTTTCTATATAGCACTTGGCACTTTGGTAATAAGTCAGGCATTTGCGAGCAACTTTTCCAAAAAGGTGTCACCTTGTATCCTCGGCTAGGCTATGAATCAGCGTGAAAAATGATTGGAATGCTCCAGAAACGGTGGGTTTACAGTTGAGGGCAAAACAAGGAAGTACAATGGCGTTTGATGGCAAAATTGCGTGTTGTACTTTGGCCGGTAAAAACATTTGTATTTTCCAAACGAATCCAATTTCATAGTGAATCAATTTTTGGTTACAGATTGCAAAGTTTTTAGGCGCCTTTGGTCAGTTTAGACTGTTGGCTTCAATCGTCTAATAAAGTCAACTCTTTAATTACCTAGTTTTCCTGAAAATGAAAACTGTAAATCCCAAAGTCCACGTTTCCCTGGCATTCATGAATTGAAAGAATTTTATTCCACAGATTACCTCCTTTTCAGTTTTTCCCTATTTACCCAAATGGACTCTATTGTTCTCAGAAAATAACGTTAATCCGCATAAAAATGAGACACTTGCTAAGCTACAATTTTCGAAAAACATTTGTATTTTCCAAAATTTCTTACAAGATTTGAACTCATTGCAAATTGAGCGGTAAATTGCCACAAAAGTGTCTTTTTTTCAAATTTCTTGATTTCTCTTTTCCCTAATGATTTTGAGGTGCTCGGTTGCCCGGGAGAAATCTCGATTCTTTTTTTGATTAGGTTTGCTTTGGATAGGTAAAAAGGAAAAAAGAAAAGGGACAGGTTGAGTTGGGAATTCGACAAATTTTGCTTTGCTTTTGCGGGTTTTTTTTCGTGTTCTTGGTTTTTATTTCAAAAAACTTATATGCAATTTGAAAGTTAACCATTTCTCAAGACCATTTTCAACTTTTCAGTAAAGCATGGGTCTATTAGACTTCGTCATTTTATTACTTCAAGTTTGCGGAGTCGGCCTTAATGTGCTATTCTTGGTTACCGTTATTGGAAGACTGTAAGGACATTAAAAAAAGCTGTTTATAATTTCCATCTTATATCCTATAATTTATACTTATCCAACCAATTTTAGAACAAGCCGTTGTTTCTTCATCCAACACAGCGTCTCGGTGACAATCTCGAACATTTTGGTCGTTCTCTACAGTGTACTCCTTGTGTCGAATCCCTTTTATAAAATGGATCAGTGAGTTACAAAACAGTTCTGGAATTCTAGAACAAAACAAAACAAAACTAGATTCGTTGGGATAAGAATTACCAGTAAAAAAAACGGATAAAATCAATTTCCTTGCGCAAAAGAAGTACAACATAACCTTAACGTAACTTAGCATTGTCTGATTCATCTAAGAACTTTGAGCTGATAAATAGAAAATATATAATCTCCATAATACAATTTCAGATCCGATGCCGCCAAACAAGGCAGCGAGACAACATTTTTGTGGGGAACCGGTGTTTTTGTGCATCTCTTTCAACACTTTGGGATTGTTATACTAGCCATCTCGAGAACAGTGGCACTCACTTTCAAGACACATGTTCAACATCAGGTTTGATCAGAAAATAAGAAAGGAAATAGGCTTCCTAATGTGAGCTAATAATTTTCCGAGTTTCTCTAAAAATTCAGACTAATTAAACCCAAGTTCTAATTTGTAGACGCAATAAAATGGATAGCTCTAATCGATTCGCTGGCCCCGAAAACCCCCGGGTACAAATTTCCAGAGCAACAACTTTTTTGTATTATCTACGAGGCAAAAGAAAAATCACTGTGTAAATGAGGTGTTCTTTGCGCGTTCTTGGCGCGAGGTGTTCTTTGCGCGACCGCGTGATCACTCGCGACCTAGCAAACACATCCGGTATAAGAGGCTTCCCTTTTGGAGTCCGTAAAGGGGAAGGGTGAGCGGGTTCTCCTTTTTGGGCGTCACTTTGCCCAAATTTTTGGGATCAATTTTATTCCTGTATTTTTTCCCTAAAACTCTGTCAAACCATTGTGTTACCCATACAGCAGCTAAACCGAGAGAATAATGCTATCCAACTACAGGGTGACAAGAAATTACCCTCCTTAAAATTCAACACATAACTCTTATTATCAGTGAGTAAACAAAAAAAAACCACTTTTGAATATAATGCTATTGGACTCTCAGTAGCATAAAAACAAATTATCGTAGAGCTAGGTTTATCCGATATTTTTTGGCATCCATTGGAAGCTTGACATTCAACCTCTCTGGAGCTGCAATTATTTTTTCAGAAAAATGCTTGGTTTTCAGTTGCCAAAACTCGAATCTATTTCAAATTTTTGTTATGTGTGTTATAAAGACAGTTATGTGTTGAAACTTAAGGACGGGCTATTTCTTGTCACCCTGTATAAGTTGAACGTCTGGTCATTTTCAATAAATCGATTCAGGTGTGGAGTAATCGTGTTTGTCTGACCGCTTTGTGCATTCAACTCCTTTTCCCGGTGGCTTTCGTTGCCGTTTTTGCCACCGATGGCCCAGAGATCACCTATGGGAAAACGATGGTCTGGAATAATCGGATACTTTACGTGAGTTTGAAAAAGTATGCCAAGCAACAGGTGTTTTTGTTTTTCAGCAACAGATGTTTTTATGCAATTACCCTATTTTTAGGCCGGCTACCGATTCGTGCTCTTTGTGATTTATGTGGTCACTTCGGGGCTCGCTTTGATTGGAATCACGGCTGGGTTGATCAAAAGGTGATTGAAGGTTTAATTCGTGTACTTTGAGCTCAGAAAAACACATCGCTTTTGGTGCACCTACTTCTGTATTTCTCATAGCAGCCAAGCGTTATCGTATGAAATAGTTTAGTTACCCAGCTTTTGGCTTTTATTGTACTTTGTACTCTCAAATCTGCAAACACACCCTTGCTGATGCATTAATTTCTTTACCCTTATTACAGCAACGACTCAATGTCGCAAAAAAAGAACTGGGTACACCAAAAAGGATGCGTTTCCATTCAAAGACACAAGAAAATATTTCTCTGCAGATTGGATACAAAAATATACGCATTGAAAGTCACACCTTTCCCACGAATCATATGATCATGAAAAACACGAAATGTATTCAAAAACTTTAGAAAAGCGATGCTTCGTCAGAAAAGACTTTCGAATGGTTTGTCGATAATTCCCACGAATGATCGCAATGTCGTGATTCACACCGTGAGAACGAGTGAAGAGCTAAACAGTCAACGTGCGTTTGGAAAAAGCTTATAATTTTGAAAAGTGTTCAACAAAGAAAAAGATAATTAGCTGACTGATAACTTGAAAAGTGAATGTACCTACCTAAATAGGGTATATCTACCTAAAATTTGCTGATAATCCTATGTTTCAATGAAGTAACTTAACAAAAATTGGTTGTACTTTGTCCTCTGAAAAACGCGCCCTTTCTTGGGCACTAGATTTTCCTCATTTTTGTTGGCGTTATGAGAAAGATCAAAGCCAAATCGGCCAAAAAAACTACCAGTTTGTTAAGCTATCAGAAACAGAAGGCACTTTTGAAGCAAAACTGTTCTTAGATTGTAACATCTTGACCGTATTTCTTTTGGTCGTAAGCATTTCTTCCTGCCTATTCTACGATAAACCAGTTCTCCGAAAATCAATTAAATTTAGCCATCCAATACATGCCGAACACCATTCCGACGCTAAAAGCTGAAGCCGGATTTAGTGGTAAAAATCTTTTTTCCTCGATTCCAAATTTTCTCATATGTCAGTGATCGTCGGTCTATTGGTGCTCACGAATTTGATCCAATTTTTCTTCCTTCAACTCGATTTTCCCTCGGGGGAAAATTATGGCGAGATGGCCTGTACGTTTTTGATTATAAACGAAAACTCAAATTAACAATCAGATCCAAGAAAAATATTTTCCAGTTGTTGCAATGGCCACCTATTTATATCCGGTGGGAATCGTGGCGTTGATCGCGAGTCCGATCATCAAGTACAAATTAAGGAATGATCGTGGGGTCAGTGAAAAAAGATTACAGTAAAAGAAGGAAAAAAACTTGATCTTACATTGATCAGTTGACTTTTTTTAAGTTTTGCATTTAAGATCGATCAATGTTTGGAGTAGTTGTCGTTAATGATATACAGGGTGACCAAAAGTTTGTTTTTCAATTCTCAAATTCAGTTTTAAGATAACCAATAAGACTGAACACTTTAGCTTATATTTAAGGAATCTGAAGTGCTTTTAGGTCACAAAAGTCATTAAAATCTCTTGCAGTTGATTTGTCGTCTCTATCGTCGCCTCGCCGGCCCAACAATGAGAGACGTGGCCGTCCTCCCTCCGCCAATTCCCACCAAAATGGAGCCGAATGCTGGCGTTTCCGCAATTTATCAGCCACGAAGAAATACGATCATGAATATGTCTTGAGAGTTTTGTTAGTAGAATCGTTTTCCTCGTTTCTTTGACAATCAACAAAATTCAAGGAGTTAAAAGTTTGAAGTACAGTACCCCAGAATTCAAAAATAGACTTTTCAGTAAAAATTCAGTTATTCTTTAACTTTTCTAAATCTTTAAACTCCGCAGATTCACGTTTTTTTGAGTTTTTTTCTCTCCGATTTGCAACGGTTAGCTTTACAAACTTTTTACGAGTACTCTTTACTTTTGTGATTCATTTTTTGTAAACAAAGTTGTGCTAGGTGTGGATTTCTTTTCGTTTCAAAGATAAAACCCGGTAAACTTTATTTTGTTTCATAATAAAAATTTACGCTTTTGGCTTTTGGACTGTTTCGAAATACAGGCGCTGAAAGTGAAAAACGCGGCTGAAAACTAGGTCACACGGCGGGGGTATAGCTCAGTGGTAGAGCATTCGACTGCTGAGGGGTTCCCGGTTCAAACCCGGGTGCCCCCTCGTGTTTTTTCGACTTGTCATTATTGTCTATTTTCAAAGATCGTTAAAATCTCTCTAAAAATTTTTATCGATCCATTCAAAAAGGCATTTTTCGTCCAGCCAAAATGTAGGGAATAGGCAAAAGAAACAGGAAGAGAAGTAGAGAAAGTTGCGTTTGCCTTTTTATTGCATAACCAAAACCACAATGTGTGCATTCGAGTTTTTAGCTATTTTTCGCATCAACATTTTAATTTTGTTTTGGCTATTTTTCATAATTGATCTTTGGGTCAACTGGGCCAATCTTAATTATCGAAATGTAGCTTATACCAAATGCCAAGCAGTTCTGGTTCTTTTACTTAATTTTTTTATTTCTACTAGTTTTCAAATTACTTCTAGATTGGGTAATGGATTTTCCTGAAGAGAGTCCCGATTTTGTGGAGTGGCTTTTCGTGACATGCCCCCTATCGAGTATCTATCGATTAGACGGGAAAAAGAGGTGGCAAAGGGCCTTTTTCTGCATGTAAATTCAAAGTTTTTAGAAAATACATAGTGAAATACACAAAACATGAGCTGGCCGTGAAAGAAAAGGAGATTTTGGAAGGACTCAGTCACCCGAATATTGTCACTTATTTCGGAACAAAAAAAAAGAGTAGCGAGCTGGGAATTGTGATGGAATTCTGTGAAAGTGGATCACTTTACGAAGGTGGTTTTTGATAATAAATACTTTTCCTTTATCGTGCCATTCAAGGAGTGTCAAGGCTGTAAATCCTTTTGTATTTGAGATCAAAAGTAACTGATTGAAAATGTTTTTCAATTTCAAAATTTTATGTTTGTTTAAGTTTTATATGCCCTTAACGACTTAAAAAATGTTTACTAACAAGAAAAATTCAGTGATCAACAACCCAAAAGTGATCTACACAGTAACAACGGTCGTCACCTGGACATCTCAACTCTTTGAAGCGCTTAATTACCTCAAAGGAAAGCACATTGTTCATCGAGATTTGAAACCTCACAAGTAATTTTTTTTTATTAGCTTTTTCAGGACAAACCTATCTTCGTTGAACGTTTGAATATGCCTAGAGAGCTTTATGGAAATGTATTACCGTTTAAAAATAAAAGTGACAAAATTATCGTTTAGTATCTTTCTCACAAAAAACTTTGTGCTGAAACTGGGTGATTTTGGATGTCATCGTTTTGTGGAGAGAACGATTGGATGCATGGATGAGACAGGCACTCCCCGGTACATGAGCCCACCAAGCACCAACCAATCCACAAATCTTTCTTCTTCAGATCTTCCTCAAGCCGAATATCAAGTGGGATAACCCTTAAATTGCAAGAAAATCATTTGCTATAGATTTCTCACCGAAATGATGTTTATGGTGCCGGACTTGTCGTTTGGGAGATGCTAGAGAGAAGGTGAGTTGTTACAGTGAGTTGTATATATAGGGTATCCAAAAAAAAATTAAGTTTGCCTCGAATTTCCTAAAAATCTATAGTGGCTCTATAGTGGCTCTTGGCGCCAGAGTGGCCACCAAGAGCCACTATAGATTTTGAGGAAATTCGACGCAAACTTAATTCTTTTTTTTCGGACAGTCTGTACTTTTAGATAGGCCAAAATTGATATTGACGCCTCTATTGTCGATTTCATTTGGACAGTAAATGATTAAATGATTGAACATTGAAACCAAACCAGACTTGCAAGCGGAATACCTACGAACAACTATTAACTACTACCATTCACGCTAAAGCAGAAAATTTTTTCACTTTCTTTTGTACAGGGTGCGGCAGGATTATGGAAACTCGGTTTTTCGTCTGTAACTCTACGTCTATTATTCAATTCCCCTAATTTCATATTTATGTGAAATTTTGAGTTAATTTGTGCCGCCAATTTCAATTTTTAATTCAGAAACACAGTGTTACGCTTTTTACAGTATTTCGAAGTTCAGAGGTGCCAACCTCTCGACAGAATCGTTTTTTAGCAGGATTTGCACCTATTTTGAAGAATTTCCCGCTTTGTATTTACTCATTTTTGCTTTATTAAGAAATAAACTTATCTGGAGCATTTCACATCAGAAGATTTTCAATAATTTCAAAATTTTGAGAGCCAATAGTTGAATTCCCTGAAAGCTGAGCAGAGCAGCGATCTGCATGGGAACTCCCCAAATCATTCCTGATCTGCTGTCTTGCAAAGTTAATGCATTTATTTTGTGATATTTGTCTAAATTTAACTGAGGATTGGAAAAAACTAAAAGAATTAGTTGATTTGGGGCCAATTCTTGAGAATTGAAAACTATCGAAAACGATGATTCTGCTGAGAGGTTGGCACCTCTGAACTCTAAAGAATGTACCACTGTGTTTCTGAACGAAAAATTGAAAATGAAATTTGAAATTTCATATAAAACTAGGCAAATTCAATAATTGGACGTCGAGTTACAGTCGAAAAATCAAGTTTCCATAATTGTGCGCCACCCTGTAGTGTAGAGTACTAAATACCATAGTTGTGTAGGTTGCTGGGGTGCATTATCCCGGACGTCGGGGCACACAAAATCTACAACTATAGCTTCTGTGGGTCACAGATTTGGAAACTAGACATTAAATGCTTCAAGAATCATATTAGTTCTGAATCGAAGCTTGAATCGAACTCCATGCTTTTCACCTATCTATTGGTTATTAGAAGAAAAATATTAGTTTCAGAGCCGTCCTCTCGGAATACACCAAAACGATTCAAGGAGTCGACACGTTTGATCAGTCGGCTTTCTGGTTGGATGTGGTCATGAAAACACGAACAGGAACAGGACCGACACCTCCCGAATGTGTTAAGAATTTTCAACAATTTGTTGTTAAGTGAGCAGCTGAGTTTCCTTCAAGTGATTCTACAGTTTTTCAGGTGTACCGAATTCGAATATGAAAATCGACCCACTGCGACGGAAGCCATAAGAGATTTGAAGATGTTTTTGGTAAGTTAAAAATCATGTTCGCTATTTTGAAAAATAAAACTTTTTGTTTATAGGGATGTTTTGATGCTTTAATTTCTAAATTTATCGATGACCAAATAGAAAAAGCTATTTCATCTTGAAAAACTTGAACTAAAACAACAGGAGATGTTTTCTAAGAGAGAACAAAAACCTCAACATATTTTTGGTTATGTTTTTGAATAGTTCTAAACGAATTTATAGCCGATATATATTTATAAAAACAATTTAACAAAGAATTTTGAATTCAGGAAGATCCTTCGTTGATGAGTCATGATTTCCGTCCATATACCGATGAGCAGCTGGATATTGCGATCCGACCGATCGGCTTCGATGGATCAAAAAGCAACAAGATTCCTATCTATACAAAACCCGTTGAGAGTTTTGAGATTGGTTCTTTATCAGTCACCTTTTCCGATAAAACGAAAAATTTAATCCAAAATGATCACTCTCAAAAAGAGATCTCGATCGGTGATAAGTTTTTGGAATCGGTTAAACTCTCAGAGGATTTGAGTAGAGAGTATTTCATCTATCCACGAAAACAATTCAAGGAAAAGTTCCAAGAAATCTCAACAGAAGAAAGGGAGGATTTTGTCAGGAACGTCCCAAAAATCATAGAAACTCACTACAGGAAATTTAATGATTATCACCAAAACTTTAGCACTCACATTAAGGATAAATTGATCCGTGCATCACGACCACAAAAAATCGATGACTATTTTGAGGAAATACTCTTTTGGGATCATTTCCATCAGCTCACACTTTACCAGAAGGCTTATAAAAATCTGGAAAGGCTCAGATCCAGAAAAACTCTTCACATTTTCACCGAACTCAACTTTCTGCTCGATGAGCTCAAAATCATCAAAAGGTTTTACGTTCGCCGAATTCACCTAAAATGCTATTTTTCTTGGGAAACCTTAGAGGAATGGCTGTTTCTGAGAGACCTACGAGTTTCAACGACTAGAGGACGGAAATTCATCCGGAAGGATCTTTGTTTTATGATAAACCAAAAAATCGACGAAGCTGTTCGGATGCAGCTTCTGGGCGATGAGCCACTTGACATCAGTGAGGTGATCGACGCTGTCGATCGATTGATCAAAAAGCTCGAAACACTGTTCACAGTAAAATATAAAGAATTGACGTTAGTGAACATGCCGTCGAAACCCTTTCTGCTCACCAACGACACTCATAGCTTTGATATACGATACGTTTTTCAAATGAAACGTCCACCGATTCACATATGCATCTGTGAGCCGAAATGTGCTGTGGTTAACACGATCACCGTTGATGAAAAATTGCAAAAAATCTATAAGCTTAAAGAATTCCACTATCACAAATGCGCAAACCGATGCCAGGTTTCGTTTTTGAGCAATTTTTTGACTCTTTGCAAACGATTTATTGGTGTTTTGGTGGATAGGACGGAAACGGGTTTCGAAATGGTTTGGGAAGAGGCGGAAAATTTCGAGAAAACGACTTACGAAAGTTCTTTTCGTGATCTCGAATTTCCAGTGAAAGGGTCTCTCAAAAACGATCCGCTTAGTCGTTTCATTCCGAATTTTTTCCTCTTCCTACATTGCTTTGATGAAAGCTCAAAAATTGATGTGATTTTACTCGATCATCCGTCAAATTATCAGCAAAATGAGGAAATTCAGGCTTTCGATCGGCATTTCAAACTGACGACGATTCGGGCGGAAGAAGCGAAAAATTCTCTGTCAACGAGCTCGTTTGTAGCCATCAATACAGTACTCGATTGCTGGCAAATGAACTTTAGAGAGATTTAGAATTTTTTTTCTTTTTGTTTATGTCTTTTCGTTGTTGATCTCAGTGTTAGTCTAAAATATACAGGATGTCCCAGAGAAAAAAACGGATTTTCCAAGAAAACGCTTCCATTCTTTCTGACAGACTTTCTGGTTCCAAACTGATTTTTTGCTGATACTATTTTATTTTCTCATTTTTAAGCTTTTAGCGAGTATAAGGCTCGAAATTTGAAATAAAATTTATATGTGAAATCGCTAAAAACATAAAAATATGAAGTTTACAAAAAGCCGCAGCATTGTCGTCAAAAAAGCATGTGTTTATTTGTGAAAAATTTTTAGGCTTTATTGTTGAGTCGAAAAAGATTGTGCCACAATTTGAAAAAGATCATGCCACAATTTGAAAAAGATTGTGCCACAATTTGAAAGAGTTTGTGCCACAAAGGGCTGTTATCACACAAAAAAATAAATTGGTTTTCCTCTTTGAATTATCTTGTGCCACATAATTTTGGTGGGGTTTTTTTCATATATAAATGCCGCTGAAAAGAATTGTGGCAGTGAATGGAAATTTCTGGTAAACACTTTATCTCTTTTTCATTTTTACGTTTATCGAAATTTTCTAATTTTTCTAATTTTTAGGTCAAATCAGTTTTCTTTATTCTAAGCGAGAAGGTTTTTCTGTTTTCCTGCCCGTGTATGTTAGTTATGCGATTTAGACAACGGATTGAGCAAGAAATTTGCAACTCTTTTTTTACGTAGTTTTTTACGTAGTTTCATGTAGACTAATATATTCTATACCGAAAGTGCCCGTTTTGTAAAAAATGCCAACGCCGGAGGGTAGCAACTGGCTATTTGTATAGTAGGGAATATCCATTTATTGTAGGTTATGTTCTGTACCGATAATTGCTTTATTTATTTATTATATTTATGTAAAAAAGAAAGTAGATACGTTTTTTAGAATTTTCTCTGTGAATGGGTGGTGTCGAATCAAAAGAGATCCCGGATACGGGTGGGAGTACTGGAAATGACAGCAACGAATTGAGTGAGTAGAGTTCAGACTAGACGGTGTTCTTCTCAAGAAATTTGTTTCTAAAAAGTGCTATTTATGAAAAAGCTACCGTTAGCTAGCTTCCACCCTTTTAATTTACATTTAATAATTCGACAATCAGATTTATATTTCTTAATATTTAATTCCCATTTAGCTTTTTATTTTGTATCTTAAAAAATCATTCTTTCTTTGCAAGAAAAGTGTTTTTGGCTGAATATCCTAAAGTTTTGAGACATTTTGAAGCGCGTTTCAGAATTGTTTTTCTTGAAATTTCTTGAGAAAAATCATACCACCATGGTCACCACCACCATACGGGCCACCACCATCAGGTTTGTGCCATAAAATTAAAACTCTTTACTGACATCGTGGTGTATAATAAACACTATCAGGATAACTACAAATTTAAACCATACACTTTATTGATCAGCGTCTCCTTGGAAAAACGGGACACTTCTTTAAAAAAGGCGAGTTGAAAATCTCTTATGTACGACAGATTACCATCTAATATAGATGAATAAAGCGTTTGGCTAAAAATTTTATTTTATCTATTAACTCTAATATGATACCATGATGCCAGTAGAAGATTTTAATTTTATGGCAAAAATCTGATGGTGGTGGCCCGTATGGTGGTGGTGACCATGGTGGTATGGGAAATTTTTTGTATATGGTGAAAATCATGAAAAAAAATCGAAATTTCCCGAGCTCAAAAAAATCACTTTTTGCACCATCCCTACCGCTTTGAGCCACCGAAAATATTTTTAAAATTTGACCCAAAGTGGATTTTTTTTGGGTACCCTGTACACATAATAAATTCAAGAAATTCAAGATTTCGAATTAAATTTCATTTCCAACTTTTACAGACTGGTACAACTCAAACGATTACGACTTCTCATCACAGACCAAATACGAAAGCAATACAAAAGGAATAGACATCGAACCATCATCTGATCAAGGTCCCGGAAATGATTGGAAATAAGACAGTCTGTGATGAAATGGATTTTTTTTAATAGTTTGATTCATTTTATTGATAAGAGTTTCAATAAACTTTTCGTTTTCTCGTGTGTTCAATTCTACAAAATTTGATCAACTACCTATGGCTAAGTGAAATGATCGAACTTAAGCAGCCAAAAATGGGCTGATGGAGAGTTGGTCATTTAAAGATTTCCATCCAAAAAACTTACTTTGGTGTTCAAATAAAAATGTTTAGATTTAGAATGTTTAATTACGTCTACACTGAAATTTTTAAATCAATCTATCCAGTTGTTTTCTCTGAGTGACGTTTTCTTGGTTTTTAACAAAAAGCTTGGCGAATTATACTCATCAAAAATACAAAATTTCAATGATTTTGTACGGTACTTGGACTTTTGACTCTTTGTGAAGATTCTTAATTAGCAAATGGTTGATCTTGTATTTTTATTTTTCATACCAAAAATATCAAAGAAAGGAGAAAGGATTCACTGAAAGCAAAAAAAAGAGAAAATTTGTGAAAAAATGCTATATTTAAAAAGTCCATTTGTTCTTAATCAGAATCCTTTCTTGGTCGAGTGCCCTCTAATCCCAAATTTGAACAAAAACGATTGCAAGAATGTTTCGAAAAGAATCCACTTATTCCATCGGGTCCATGGTTCATTTTTCCATATCGTGTCAAATCTTTGCAATGAATGGCCGGATCGGTCAGAATGACAATCGTTTTTCCCGTTGAAATCTCTTTGCTGATGATTCCCTCCAAGTCAACAACCATCAGAAAGGGATGCTTGGGTCGCACAGTTACAGGGCACAGTTATTTCCTTTGATGGAAATTTCTATGGGAAAACCAAGTTCTAACCTGACTTCCGACTCGGTCGTTGACCAAAACTTTAACACCCAATATAAAAAATGTCATATTTTATGTCTAGTTTTCGAAAAACATCTTGGCCCTTGAAAATCTTTTGATCCATAAAAGTTACAGGCCTGAAGCCTCAAAAAAATGTGCGACCAAAGCGCCCTTGAGCGGACCCTCTTCTCAATCACTTGTCTTAAATAGTGTTGCACTTATAAATTAACCAGAAACGTTTTCTAAATCAGTTTTTCGCGAGGAATTCAAATTTCTTACTGTTAAAATTGTATCTTTTATCTAACATTACCAAAAATGCAGAAAATCCAAGTACGGGAACTTTTGGCGCACCCTGTATAAAGGGACTAAGACGTCTGTCTGTCTGTGCGTGCTACTCCTCAGCCTCCAGAGGATCTTTTGCCGTGATTTTTGCCCCGTTGAATAGAGAATTACATGTGGTTGTGCAACGTGCTTTTGGATTTTTTAAAAAGCACAATTCGCGTCGCACGGGGAGGTCGAACCCGGATCGTATGGGCGATAGACCGGCTCCACGGTTCCACGGCGGCAAAAGCCGCCCATCCCCAAAACATCCAGAAAGCCCGCCGTTAGGCGAGTTTCTTGGTTGGTCAAAGATAAATCTTAATATTCAAGTTATCCAAAGTCGGCCTTGTAAGTCCAATGTGAGAAAGCCATGATCTGATGGGCAAGATCAACGGAAACACCCAATTCGATTGCTTTCTTCTCGGTGAGCTCTGAAAAGTGAAGAAAGTTCATTGTTTACTAGACCAAGGGTCAATTGTCTTTTTTGTCATTCCAAGAAGCCAACCGTAGAAAGCATTATTGGTGAATCGAACGAATTTATCGGTTTCTGCAAACCGTCTCTCGGATGACATGAAAAGTTCTCCTGAAATGGAAGTAAAAATTAATTCGATAATTCGTATCGTTTTGCGGAGTTCATTCCTTTTCCCAAATGAAGATATTCTTTCAATGCAATTTTCTCATTTTTCTGCTTGAATTCCAGGCTTTTTGTCTTCTTCTTTTCTGAAAAAAAAACTCAAAAACGCTTTCGTTTTCTCTGAAACTCTCGCTTTTCAGCTGTCTTTTCTCTTTTGGGCGTTCGATAATCAAGAAAAAACTAGTTTCCTCTCGTAAGCAGAGTTTTTGAAACTCACTAAGTGTGAAAATCCATTTTTTGTAGACTTTTCACCACTTTGCAGAAAATATTGCCTTGTAAATACTCAGAACTTGAAGTTTTGGCTTTTTTGAGACTTTTCAACGTTTGGAGAATTTTTCAAAAAAGAAACAGGCCGATAAAGAGGCTATCGCTAAATAAGCTTTCCGTTGAATTCCACGAAAAGAATTTTTTTCCCTTTTTACGATAAAGTGACAGTATTGACTTGCAAATCGAGAAATTTATTTTGAAAAAATTTATATGTAAACCTGTGAAATTATGCTTTTTTTCAAAATTTACCTAAAAATTATCACTTTATATCCTTTGTTGTTTCTAGAAAGACTATGTCAATTTTAGTTCCAATGGCTGATTCAGTGGTATCATGGGTGGATGAGGAATCGAAGAAGAGGGATTCGGAATGGACAAGGGAAAGAAGTGAAGAGAAAAAGAAGAAAAAGGAGAGCTCTTCAGAGTCAAAAGTGAGTAAAATGAAGAAAAGTTTTAGAAGATTCTAATCTTATAATTTTTTTTTAGAGCTCATCAGCGATGAAACATTTGACGAAACGTCTCAAAGCAATTTATGAAGACGAGGGACTTGATTATGGTGACGTGGATGACGATGAGGAGGCGATTGTCGATCGATTTAGTGTTGGTTTGAAATATCAGCTTGAAAATTGAAAATCAGAAGAATTGGGAGAAGCGTTACAAAAAATTATTGGATTATGTCCTTTTAGACCGCCACCAAGTTACGAAAGAAACGAGTGGCCGAAGTTTTTCGATCAATTCGACGCGCTCGAAATGTTGAGCTCTGCTTTTTGGTGGATTCAACTGGGTCGATGGGACCCCATATTCAAGGAGTCAAAGAATCAATTCAAAAAATCGTCGAAAAACTCACCGATTCTGGGCTGCATGTGTCTTTCGGAAGCAAGAAAGAAACTCCAGAAGTGCAAAATCTGCAGCTCGCTTTTATCGCTTACAGAGATTTCGGCGATCTCAATCAATTTGAAGTTTTGCCGTTTACGAGTTCCACTTTGAAATTTCAAAACTTTTGCTTGGGAATTGAAGCAATAGCTGGTTATGATCCGCCGGAAGATGTTTTTGGTGGACTGGAGCATGCATTAAATTTAAACTGGTCTGAGAATGCCGGAACAAAGGTGATCTTTCATATTTGTGATTCACCATGTCATGGAAATGATTTCCATAACGATTTAATTGACAAAATGAATGATCGCTATCCATATGGAGATCCAAATGGAAGAAACCATCGAGACCTTTTTATGAAACTCAAAGCAATGGGGATTCAATATCATTTCGGAAAGATCATCAACTATACAGATCTAATGATAAGCAAGTTTTCGGAAGTCTATGGAGAAAAGATAATGGAGTTTGACGTGAAAAGAGTTGACGATATCAGAGAATCAGTGATCACAGCTGTCTCTGTATCTGTCTCAGCATCGATCTCTTCAAGTAAAGCAAGTTCAGGAATTCCACGAAAAGAACGGGAATACAAATTTGATAAAGTGGAACCAAATTGGGAGTTTTTGCCAGAGAAGAAGGGAAAATTTATGTCCTATGACTTTCCAGATAGCATCAAAGATGTTATAGATGATGTTCCACTGAATAGAAGACAATCAAAAACTGCAACGGTGAAAGTGGCAGGGAATCCATTTTCGAAAGGAGCTGAAAGAGTCGCATTTTATGGATTGGATCTCTCGACTTTCGTTGATGAAAAGAAGAAGACAAAAAGCCTGGAATTAAAGCAGAAAAATGAGAAAATTGTATTGAAAGAATATCTTCATTTGGGAAAAGGAATGAACTCCGCAAAACGATACGAATTATCGAATCAAATGCAAACGATCGCCTCGTATTTGGCGCTAAAATTCAGTCAAGAATTACAAGAAAAGTTGGGTACAGCTGTTGTTTTGAAATTTCTCAAGATTAAGACGATTTTCATTGGATCTGATAAAGGTGAGAAAATAAAAAAATAGATTAATTTTTACTTCCATTTCAGGAGAACGTTTCATGTCATGCGAGAGACGATTTGCAGAAACCGATAAATTCGTTCGATTCACCAATAATGCTTTCTACGGTTGGTTTCTTGGAATGACAAAAAAAAACAATTGACCCTTGGTCTAGTAAACAATGAACTTTCTTCACTTTACAGAACTCACCGAGAAGAAAGCCATAGAATTGGGTGTTTCCGTTGATCTTGTCCATCAGATTATGGCTTTCTCACATTGGACTTATAAGGTCGACTTTGGATCATTGATTATTAAGATTTATCGTTGACCAACCGAGAAACCCGCCTAACGGCGGGTTTTTCGGATGTTTTGGGGATGAGCGGCTTTTGCCGCCGTGAAACCGTGGAGCCGGTCTATCGCCCATACGATCCGGGTTCGACCTCCCCGTGCGACGCGAATTGTGCTTTTTAAAAAATCCAAAAGCACGTTGCACAACTACATGTAATTCTCTATTCAACGGCCCAAAAATCATTGCAAACGGCCCTCTGGGGGCTGAGGAGTAGCGCGCACAGACAGACAGACGTCTTAGTCCATTTATATATAGTAGATATTCAAGACAATTTATGATTAGATGTAGAAAAAAACTTATAGAACAATAGTACTATCAAATTTCACTGTTTTCGCAGTAAAACAGGTTTTTTATAACAGAATATATTGGATTTTTTTAATTTATTAAATGACTATTAGCTAATTTTCATATAATAAATTTATAGATTCGTCTAAAAACGAATTTCTAAAAGGCATAAAACCATAATTTGATGAACAACTTCAGGTAACAAAAGGCTTTCTGATGGTTGTTGACTTGGAGGGAATCATCAGCAAAGAGATTTCAACGGGAAAAACGATTGTCATTCTGACCGATCCAGCCATTCATTGCAAAGATGTGACACGATATGGAAAAATGAACCATGGACCGGATGGAATACGTGGATTCTTTTCGAAACATTCTTGCAACCGTTTTTGTTCAATTTTGGGATTAGAGGGCACTCGACCAAGAAAGGATTCTGATTAAGAATAAATGGACTTTTTAAATACAGCGCTTTTTCACAAATTTTCTCTTTCTTTGGCTTTCAGTGAATCCTTTCTCCTTTCTTTGATATTTTTGGTATGAAAAATAAAATACAAGATCAACCATTTGCTAATTAAGAATCTTCACAAAGAGTCAAAAGTGCAAGTACCGCACAAAATCATTGAAATTTTGGTGCCCCCTATCCTTTTTTTGACTTTTCCATGAAAAAGTATGGTGCTTTATAAAGGCAAAATTGGCTACATACAACTAACAAACCAAAATATTTACTAGCTTTTTGGATCTCACTATCAACAACCTCATTTTCAAAAATAATCTGTAGTTTAACCAATAGGCAATCTTCTGTTAAAAAAGATACGGTAAGTTCTAAAACTTTTCCAATTCTGTGCGCAATCATGACCGCATTTTCCCCACACTTTTGCTCTTATCAAAGACCAGCGTGAAGGTCAATCAAATCACCAAAAACTTTCAGTTTTTACGCCATCTTTTCTCAGTTTCTTCAATGGGAAACGACTCGATCCAATCATCTCTGGACTTTTTTGCATTGTGACAAGCCACAAAATGATACAAGAGTGAAATTTGATGTCGAAGTCTAGCGTGATCTTTGAAGCTTTTGATCAGAAGAATGAGATGGTCTTTGAAATTTGGAAGGGGAAATCGATTAGAGTACTTTCAGCAAGTTAAAATTTTTTCAAAGCTCATTTCAGAAACTTCTTGTTACCTAGATCGTAGTGTCAAAGAAGTCTAAAAAAGGTTATTTGGTGTGGTACGTTTTGCTCCTTCAAAGGCGGGAAGCCGTCAAATACAAAAGAACCGGTTACGACAGATCAAATAGGAAAAAAAGTCCACCTGCTTTGATTAAAAGCCCAAAAACAAGTGGGTTTTATTTAAGAATGCATTAAAGGTTTAGTGCTACAACTGAATATCTTCAAATCATCGCAAGAGTTTGAAATTGCTTGGTTTCTTCATTTTTTAAACTTTCCTCTTGAGCTTTGAAGTTAATATATGAAGGCAAATTATGCATTTTTTAATATAATTTTCATCTAATAAACCACTAAACAGTTTGAAAATTCGCATTTTAAATGTAAGAAGTTGAATTTTTCCTTCTTCAAAGCTTTTCCCTTTCATGGTGTTTTAAAAAATTTAATTTCTTTTCTATTTTCAGATGCCCGACGCTTTAACAATTTCGACTTTGTTAGAAGATCTCGTCAAACAAGGACACAAAGTACAAAAAGAGCTACGGTGCAACATTTGGTGAGTTTGAGTTTTTTGTTTTCAAAATCATTCTATTTTTAGTTTTTCAATCCCTCAGCAGCCATGTCTAACAACTTGTAACCATCTAATTTGCAAGTATGTTTTAGTTTTATTATACAAATTTATTCGTTTTGTTTAGACCTTGCTTTGATGGATGGATGAAAGAAGGGAAAGGGCCGAAACATTGCCCTGTTTGCAAGTTTGTGATAGATACGAGGTTTGTTTTGTTTGAGGTATATTTTAAGGCATTTACATTTTCTAGGTATAGTATTGCTATGGAGCGACTATTAAAATTGAATTGTTTAGTCTAAAAAGTGTTCGAGAACTCTTACTACATGGTACTACTTATCTTGGAAAAAAATTTTAGAGCTATTGGTGACTGGCACCTAGAAGGAGTATTCTGAATGCTGAATTAAAGTTTTGATTCAAAAACTTTTTCAGAAGAAACGCTGAAGTCGACTACTTGAAATCATGGACTAACAAATATCTACAATTTGCGAAGACGTTTATGAAAGAAGTGGCCACATACGCGCATACTTTCGAAGACCCTTTTATGGAGAGCCAGGTTGGATTTTTTTAAACATACTGAATAAAGATTTTAGGTGGTCTTCACACAAATGCCAACTCGTACACCTGATCGACTAAAAGAAATACCGATCCATTCACTGGAGCAATTAATGCAACCTCTAACACCTCTCGAAATTGTTGACGATGACGATGACGTTTTACCGCCTAGCCCGGAAGTTTTACCGCCAGCGCGAAAGAGGAAACGGAAAGTAGGAACTTTGGTTTCTGTTAATGTAAAACTTTGTTAAGACTTCTGGCCGAAAAGAAAAGACGATAAGCCCCTATTCTACTACTCCAGTCAAGCCAAGTACGCCATTGAAGTCAAGACAACAAAGGGATTGTTTTCCTACGGAAGATACACGCGTTGTACAAGTAAGTTACGGGTTTTGATGCTAGCAGCTCTTTGATCTTTGAGTTCAAAAGAATTAAAGCTATTGGTGATAATTTTAGGACTCAACTCAAACGAATTTAAAGCAAGTTTCGCGTGAAACCCAAACTTTGGAAACTTCAAACACCACAATCGATTTAAATGGCTTGTTAGCAGGTTTCTATTCTTTTTGTTTAGAAAATTGAGCTATTTAGATGGAGATGCGCCCATCACACTTCGTTCCATATTCACAAACGTGACGGGGTTAGAAGAGGCTTTAAAGAAGGTTTTATTGAAAATATTTCGCCAATAAATCATTTTTAGAACATTGATGAATTGAAGTCTTGGGTAAAGGAGAATAGCAACGATGACGAGGAAATGGTTGAAGCAGCGGATTTGCAACATATTGAGGTCACGATTGATTTGGCAACATTAAATGTGTGGGTTTTTAGAATGTTTCGAAGCCCGTTGTATTTTTTTGTGGATTATCCGATTTTGATGAAGAGGTATGTCTACCATTTTATTATTCAGCCTTTGAAATAAATTAAACGATTTCCTTTCAAAAATGCTAAATGGTAGTATCGAAAAGCTTAACAATTAAGGAGAAATGACAAACTTTTAAGAGTTCATCGTTATTTTCTTTATCTGAACTTTATATTTATATATATCTATATATTGTTATAAATTATCTTTTAGGACTTGTGTTCCGAATTTTGCTTCGCTTTTCACAAAGAAGTTGAAATTACTCGAAGCTTAACGAATGCACAATGTCTCGTCGTTATGGGGAAAAGTGAGTTTCTGATTAGTATGGCTTGGTGGATGATTATCGGTGCAAATATTATAACTTCTTAAAGCATTGATTGTATTTATCTTGGTAAATTCTTTAGGAGAATATGCTGAACATTCACTTGCCTATCGAACAGCAACAACCAAAGGAATGAGGATCATCGATGGAAGATGGGTCAGAGACAGCTTAAGATGTCAAAAGCTCTGTGATATGGTGAATTTTTACAGTAATTCCTCATATCAATTCGATTTGTTTAGATGGATTACGCCTTCAAAAACGAATAAGACTTCAACTTTGATTCACTTTTTTGTACATTGATTTTTCGAATGAATGGTGCCAACTTTTTTTTAAAGTTAATTTTTAAAAGTGTAACGCTTTGTGACGATCTATTTACCGCCTTTTAGTTACAATCAAAAGAATGGCAAATATGAAAGGCAAAGGGAGTATGATAAGTTCAAAGCGCACTTTTTAGAAAATGCATTGATTAGTAGAGCAGAGTTTTACTCTAAAAAGTCTAAGTCACATTTCGACCGGAAAATCTAACTTTGCAAATTGGATTGTTTCACAAGCTTGCTTACTGCTCAAATCAGCACAAATGCGATTCTCAGTTACAAATTGACCTTTTGCACGCAAATGATCTTCATTTGGATTTTTTTCTGCTTTTTATTGGTGTCAGAGTCATCTTTTCGATCCAGTTGTCATCATTCTCTCTCACATACCGATTTTTGTGCCGCTTCTATAATAAATCGTGTAGGTCGGAAATCGGTTTACAGAGTTTTCAAAAAGAGATCGAAAAGTTCGGTTGTTACTTTTAGTAACAACCGAAGTTTTCAAAAAACGGATTTAAAGTTGATGTTGAGAAATAAATCTGAAAATTTTGGAGGGTTGAGGATCTAAGAAGTACTTAAACTGGAGAAAGGTATACAACTAATACATTATAGATAGCGTTCTTTCAATTGAATATCAAATGAAAACAAGAAAATCAACAAGACAAACAAAGACAAAGAACAAAAAGAAAGACTCGGGCAAAACTTGGATTTTGTGGTGACAAAAAGCATTTTGTCCCATTGTTGCAGAAATTTTGAAAACTAAATAGCTAAATAACAGCTTTATCAGTAATCACACCCAAAATGCACCCAATCCAACCGATGTCTGTCTCAGTCGCCATTTCCCTGAAGAAATTGAAACGCTCACTTGACTCGCCCTTTTGTGATCTTCTGTTCCAGCACAAAGAAATCATCAAAAACATCATCAAAATGGCTTTTTAGCATTTTTTGCAGTTTTCCTTAAGTCATAGCTCAACTTCTGATTTTTATTCAAGTTTAAGTTCTATTGGAACATCTTTCGAAATTTCAGTCCATCTTTTGGCTTTTTTTTGATCTCACTGATCCCAGTTTGAATGATGATCTTACAAAAGCCACCGTCTGCCATGGGAAATCTTGATCTTCATCAATTTATTTATCATGCGAATCTTTGCTCTTATTCTACTTGTTCAGCTTTTGGAATCTACACGGTTCAGTGAGTTTATTGTTCACTTATTACTTACAAAGCAAACAATAAGCTCACCTAGCACCTAGCTTAAAAATTAGCTGGTTTGACTTTTGTTAGAGTAGAAACAGCTAACAATGCTCTTAATTTGCTGAATCTTGAGCTTTAGGGAATCTTCCAACACTCCAAGGATCGGTTCAGTCTTTGGTTGGTTAAACTTTTTCACAAAAATACAAAAAGTTGGTCTGTTAGGTAACTTTCGAAAGTTGGCACGTTTTATAAAGTGGATTACCTAAAAGACTCATTCTCGAGGTTCTATGCGTAAGCTTACTCTACTCTCCGCAACTTTTAGGTGGACACTCATTTCGGGCTACAGTACTGCAAAATACCAAAGACTGGCAGCACGATAACCCGAACAATCCTTTGTGACATCTTTCGAGAGTATCGAGGAATGAATTTCACCCAAGAATTCACCGATAATCAAACTGGTGAAAAGTTCGTACCAGTTTATGACTTGTTACGTTTAAACTTTTAAATTGACTTCCCAATGGTGAGAATTGGGCAAGAATTGAGCAAGAATCTATCAACGACGAAGTTTCGATCGTAGCTCAATTTTGTCCACATTGGGAGGACCAAGTCAAAATAAACAAGCCTGCGGCTTCTTCCGTCATTCAGAATACCCGACAAAAGCCAAATTTAGTGCTTGTGTGGCAAATGCATGGTTTCCCGATGATGGGGAAACAATTTGGAAAAAGCCACGCCGTGTGACGAAATTCACGTTAGTGCGAGATCCCGTTGACCGATTCGTTTCGTTATATGGACATTTTTGCGGGTTAGATTAACAGAAAAATCACAATCAGTTCAATTTAACGGTCATTGCAGAATCCTGAAAAGATGCGGTGATCGAAGTATTTCCGCATTCGCTGCCTGGGTTTACAACATCTTAAAGAACAAAAACCAAAACCCAGCCCTCAAAGTGAAAGAAAATGACGATCTTACTCCCCAAGACTATAGTGGACTCTACTTTCATGCGCTTCCGCAAACAAGGTAATTTTTAATACAACTCTCAAATGTAAATGATTTAGATTTTGTGATCTCGATCTAGAACCCGAAAGCTTTTACATAATCAAGTATTCACATAATAAACGACAAATGAGAAGAGAATTTATACGGCTTTTCCGAAAAGCTCGAATTCCACGGAACGTTGCGACGAGAGTGAGTGAAAGCGCTTTCTAAAAAGTGTCAACTTTTGAAAACTACCGTGTTCTTGCCACTAGTTATTATTCAAACGAAAAAACGAAACGAGTCACTACTAGTATTTATTCAAATTAGATCAAGCTTAGGTAGATTGGTAGATGATTAAAAGTAGATAAATTATAGATAATCAGAGCCAAGGTTACGGTCGATTTCGAAAACGAGCACATTTTGGGTGCTCTTGGATGAATCGTTGAAATAATTCTTTCAGGCGCTTCGACATTTGGTTCGATCCAGCACCAGACATCAGAGCAATACCGTTGAAGAGAAAGATCTGTTCCGAAAGGAGCTGCTCAACACTCAACAAACGAGAAATCTCCTCTATGCTATGTATCACCAAGATTATAAGATATTAGGATTTAAGTCGATTATTGATGATTAATAAAATTTGAAACTTTAAAACTCATTCAATTTAAAAGCTTACAAAAGTACCGTCGACCCTCGATGTAACGATTTGTTCGGGCACTTGAAATCGTTATATCGAAACAATTAAATCAACGTTTTTCAAACAACACGTTATATCAAGTTATTAGAACGTATTTTTCAACAAAAAGTAATAAATAACATTAAGAAAAAGTCAAAGCTTATTGAAAAAAATCTGTTAACGAGGCTTGCCTATTAGTTGTTATTAGTTAATGTCAATAAAAAGTTTATGGTCGATTCGGCAAAAGGACTCTTGTTTGCAAAAGTAGAATTACTTTGAACTACAGTAGCGAGCAAAAGTCTTGCAACATCACTTTTTCAAAAAATGTATGAAAATTTTTTATAGAAAATGCCTGGTTGACTGCGAGCATCCATGTTTGACTGGGCAAGGACGAGCCGACCTGCCACATTTTTTGCCATCCCCTCTAGAAAAGTACAAATTAATGCATGTATTAGAAATGAGGCTTACCAAAACACATGATTGAACCTCCGCCAGCCCGCATTATAGGACGCAAATACTTGAGGAGTATTCGCTTTCCAATGGGTCGTCTGATCAAGTGGTTGTCTTTTGAAGAAAAGATATCCACTTTTGTTTCATCAAGAAAAATCACGTTGACCCAATCCTGCTTTGTCCAAATTTGGTACATCCTGAAGAATAGAAGCCGTTGCTTTTTGTGACCAGCGGTCATCAAAGGCTTTCGTACAGCCCTCCGGCTATACAGTCCTGCTCGCGTCAATCGTCGAGAAACGGTTCATCGAGAGATTTCCTTGTTTGCAACATCCTTGATCAGCCGAGCTCCCTCAGTTGATGTCATGTTCGGATCCTTCTTGAAAGCCCTTTGAAGGGTAATGGATCCTCGTTTGCTGTTGTTCTTCTTCGCCGTCCTTTCTTCTCTTTTCGGTGTATACGTCCAGTTGTTTTTGCTTTTGAAACAATGCGAGAAACGGTCGATGGATCGCGTCTGAAGAGATCGAAGACAACGGCTCGAGAAATTCCTTTTTCTGTTGTTTTCACGACTTTTTCTTTCTCGAGACTCGTCAAGTAAGTACCTGCGATCTGAAAAAGACAAAAATTAGTGTGAATTAGTTCATTTGAAAACAATAAAAATGAAAATGTTGCAAGACTTTTGCACCCAGTTTTTAGGGTATTTTTTCGTGGTTTTGCCATTTACTTTTTTGTTTTACACTGAACTTCAAATTTGTTTTTGTAAATAAAGTGTGCATATATTATTCTAACAAAAACAAAAAAAACCCCTACGAACGAGAGGCATTTTCTATAAAAAGTTTCCGACTGTATACAAAAATTCAGCTGATTAGCTTTCTCTTTCAGTTTAAGATCAAATTCGATTTTTCTAATTGATCTTTTGCACTTGGCGCTGATCTTGGCTTTCATCTTTTCTTTTGGTTGTCATTGAGCGCGTGACGCCTTTTCGATCCAATCCACTTTCACCGCATTTCGCAAGTGGTTTATTTTATGACTTTTCACGCAAACTTGGAAGAAAATCAGAAAAAAAAGAAAAAAGAAAAAAAATATTTGTCTGCTTTTATAAAATAATAAGTAGTCTTTTGAAATCTTTCAAGTATTAAATCAGGCCCGAAACTTCTAACCAAGAGAGATCAGGTATGGCTAGAATTTGACGAAAATTGATAACTTTGAAAAGCAAATTCCAAAGCGATGAGTTTTTAAAACATTTTTTTGAAAGGAATCAACTCAAATTTTAGTTTGAAATATGACCAAAAACAGGGTAAAGACAAGGCTGTTCCAAACCCTTTCTTCTTCTGGGTTAGGCCAGGTCAAAAGTAACAAGTTGGAAATGATGCAGGGTTCATAGAGCATTGTTTTGAGATTCTAATTTCCAAACGATTTTTTCATGAATACCCTTGGCCACAACCCTATCCAAGCCGGAAGAGGATGGGATACTGCAGGCAATATGGACTATGAGTGGTTTATTAGCAAGGAAACCATTACCCTATGAACCATAATCATTTGTAAATCTGCAACCGATAACCCATTTGATCCTCCACATTGGCATCGATTTCGATTCGATGACAATCATCACGATTTCCACCTTTTCCGAATCGCGCTTTTGTAGACACATAAAGCAATTTGTTTGATCTTTTTTTGCAAAAGAATTTTGTCACTAGTTTGTTCTTGGAACGCCCATGATACTAGAGAACTAGAGAGCGAAAAGAAATGCGGAAAAAGGTCAAAAGTGTCGAACTTACTATTGTAATTGGATCATATAATACTCCTTCACTGATTCGAATTTCTTAAAGCTGAAAAATTGCATTGGTACTCTACAAAAATCTGTTGACTGAATCTTCTGAAATTAGAAGATACTTGTATTGTTTCATTTCATCACTGATGAAAGCGTCAATCTTATTCCTAGTCATACACCTTGTGCAATCGAAGAGTGAGTTCCAAATCCAAAATCTCAGTGAAAAATTGGTTTAGTAAAATTATTGCCAACTTCTAAAGGATCGATCTTTGACTTGGTTTGTCGACTCCTCTCTTTATGAATAAAGTTTTCAGGAGGACACCCACTTTGGACTTCAATATTGTCAGATCCCGAAAACTGGCTCAACGATTACGCACACAATTCTGTGTGATGTCTTCCGGGAATACCGAGGAATCCCCTTCACCAGCGAGTTCTCCAACAATCACACTGGAGAGAAGTCGGTTTGAACTTGTCCTAAACATGTAAAAAAAACTCTTTCTGGATCAAAATTGTACTCTGTGATGAGCCATTCATTTCTGGCAAACTAGACCTTCCTATAATATTGGTTTGCCCGGAAAGTCTTGTCGACCTTTTTGAAATTTTGGTCTATAAATGAATAATTAGCCGATCAATGTGTGGTTTGCTTTAAATAAAAAAGATTAACTATTCATTTAGCTCATTTTTAGACAAATTTAAGTCCGCTTTGTCACGGGAATTCTGGTTTTTCATAGAATCCTTACAATGAACATAGAATGAAATCGGCTGAATCAATTTGTCTATCTGCACAACTTTTTATTCTCTATCTTTTGCACCAAAATCGGTTTGGTTCTTTATTCATTTCAAAAGTCAATCAGAACTTTGAATTTCATCGTTTTTGACTGCTCGACTTCACAGCTTTAAAAAAAATTGATTAACGCGAGCTTTTCAGGATTTCTTAAAGGACAATTTGTAAATAAATAATGGGGAATTTCTGATAAAACAAACCAAAGGTCGATTGGTTCTTTATTCATTTCAAAAAGTAATCTTTAAAAAAGCGGACAAGACTTTCCGGCCAACCTGTTATATTGTGAAAATTTATTGAAGTGAAAAGACTACGGTAGCTCGATAGCTTTTAAAAGTTGAGTCTTTTATGAAGACACATTAATTACTCAAAGGACAAAAGCTACGGTTCTTTTAGAACTTTAACCTGTACAGAATCGACTCAACTTATATTATGCATTTCATTTTAGTGCTTGTGTTGTCAGTAACTGGTTCCCCGAATCTCAAAAAGCGTTTTGGAGCGGTCCCGAAACGCAAATCAAGTTCACACTAATCCGAGATCCAGTAGATCGATTCGTTTCTTTGTATCGACACTTCTGCAGGTGAATTTTTGAAAAATGACTGATTTTCAAGAAGTAAAATTTCAGAAGGATTAAAAAGTGCAGTGGTAAGGAGTCGATTCACAAATTCGCTGCGTGGCTCTACTCAATTTTGCGAGGGAAAGCGGCAACGCTGTCGAAAGGGCGATTCTTTCGGCTAATCTATTATCATGCTTTGCCACAGACGGGGTAGGAAAAAAGCCCGGAATTCCTAAATACGACTGTATACAGCTAAATTGATCGATAAATACCCAACCAAAATTCGGTTTTGATATGAAACAGCTCCTAAAACCACAAGAAACACGAGATTTTTCAGTTTTTGCGATCTTCGACGAAATTCTGCTGACTTTCACTTAATTCGCTACTCCGATGACAGAAAAAACATGTTTCTGCAATTCGTTCGTCTCTTCAAAAAAGCAAATATTCCATTGAATGTGATTAGACGGGTGAGATTAAGATGAAATGTTTTCAATCACCTAAATATGTATTATGCTTACTAGGGGAATTTCGATTACTTATCTGGACAAAAGCTCATTGAAATTAATTCAATGCGGTTTTTGACTGCAGTAAGTAGTAAACATGAGAAAATTCCAACCCGAACCTAATTCCACCTTCGTTTTCTCGACCGTTTCTTGTCTGATTTCTCTCAAATTTTGTCTACAAGCTGAAAATTTCGATTTCTATCTGTAGACAAAATTTCAGAGCAATCGGCCAAGAAACGGCCGAGAAAATGAAGATGGAATTAGGTTCGGGTTGAAGTTTTCCCATCTCTAGTAAGTAGAGGCTTCTTTTATCTTTAACAGACCAGCTAACAGAGCTACCCATTCACTTTAAAAGTTCATCCACCCGTTCAATTTTCAGTCACTGCGTCATTTGGCCAAATCAAGTACTCGACATGGAGGAAACGATATTCAGCAGGCGAAACTGCTACGAAATGAAGTCATTCTCACTCCTCATACGAGGAATCTTGTTTATGCAATGTATCATGAAGATTATGAAATATTGGGTTTTCGACCGATTGTTTGAAAATGTTTAATATTGTATTTATTTATTTATTTTTGTCGTGGTTTGGAATTCTATAAATTGATCTTAGAGAGTTTGTATTGCTTTTGATACATAATGACTTTTAAGCACAATAAAAACAGAAGTAAACTAACATTTTAAACAAAAAATACGGCAAGGCTTGCCTATCTTGGTTCTGTTTTCCAATTGGGAAATCTTTTTTCAAAAGATAATCAGTCTTACGCATCTCTAAGCTTTTCTTATCAAGAAAGAATGCGAGAAAAAATAAATTGCTTTGCCGAAGAAGCCTTTTACACGTTGCCACCACTTCTCGACTTTCAGAATTATATTTTCGCTTAAAACTATGGATAAAGCCAATCACTTCTCACATTCATTTTTGGTTTTAATTCTATAAATGTTTTTATTTAAGGTAATAAAATGGCAAGATTGGTGAAATGCTTATTTTTCCTGCTTTGCCTTGAGCTCAGTTTTGCACGAGTACCGAACTTTCACATGGGAAGACCGAAAGAAGGATTTCTGAGGTGAAACCAAGATTGGCCTCTGAAAGGATTTATTTAATTGAACCCAAACTATATACAGAATTTAAAATTTTATAACTCTTTATACTTGTAGCTCAAAAAGGAAAACATATTTTGGTTTAAATCAACTTTTCGATCTTGCTCTTGTTTCTGATCAGTCCTATTTTCCAAAACTTCCAGACCGCCAGCTGATCCACACGGTATTTATCAATATACAGCCGATGAAACGATCATTTATTCAAATATTATTCAAAAAGTCGATCATTTCAACGAGAGCTTGAAAGATAACTGGACACAGGTGAGTGAATTTGTTGAATGGGAAAAGAAAAAGCCAGAAGATTAGCTTAATACAAAAAATTGTACTAGCATCTTTATTACAGAGTACTACTCCAATAACAGGGAGTTTTACAGTACTCCAGACTTCTTACTACCAATTACTATAATCACTTGCAGGAGTATCAGTACAACTCAAAGTTCTACAACAAGGATCGCCCGTTGGCCTTTCTGATGATTGGTGGTGAGGGGGCAATTGGAGGAGATGGGGATAAATGGATCAAGAATGAGGACGTTTCGATGATGAAATGGGCAGCCGAGTTTCGAGCAGCCGCTTTCCAAGTCGAACATCGCTTTTATGGGAAAAGCAGACCATATCCGTAAGTTTAATTTTCATACTTGATTTTGTACTCAAAAAGGCGAATATATGCTTTCTAGCACACCCAAATCAAGACAACAAAATTTTTTAGAGAACAAACCACGGAAAACTTGAAATACTTGACGGTGGACCAGGTTTTGGCGGATCTCAAAGAGTTCATCAATCAGATGAATCAGCTGTATTTTCCCGGTGTTTCGCCAAAATGGATCACTTTTGGAGGATCGTATCCTGGCTAGTTGCAACGATTTTGTTTCTTTTCAAATCAAACTTAGGCTCATTGTCGGCCTGGTTCCGTGCGACTTATCCAGAAATGACGATCGGAGCCGTTTCTACATCAAGTGCCGTCAATACACGCGTCGATTACTATGGTCTGTAAGTTTAAGTATAGAATTCTAAGCCGAATCCTGGGCTGGGTCTTGGTCTGACCAAAATCCTGAGCTCTACAAATCAATAAACAAAATATAGAGTTAGATAAAGCTTCCAAATCCCTAAGGTTTTCAGGCTATGCCGTGAACACTGAGAAGAACTATCGTGGGATCTCGGCACAGTGCGGTGACAACATTGGGGCAGCTTTTAAAAATGTTGGTGGAGGTTTTAAGATAATGATTACTTGAAAATATAATATTTCTTTCCAAATCAAGGATTGTATGAAGTGTTTGGACAAAAACAGTCTTCTTTTCAGATCATGCAGAGAGCTTACAAAAGTGACGACTCTCGGGATCGGATGGTCAAGGAAATGAAGTGGGTTTTGTATAGAAGCTGGAGTTTGGCAATTGGTAGAATTGGTTCCAGTAGTGACCAATAGAATAAATAATATAACTGGCCCATCGAGTGAATATCATGGAATATCTCCAAAGATACACCCAATTCCAGCTTGTGCAAACCATTCATCGGTGACGATTCGGTGACCACCGCCCGCCAACTCCAATACATGTTCTCGAACATTTACGGAATATTCCAGGGAATCAACCAATACTCTGGGGATAATAGGGTAAATTCAATGATCATTTGCAACTTATTTCCAAGTTTAGAACCACAGAAACGACCTTGGTGAAGGACTTCCGATGGCTTGTGACTATATGACCTACGCGAACAATGATCCAACCGCAAATCTGCTCAACATGACTAATTGGTAAGTCATTTAAGATAAGACCAAGCTGGGTCTTGCAAAATCTGGCAGAATTGGGTATCTATCAAAACTTTTGAGACAGTCCAGTGCCGTTGTTCTGTGCGACTGAATTCTCAAAGGTGTTGTTAGTATCAGCAAAAAGTCCTCTTATTTGACTCTCAACCAGGGTTGGCAAACAACCAAAAGCCAAAGCCAAGCCAAAGCCAGAGTCAGAGCCAAAGCCAAAGCCAAAGCCAGAGCCAAACCCAAAGCTAAGCAAACGCCAAAGCCAATGGCTTTCAATTAGCTTTACTATCAGCCTGGAATTTCAATCTTACCGTTGAATTTGGCTTAATTTAGCCGAAATCTTGGGCTTGGCTCAGCTTGGCTCAGCCTAGAATTCACGGCAAGCAAGCAGCTAAAATAATTAGCTCGACTAGCTTTTTTGCCAACCCTGCTCTCAACCAATTCAACCACATAAAAATTTTTTAGGGACAATGAAATGAATGAAAATAATTGTACCGACAACGATTGGCCTGGCTTCATCAGTCTGTTGAAGCAAACCAATTACGATAATTTGGGCGTAGGTAACGGTTTCATCAAAACGCTTAGAGTTTTTAGCATTATAACTTTTCTCTTTAGCCTCCTATCGAACATGGATCTGGCAAACGTGCACTTTCTTGGGCTACTTCCAGACGACCGATGGTGGAAACAAAGGGATTTTCGGGAGCACGATTCCATTGGAGTTGGAAAATCATTGTTTCACTAGTGTTTTATGAAATTCAGCTTTTACGTTGATCAGTGTTTGGAGATTTTCGGGAGCGATTACACGGCTGACTCGATTTTCGAGGCCGTCGCCAAGAATCAAGAGCAATTCGGTGGAGACAAAAATTACAAAGTATGGGTTTTTTTCAAGTGCCGGATGCAGGGCTGCTCCAGAAGTAACTTTTTCAGGCCAGGCTAGTCTAGAAAAGGGCCAGACCGGATGCGAGATCCTAGCCTGACTTCTAACCTTGCCTTGCCTGGTTTAAAGTTTTGAACCCGTTTTTGAGAATTCCGGAGTTGATGATGAACAATTGATAAATCTTGAGCACACATTTTTTCAACTTCCAGGGCACAAAAGTCGTTTTCCCAAATGGTTCAATCGATCCGTGGGTGAGTCTCGGAAAGTTGACGCCGAACAAAGACAATGATGTTGATGCTTTCATTATTGAGGGTGAGATTGATGAGAAGTAGCGCAAGGAAAGTGCCAAGGTTCAAATGATAAAAAACTTGGATTGCTACTTGTTAAGTCTATTTGAAATCTTGAAAATCGAACAATATTGACCTTTCAAGCATTCCAGGAACGGCTCATTGTGCTGACATGTATCCGTGGCGGGACAGCGATTTGCAATCATTGAAAGATGGACGAAAGAGGATTCACGATAATCTTGAGAGATGGATTAATGTTTGTTTTTGTAGAAAAATTAATCTTTTTGAATTTTCGAGGTAAATAGATCAAACCCAATTTCTAGGACGCTTTCGCTCAACAACAAGACACGACAACTCCAAAGTCGGCTGGTGGGTGAACAATGGATTTTGCGAAGATAAACTTTATGCATAGCTTAGCTGCTTGCTTTGCTAGATTCAACTATGACGTCATTAAATATTGTCTTTTTGATCATTTAGGACAAATCTCACTGCTCTTGGCCACCGGACTTTTGATGGCTGGAGTGCTTTATCTATGAGCTAACACAAGATTCAACACTATAGAGGTTTTAATAGCAATAAATATTATTCTAATTATGAAAAGTGCACCGATAAGACAAGAAAAACTTGTATTTTGGTACAAACAAGACTGTGAGAAGCATAAACAACAGTTTGATTGTCAGTGATTACTTTCAACGTGTTTAGAAGTTCTTACTGTTATCAACCCGAACTTTTCAATCAATCTTGATTTTAACCTCACATCTACAGGTCTAAATTGTGTGCTCATTTCACCAAAAATTTTTGTTCAAACACGAGTTTATGTGTATTTAGACCAAGATTCTCGGTCTTTTGCACTTTTTTGTACAAACTTCTTTTAACCAACCACGATTTATCTGTTATCTGATTTGACTTTAACCCAACGGGCTACTTTATTCGTCCGTCCCGGTCTAAGCGTGTGGGGGCTAGATTTGGGTTGTTTAAGGGGGGGTTCGGGCTTTTTTACGGGGGGGTACGTTTCCTTTACTTGAAAAGACGAATAGAAACAAAGAGTGAAGGGGAAGGGGGACTCCGGGGTCTCCCTCGTCCCCAGCACAAAAAAAAAAAGAAAGGGGAGAGGGGGAAAAAAAAGAAAGAAAAAACAAAAAAAAAAAATAACAAAAAGTCGTTGGCTGGGGGGGGTGGGGGGCAACTTGCATTAATTCAAATGACGAGAGCGCAATCTGAAAGGATTCGGATTGAATGATGGTTTGTTCACAAACAAAATCGAAAAGCAACAAACTTGAACACTGACTAAAAACGCGGAATGAATCCAATATATAACCATATTTGGGGAAGAAAAGATATTTAGGCAAGACAAGAATTAGGTGGGATTTGTACTTTTTCGTAGTGGTTTCACGTTTTATAATTTGAAAACGATGGTAATGTATCTAATGGTATCAAAATGATTATTTGCACAATCATATCGATACCATTAAGTCATTAAGTCAGTCAATCAGATAACAAAATCTTGAACTTTTTGAAGACCCCAACGTGCTTTGAGTCATCGTTAACGACTAAAAAGCCAATGACGTCAAAAACCGGATAAAAATTTGTCAAACCACCTATTTCTAATAGTAAGCTCTTGAAAGTGTGTACTGTAGTAGGGACACGTAAAAGAATTCTGGAGAGACATTTGAGAATAAACGTAAAATTTTAAAATATCGAAAAATGTCACTAAATGATATGTCTATCTCTCAATCAATCTCAAAAGATTGCCAATGATATCACTGAGATCATCGCTTTTCGTCATAAATTTTTCTTTGCTCTGAGAATTTTCTCTCGAAAACAATTCGCCAAATGTCTCATTTCTGCTCAATTTTTTGAGTTTTACTTTTTGGACGGATTATTCAAAGTTTGGAACAGATTACCGTTGCAAAAGCAATGTTTGAAAAGAATTGACCATTGCTTTTTCGAAAATATTCTTTAGTTTAAGCAGCTTATGCAAAATTTAGCATTGACCCGTGCAAGTTTTTCCTGGTTTTCTACTTTTTTTGCGTGCACAAACATTTGGCAGGCAAACATGTGATCTTTGCTGGGAAAAACACGGATTTGATAATAGTTTTCTTGCACTTTTTTGTTTGCCATTGGATTGATTATTTGAGTGAGATGCTTAGAAAATACTTGGGTTTCAAAGCGAGTTTAACAAAGTTTTGTTTGTCCTTGAGTTTGTAAGTATTTCAGATTTCTACAGTTCAATTTTGCCTTCAATATTTTGACATTTGTTACTTACTTTCTTTCTTCTCCGCTTCTTCCCCCTTGTTTTTCCCTCTTTCTCTTCCCAAGTTAAGGTACCGGATAGATCAGTGGTTAGAGCCATCCCGTAAAGCTCAAAGGTCGAGGGTTCAATCTCCTACCCGGAAATCTACTTTTTCTTGCCAATCCCTTCACTTAATTACTAGGGAAGAGTACTAGGTAATCGTGGGATTTCGAAACGAGCCCAGCCCATCCGATAAAAAGGCAAACGGGGAATCCGAATCTGTAACTACTCTTCCCTGGTTAGACCAGCTCCTTATTTTAATTGTTTTTATCCTTCCTAACATTCTCACTCAATTAAGTGATGAACGGAGTGATCGTTCATCGTACCGAAAATTTCCCCACAAAAGAGATCCATCATGACGCGCGAAGTATTCGAGATTTGAAAAACGCTAAATCACTGACCTCAATCCGTTTCCTCGATTCACCGACCAGTTTACAAAATGTAGCTGCACAGTGAGTTTCTTAATTCAAAATTTTATGATCTACTTTTATTTTTACTTTCGAATTGCTGAACATTAAGTGTGAACACTATAATATTAAGTGGAATGCAAGATACCCACTTTGCACTCAAGTACAGGGTTCCCCAAAATTACCCGAACCAATAAAACGCATGATTTAAAAACCTTTTCATCGAAAAAACAAAAATTAACATTAACAAGTTTATTTCCTAGCTTGCTTTCAACAATTTGGTTTATTTCTTCTCGAAAATATCTCCATGGGCCGCTGCACAAGCGGCTAGACGTTTTGACCAAAAGATACGCAGGATCGAGTTCAGCCTAAGCGTTCTGATGTGATTTTTCCAGTGAATCAATGCTTGAATGTGCTTTTGAGCAGGTCTTAGCTTCGAGAACACTTCAGACTGAGTAATCGATCAGATTTAAATCGAAGTTTGATGGTGGTCACTGCTTAAAGCTGATGAAATCCGGGAAGTTTCGTTCACATCAGTCTTGGACAATTCGGGCTTTGTGGGCAGGCGTCCCATCCGGTTGAAAACATCAAATTTTGTTTTCAAAATGGTTTTGTGGCCAAAAAGTAGCAAAGATGGTCAACCCAAAAGCGCATAACAGCAAAGCGCGGCAAACGAAGGTTGGTTCGGGTAATTTTGGGGCACCCTGTATCCTAAATGAGGCGCAGTAGCCGAGTTACTGTAGCTGGAACTGTAGTATTGACCAGTATTGACTAAAAAAATTGCATAGCTCAATTTTAGAATTTGCCGCGAGCTTTCAAAAGAACAAGACGGTTTCCCGAGTCACGATGAGTTGCTGTCGAATTTGATTACTACAAGTCAGTTCAGTCAATTTTCCAAATTCATCAACCATTTTCAGATGAGTATCCTCATTTCAAAAATGCTGTCAAAAATTTCAATCACGATCCCGAGTTAACAATTGGATAGTAGGCAACATTTTAAAACTTTGCATCTAGTTTTTCAGTGCTGAACACATTGGCTTGCAAAGAAGAAGGGTTTTCATTTATAAAGTCCCCACTTTGGATCAGCAAATTTTTGAGTATTTCGTTGTTGTTTATACACCTTTTAAACAGGTAATTTAGTTTTTCTCCGTTCAAAATTTGACATTTTCAGAAATACACGAAAACCGCTGAAGAAACAGCAAAAACATTTGCGAGTTTATTCGTTTCGGAAACTCTTCGACGACGCTTCAATGAGGCGAAAAATGAAGAAGAAGGGTTTATGATATTGGAGAATGAGGAAACGATATATTCATCTGGATCAGAGATATTTGAAGAACGGGTGAGTTGAGAAAGGCCGAGAACAAAGTTGATAAAGTTTAAGGAAGTGTCCAAATTAGGATTCACCTAAAAGTTTAGACCAATTAAACGCGAGTTTTAATTGATAGACTGAATAAAATAAATAGCTCCAATCAATTTCCTAAACCCTTAAACCCCCGAGTACAAATTTATACCTGAATATCATCTTTTTGTATCATCTACAATGTGAAAGAAAAATCGCTATGTAAATGACTAGCGAGGTGTTCTTTTTGAATCAATTTTTGCCTTAACTTTGGCTTTATTATTTTAGAAATTCTAGCCTATTCTAAAGTCATTCATTAATTGAACAAAGCCGAAATTTCATCTAAAACAATCTAGGACAAGTCAGAGCCGGGTAGGTGCTGAAACAAGGTTAATATCTAATATGTCATTGATAACCCAATTTGAATAATTTAGTTTTAGTGAGAATCGGTCCTAATTTCTCCTTTCTTTAAGCTTCGAATTGAGTTTTTACTTTACTTTAAGTAGTAAATAAAACTAAATAAGTCAGGATTTGGTCTCTTTGTGGCTGACAATCGTGCTAAAGTCGGGATTTGGCTTGAATCAGACGATTGTCTTTGGAATAACCCTTTTGCAAGCATTTTCAAACATTATAAAAAAAAAACCATTATCACAGACAGTTTTTTTTGTCTAGCATTCGAACGGTCCATGGTACCCAGGCAAGGGAATCATTTCCGATCTTCGGCTACGACTCCACTATTACAAATCAGACTTCACTGATGGTAACAATTAAATACTACCAGATCTGAACAATTTTCAGCTTTCTCCGATCGTAGAAGTGTGGAAAAGTGTTTGAGTACAACGATTTTCTTATTGTTTACAATTCTACCGACATCGATCGCTTATGGAATGTTAAACGAGGAGAATACTGGCTCTGTAGTCAGTAAGTTGAAAGAATTTTCTGTAATCTTTGATGTTTAGATGTGTCAAAGGTGATACTCGGTCAGTGGATTGGTGGATTATTCTTTGGGATATTTGGTGGACAACAGCTTTTGATTATGACCACATCGGCTCCGTTGAGTATTTATATTCATGGTGAGTGAGTAACAGTGGTCAGAGAACATCGTAAACACATCCGTTTTGATGCACTAAAAATTGTAGGTGAGACTGATTCGGATTAGATGAGAACAACTGACAATGTCCAGTTAAGCCAAGCCTTCGCCAACAAATCCCTCAAGTTGCTCAGAAGCACATCCTTTCTGGTGCACTGAAATTTTCGGTTCTTCCCGGTAATCCGGGTTTTTTGACAAAATACGGGTCTTTTTATTGTGAAATAGTTCTGGAAATCTAGTCCTTTTGGAATTTAGTTCTTTTCAACATCGCCCATTTAAATCACTGGGACTTCTGGCAATTGTTTGCGTGCGTCGGGATTTGGTGTCAAATTTTCTTATTCTTCTATGCGATTTTCGAAGCCTCCGCAATTATGAGACACATGAAAAGGTAGAAAAATAAAGCAAACCTTAGAAGTTAAAAGTTTAGGTCAACAGAAGAACTCTTTTCACTTTTCATCTCAACGACTTTTGTTTACAAAGGAATTCGGGCAATGTACGACGTCTACAAGAACAATGTGAATTGTTTAGAGAATGGGCAACAAGGTAAACTTCATAAGTTTAAAAGCTACAGTCCTATTATCTAGGATGTGACACAGCATCTGTTCTAATCTTCATCGGCAGTGTCCTCTTGTGTTGGAGATTGGCAACGGCGTTCTCGAATTTCCGCAACAAAACCATTTTGACGGACTCGTTTCGAGAGACGATCTCTGACTATGCGTTGCCGATTTCAGTGCTTTTCGCGGCTCTCGTCACGCAGATTCTATTCTTTGACGTGCATCGTGAGTTTTTGGCCATACAATTACTAACTACAACATGCTTTTACATCTTGCCCTAAATTCAAGAACTTGCCTTACATCTGCCCTAGTCCTTAAGAACCACAGGATTGCCTTACTGTAATCAATCCTTAGATCTAGACTTGTCAATACGACCCTCACTATGAGATCAAGCTTATTGTTAATATCAAAAATATATCAACAAGGAATCCACAGCCGCTAGAAATTCACAAATTTATCTAATGACTTTCATAGAATTTTCTTGATTTAACGAGTCTAGAGACCTAATTTTTAAACATTTAGAAACGACATTCCATTCCTCAACCACCTCTGATGCACATTGGATCGAATTCTGGAAATTACCTTTGAAAGGACATTTGGGTGAGGATTTGGTGTGAAGAATGTTTAAATTACAAGACCAACTTCTAAACAGCTTCAAAATTTTGACAGTTTAGTCGCCATCGGGTTAAGCTTTCCCCTCTCAATTCTCTTCTTTGTCGATCAACTTCTGGTGACAAACACCGTTGACAATAAACAGAACAGGTATCAATTTAAATCCCAAACATAAAGCTTCAAAATCAATTTTAGTCTAAAGAAAGGCTCATCACATAATTGGGATTTCTTGGTGGTTGCCGTTTTGAATGTGGCTCTATCGGTGTTCGGGATTCCGTGGATGCATGGTAAAGGGAGTAGATATAGGAAAACTACAAACTTTATTAGTACCGAAAAATCTTGGATTAGCCAAAATTATGAATTTGATATCTTTGTGAGGGTTTCGTCAAAACAACAGAAAGTATAAATTACGAATTTACAGCTGAATATTTTCTTTTTGTACCATTTACAAAGTAAAAGAAAAAACCCCAGTGTTAAAAGGTCTCGAGGTGTTCTTTGTGGTGCCGAATCAATTTTTGTCTTAAATTTGGCTACATTTTTGCTATAAATCCCAATTCAAGCCTCTCCTCTAAAACACATTAACTTTTAATGTACTCTAACTTTAGCCGGTTTACCCCAATCATTCCTTCATTTCAAAGCGCTGGCCGATGTCGGAAAAGACGCTACTCAAAGAGAAGTGTAAAGTTTAAAAAAAACATTATCTTTAATTGAAAGTTAGATTGCTAGAACTCATTTAATCAAATCTATATGCAAAATTAGTTATCTAATCTTTTCGACTTTCATTTCGCTTCAGGATCCAAAAAGTTCGCGAAACGAGAATCCCCGTGCTCTCAGCACACCTCCTAATGATCCCATTTTATTTCTTCTTGCCAAAGATTGCTCATCTGATGCCGATTTCATTGTTTTACGGTAATTTTTGAATATTTTAGAATTAGTTCCCAATTCAGGGCTATTTTTGTTCATGGCGATTAGTAGTTTGACTGGACACGAGTTCTTTGAGAGGATATGTTTGTTCTTCACAGAACAGGTAACGTCAAGAAGGGATTACAACTATCGTTTGAAGAGATAGAGCCAATTAAGATTTGCGGTTCTTCTCGAAATCCGTTTCTTTTCATGGAGAAAAGCTATCATATGCAAAATCCAAATCCAATTCGCTTCTCTTCGGACTTTTCTTGGGACAAAGGGTTGAAATTTTTGGTCCATCTCATCTACTTATCTATCTACCAATTTCTGGAAAAATACAGCCGAATTTGGGGCGGGAATTGACCCCAAGGATTTGGGCATAGTGACGCCCAAGGCGGTAAAATCGTCTTAGCTATTGGTGAAGTTTATTTTCACTCTTTGTCCCAAGAAAGGTCCCAAGAAATCGAATTGGCTTTCGGTTTTGCATATGATAGCTTTTCTCAATGAAAAGACCCATATTTTGTCAAAAGACCAGGATTTCCGAAAAGAACCAAATTTGCATGTCGTGGATAGTCAGTTAAAACCCGTCAATTTAGGCCCACTACCCGCGACGAGATTACATCACAAAAGTCGATCAGCGAACCATTCACAAATTCACTTTTTGTCAACTTCTACAATTAGGCGTCTTGTTGATTGTTGGAATGGTAAGTTTTTATCTAGTTTTTCTTGAAGGAATAAAATCTGTAGGCTCCGGTAAATTATGTCCGGATGACGTTTCCATTGGTGATTTTTATGTTCATTCCGATCAGGTTGGTGAGATAGATTGTACAAAATTTCCATTCAGGTTCGAATCTATAAACAGTAGGCATTTAGTTTGTGTTCAAAAACAAAAATCGAAACGCACTCAATTAATACTCTCCATTGAATCATTGTTGCAAGAAAAGCGGAGAATTAGGTACACCAGAAATGGTGTGTTTTGAGTTTTGAGCAAAAAGTACACCGAAACAAATCTGTTTTGAAGTCTCAAACCGGAAAGTATCATTTTTTCCAGAATGTTCATCCTTCCAATGTTTTTTTCGCAGAGAGATCTCGAATTGGTTGATGGAGCTCATTAACCGAAGATTGAACTTGTTTAAAAATAAAAGAAATCTTTGTACATATTCAAAATCAAAATCCGCAGATATAAAAACCCAATAAAAGTGATTCTTTTAAAAAGTCTTACCAAAAACTTCAGATTATTTTCCCCAATTTTGCTAAAAAATACAAATTTCCACCGTTCAGGGTCATTTTTTGTCAAATGGCAGACACAAACATAAAAAGAACGTCGGATTTCTCTAATTTATTGATGAGAGCAAAAAATGGCAAAAGACCGGCTTTGACAAAAAATCCCGTTTACAATATTGTCGCAATTCATTATCTAGTTGATCTATCGAATCACTTTACAAAATGGTTCGATTAGTTATACTTACAATATTGATTTCTGTGGCTTGTAAGTTAACACGTTTCTGACGTTGATTCCCATTTTCAGCTGCATCAAACTTCTGGGTGGACTTGTGGCAAAATCATTTGGCCAAAGGGATTTTGAGGACAGGTTTGCGTTCGGGAGTCTTTTGTTCCAATGAGCTTTCGACCAATCAAGTATCTGTTTTGGGATTTACAACCGATAATAGCTAACTACTGATTGCTATAGTCAAAACATCTATATTCGTCGCAAATAGAAACAAGAAATTTCAATGGATATTCTTATTCTTTCTAGGTAAATTTCAAACCGGTGCCATTGTCTCTCTAAAAGATGGAGCACCAGTGGCCAAGTCGAAAGGGTTGACGGTTTGTTTTTCAATTTCCAAGCTATGTATCTAAAGGCTTATATCTTGTTTACTAAAAGAAATTAGTAGTTGTCTTTGAAATAAATTTGGCAAAATTATACATTTACATTGCCGTATTATGCCAAGATTATACATTTTCAGCTCTCTAACACCGAGGGTCGTCAATGGGCCACCTATTTCACAACGGATAACTATTGGAAGACGCAAAAAGATGGGATCAAAGCCTTCGATAAACATTATGATACGATAAAAGTAAGGATTAAGGCTAGAAAAATAAACACTGGTCATTTTAGTACGACTTTGATCAAAAAATCGTCGCAATGAATGGGGATAATGGGGTGATTTTGGCGAAAAACGATTACAGTAAGAAAAATTTTTGAGAGAATCATGTAACAAAAACTGTACAGTAGCTTTAAAATCGTATATAATTAATTTTGATTTCAGCTATCATTCTGGCCATGTTCAACTACCTAACCACTCAAAATGAGGCGGAAAAGCTCGTTGACGACTTTGCGGAGTACATTCGAAATTTGGGATTTTGAAAAGCCTTTCTCCTTGATTTTAAGCTTAAAATATTGCAATTCCAGTTTCTTAGTATTCTTTTTATTCTTATTCTTATTCTTATACTTATTATTATTCTATTATTCTTTTCTTATTATTAGTGTTTTCAGAGCTTTCTAAATTGTTCTTTGTTATTCGTTCAAAAAAAGTTCAATAAATTTTTATTTACCAATCACCAAGAACAAAAAAACCAGCTCTTTGTACCAAATTTTCTATTTATACAGTGCGTCCCAAAAGTTTAGACGGTAGCGCAAAATGGGCGTTTCCGTAAAAAATACACAACCCAGGTGTAAACGGATGTGGACGAATTTGGGATGTAAAGAGAGTGGACCTTTGATATCCCGCCACTCTAACACCCCGACAACCCAACCAACCCCCAACGATAGAGGAGCCCCGTGAAATGACGACCTGTATTTGCCGCAGTTGCATAGACCCGGAAGATACAACTTTATTACAGTAAACCATAAGAGGAATAGATAGAAATGAGGTAAGGGGGGGGGGACCAATGGAGTCTCACTTGCCCCCAGGCAACCTAAGGACCCCCCCGCAAAAAGGACACGGGGGACACATTGCAAAGATTAGACAAAGCACAAAACAAGTGCAAAATACAGTTTGTCTCGGAGCTGACACAACTAAATTTTTTGTTATTTTGATCTACATTAATGTAAAAAACTGAAAAACTTTTAGCTCACCGGCCTTGATAAAAATAAAAAAATATCGACTTTGTCGAAAACCGGGTGTTCCAAAAGTTTAGACCGTGGAATTTTATCTTTAAAAATCAATTTTTTTTCAATCTTTGGTTCTTTTTTATACTGAACTTTTACGTAATGATTTATTTTACAGGAAATGGGCAAGAAGAAAAAGATTTCCGCGCTCGAGATTTCACAGATTAAGGCCTACCGTAACACCGGCTGGATCTTGAAAAAAATTGCGGAGAAACTTAATCGTTCTGAGCCAGGAGTTCGAAAAGCATTTGGAAGGGTGAACAACAAACGTCCCAATAAGAAAATGCGTAGACCCACCAAGTTAGCTGAAAGAGATCGACATTTGTCAAATGCTGCTTCAAATTCATCAAAGACAGCTAAGGAGCTAATATGAGCTCAAAGTTTCTAAACAAACGATTCTGCGAAGTTTGAAAGGATCTGCACTTTGAAAGAACCTAATCTGCAAAAAATGAAGATGATGCCAGCTCCAAAATTAAAGAATATTCGCAAAAAGGCACGCTTAGACTTTGCTCAACGTGAAATGAATCGAGATTGGACAAAAGTGGGACTTATAACGCTCATTATCTAAACAAAATGGAACTTTAGATCATCTTCAGCGATGAGAAAAAGTGGTGCCTTGACGGACCAGAGGGTTATCTGCATTTTATTCTTTGTAGACGCATTCGGCTTCTACCAGTAAAATGGGCACAAATCATACAAAATAATTGCAAATAGCTAGCATAATTTGAAGTTTTTAACTGAAGAAAAATTTCATTTTAGAAACGTTTCAAGTCATACCCACATACATCAAAATCCTGAAATCGGAAAGACAATTTTGAATGCAAAAAGTTGAATTTGATTCAAAAAGAGCTGTTTATTCGAAATGCCCGCATTTCTCCAACTATCAAGGTCAAAATTTGCATTCGTGTCAAAAAAAGAGCTGTTTCTCAACGGGAACGAAGGTTTCACGCTCCAAAATTCGTTTTCTAAACTTAAATGTTTGTCGAATTTTCAATCTTTCCATAATTTTTCTAGCATCTTCTCGATTATTTTCAGACGATGATGCATTCTTTTGATGCCTTTTCGGGGATTTGAACGATTTGTTTGGAGTCTCCACCAACAATCCAGCTTTTGCTGTTTTCAAAACATTTTCTCAAATCTTCAAATCGTTAAAAAGGAAAAATTACAGTTTTTAATTTCAAAAATAAATTTGAACAGTTTCAAACACAGATTCCATCATGAGAGAGTTCAACGAAGGATTGGTCATCGAAATCAGCACGACTACCGTTCAAAACGAGAACAAAAGAGGTGAAATAAAGGTTTCCCGAGCAAAAAAATCCTCAGATTTGGATTGGCTGATCGACAGATTTGAGCGAAAATTCTATCACTCGAGGTGCTCGATACGGAATTTCATGTTGACATGGGCGGTTGTTCAGGTTTGGGGGTTTCATTTTCCCTTTTTCACTTGGTTATTTAAATGAAAAGTGAACGGAAACAGGTTGGTCAAAATGCCTAAAGGTCAAGATGCAACTGAAGTGCAACCGGTCAAGATGGCCTTCTGTAATGAGACCTAGCTTACGCAATTTTTCATGGAGATTCCGAATCTGTTTTTAAAATCGACAAAACAGCTTTCTGGCGAAAATTATGAGCATTTTAAGTGCCGGGCTTCCTCTATAAAGTCTCTTTTGCCTGCAAAGCAAGTATTCTGGTGGCGTAGTGGGTAAGAACCTTCAAAGACGTCTATACGCTTTTTGCACTTACAGGCAATACACTTTAAATGCTCATAACTTTTGCCAGAAAGTTGTTTTGCCGATTTTAAGCAGTAGATTCGGAATCTCCATGAAAAACCGCGTCAAATGAGCTAGGTCTCATTACAGAAGGTCCTCTGGACCTATTGCAATTGTTGTTGTTGTTCTTTATATTCAGAAACTGGTATCTCTTCAACCGGTATCTCTAACAACCGATATCTCTTCTTGTTCCAGTTGTTCCTCATGCCCCCGAAACATTCGTTCTCTCGGACCGGATGCCCCTTCACGGCCTACCGGATCGAAACGCTCATCACTCGTTTCGATTCCATCAATCATCTCTATGCTTTCCTTTTCCCTTTTCTTTTTGCAATTCCAGTTCAGGTTTTTCTTCTCGTATTTTTGGTGAAATTTCTTTGCAAATTTTTCAATCCGGCTTTAGATCGTTTCGTTTTTCCCATTTGTTCCCTTTTTGTTTTTGCCTTTCAAATTACTTTCGCTAATTGGTCAATATTCGATGAGTATTCCCTCGATTTCTACATTTTGCGTACTCAATGGGCTGAGGGATGGGAATACGATTACGGGGAGAAAAGGATCAATTTTTGCTATTCAATTTTAGATAATGCTAACTTTGTTTACTTTTACTATTTGAACAATGGATTTATTGCTTTTTCGATTTTTTATCTAATGATAATCATGATGAGGAATCGTTTTCCAAAATTGCCTTTTATTTTGAGATTTTTCTTTTGGATTCTTTTTTGTTCGATTTCAATTCTTTTCGTATATTTTTATGATTTCATCTTTCAGTTATTTTGCAAATTTTACAATTGGATTGTGTTTTTTGATGTGACTGGCCAATCAAAATATCACTTATATTTGCCATTTCTTACTCTTTCTCCTTTCCTATTCTGGGTATTGGTAAGGAATTTTGAAAAGAAAAACTCGAAATAATAGAAACAAATCTCATCGAATAAGCTCCAAACTTTTCAAAAAATACTGTTGGAAAAACACACGTCACACATACTTCAAAAACCCAATGAACCCCATGAACTCTTCAAAAATTGTTAACCAACACTCACTCCAACAAAAGGCAAAGAGCTAACTTCTTATCAAAAATGCAATTACCAGCAGAAAACTTTAAAACCCCCTGTTCCATCGCTTCTCTCATTTCACATAGTCTCAGTTTGGTTTGAAGATCTGTATCAAAAATTCAAAATTTTCTTTTTGAAAGTTGTATACGAATACAAATCACAAATCTGGTCATCTAAAAAGCCTTATTCAAAATTAACGAAAAAAAGCTGCTGATCTTGGCCTTGTTCGTCCCATTGTGAAGCGAAGGGACCCGAGTAAAAAATGTTTTACACCATTCGATTGAAAAAAAATTGGCGACCAACATGAAAAACGGTTGGTCATCTAGTTGGCTGAAATGAAATGAAAAATGGTTAACCTCAACTTTGTAGCGACCCCACCCCTACAATTTCAACAGGCAACTCGTGAAAGATGAAAGGCAATTTTAGAAGCTCCAACAATCCTTTTACACATTCTGTTTTCCCAATTAGTTTCAAGTTTCTCCCCGTTTGTTAGTTGTATTGTTTCCATTGTTTCTATTGTTTCCATTGTTTGTATTCGGTTTTTATTGGTTTAACAGAGAAAAATATAACAAAAGCGTATCAACGTAGAGTTAAAATCGCATCTACTTAGTTTTGATTTGAGCTATCATTCTGGTCATATTCAACTACTTAACCACTCACATTGAAGCGGAAAAACTCGTTGACGACTTTGCGGAGTAGATTCGAATTTTGGGGTTTTGAAAAAACCTTTATCCTTGATTTTAAGCTTAAAATATTGTAATTCCAGTTTCTTAGTATTTTTTTTTTTTATTATTATTATTATTCTTAGTCTTATTCTTATTATTCTACTAGTCTTTTCTTAGTTTTAGAGTTTTCATAGCTTACTAAATTGTTCTTTGTTATTCGTTCAAAAAAGCTTCTGTAGTGTCTCCAATAAATTTTTATTTACCAATCACCAACAACCCAAAAAACCAGTTCTTTGTACCAAAGTTTTCATTTATATTAGCAAATAGGTTTAAGATTGGCCCCAAATTAGTGTGTATGCAAACTAAATGCAAATTAGTAAGGATGTCCGTACTGATTTCGTTGATAACTGTTCGCAGGTCGTTGATAATCGTTGGGCTGATTTCCAGCTTCAGAATTCTGATCTCCGAAATAAGTCTGCTGATATGGTCTTGGAATATATTTTGGACGATGATGTTTCTTGTGATGTTTATGCTTGTGATGCTTTCGTTTTGGATAGCCATAAGGATCCTGATAGCCATAGTTTTGATTTGGAGTATTTTGAGTCGGATTCTGATCACCGAAATAAGTCTGATGATAGGGTCTCGGAATATAAGCAGCTGTTGTGGCCTCAATCGCCTGTGACGTTTTCTTCCAACTTTCCTCTTCCTCTTTTTGCTTTTTCTTTTCAGCACTTCCTGATGAACTCTCACTTGAATGCTTATGTCCTTTTGGCCTCTCTTTATCAGCTTTCGCCTTTTTCCAATATTCTTCCTCATCTCTGTGCTTTTTCTCTTCACCACCATCGCTTGACGACGAACTACTTGAAGATTTCTTTGACGAACTTGACGATTTCTTTGACGAACTTGACGATTTCTTAGGCCCAGCTTTCTTCCATCCGTCTCCGTGATGCCTATGCTTGTCAGCTTTCCCATCCTCATCGCTAGAACTTCCCTCCGAATTTCCCTTCCTCTTTTGCCCCATTTCTTCTTTCCATTCCTGTTGGTACTTTGCCCATTTATCGTTATCGAATCCACCTTCTTCGTAGACCCAATGCTCCAATGAACGGGCCTCTGTGTCAGCAACATGAAGGAAACTCCATTTGCAGCCACAACGAAGTCCTCCACCGTCGAGACCCGGTGGCCCTGGGGCGCCCTTTTCTCCCGGAAAACCTTGGGGCCCGGGTTTTCCCTGTTTACCGTAATCTCCAGCCGATCCCTTCCGGCCGGGCACTCCAACTTCACCGGGAGGTCCCTTTGGGCCAGGTGGCCCAGGTGACCCATCTGGCCCAGCTGATCCAGGCCAAGAAAACGTTCCACTCTTTCCGGGTTCTCCAGGGGCTCCATCGACTCCATTTTCTCCTGGGGATCCAGGCCGTCCGGGTCGACCGGGTTCTCCAGGCTCGGACACTCCAAACACAAATCCGGGTTCCCCAGGCTTTCCATCATCACCGGGTGGTCCAGTTGGGCCGGGTGCTCCTGGTAGGCCAGGTAGGCCCGCGGGACATCTACGGCACCATCCCTGAAAAGTGTCGTTTGAAAAAATCCTCCAGAAATTGATATTATACAATGAAATTGAGTATCATACCTGATCTTCGGAGTCGATTTCACCCGGCGCTCCAGTCACACCAGGCTTTCCATTAGCTCCCGGCAATCCGGGCTCACCAGCGTATCCAGGCGGTCCCGGTGGCCCAGATGGGCAATTGTTGTTATCAATGGCTTCACATTGGCATTGTCCAGAGGGAACTTGTCGAACTCGTCTTGGCTTTAGGAACGACTCGGTGTGGATTTTCTGAAATTTTGAACCTAGCTTATTAGAGCTTCTGCTGGCTGAATCTCTTAACAGTAAGATTTAGCAAGATTTAGCTAAAACCTTACAATTTTAACTCTTTACAAACCTCAAATTCATTCAACGCCAACTTTTCGAAGTGCTCAAACTGATGGCGCTGTCCTTGGACACTCTGTCGTATTGTCTCTATCTTGAAACTTATATTTTTAAGCTGTTGGAGTAAATCTTACTTGATTGAGCAAAAACGGCACATAGAGAAGACAAATCAAGATGGCGAGGCTGGAACCTACGGCAGAGGTCCAGCCCTCATTTCCTAGCATCGTTTAGCTGAAACCAAGAAATTGCTTATTCAAATGAGAAAATAATACCAATAATATTTGAAAACAAGGAAATCGTTTTTAAATTTAGGAAAGGAATGGAAAGAGTTACTTTAATAGAAATTTGAAAAACCAAAAACGAGCGGCAATTTGAATTCACTACAATTTTATGCAAAGTACGTAACTTTTTCGAACCCATCTTTTTAAAAAAATATAGCCAGAAAAAGAATAGTATAGTCTTTGTTACAGTAATCCCGAAATTGGGGTACAAAATTGATCAAGATCGAGACCTGAAATAGATCTGAAAACTAAAGTAATCACAGTTACCCAAACAAAAAAACATTCAGATCAAAAATTCAGAAACTGATATTTAAAATCAAACGGAAGTAAAGATTGTAAAATTTAAGTTGAAAAGTTGTTGATGGATGAATGCTCGTGGGGTTATCATATGGTTTTTATCCAGGCGGGATCATTTAACTTCTCAATTTCCTGAACCTTTTTCTTGTTCAAATGGGTGGAACGAAAGAGATCAACACGCGGTGAACAAAAACAAAACAATTCGTTGCTTTTTCCCGGACCCGGGATCATGACGGTTTTGAGATCGATTTGGGCGATAAAAAGTTGCTTTCTTTGGTGGATTAGATGGGAATAGCTAGTTAGATCCACCAAAACATCGGTGATTAATACAAGAAAAAGTGTGTTCCTTGTACTGTGTGCAAAATCGGTAGGGTTATTTTGATGGTTTGGCAGATTTTCAGGTTTAGATATGAGTGTTTTAGCTAAACTAGTTATTTAAACACTTCGATTTGGAAGCCTTACTGTTAGTTCTGTTTTTAGGTAAATGTTTTGTCAGGTCAAACTGCAGACAGTTTTTGTTTCTCGAATCAAATATTAAAGATAATCAAAATAAATACTTTAAAAATTGATTACAGAAGTAAAGATTTTCAAATTTAAGATGAAAGTTGTGCTGACTTTGATGCTCGAGACTTAAAAATTTGAATGGGAAGTTTTAATTCAAACAACTTTTTACTAACAAGTTGATTACAAAGTACAGTTCCAAAGTCTCAAATTGTGCTTGACTCCTCTCTGAAGTTCTCCGACAGTATTCAAAACCGATGAATTAGTGATATCCATCTTGTTCAAGGGGATCCACAGCTCCTTGGTTTTTTTGGTAATCGGTAACTTTTGTAGTATTTCCAACTTCAAATCGTAACTTTTGTTGGCTGACTGGGTTTTACCCATAGTTGGAGTACCTTTGGAAAATTCCAGGCTCAGGTCCAAGGTTTCGATAATTTTGAAAACCCCCGTGGTCCATAAGTTCTGCTGGTATCCAAACAATGACTCCGTGAGTCATTTAAATAAGCTAGCCCTGCGAGTGGATGCATGTGGTTTATCCTTGGTGCTGATAGACTGGCGTGTGTTTGCATGAGGAACCATTTTTCACCATTTGTTCACTCCCTTTTGTTATCAGCTTCCTATTTTAGTAGTAAGGCTTTATTGTAAGTGAAATGAGCTTGGCGACGCAAATACAGAAGAAACGCAACAAAATGCGTTGAAGGGCAACACAGAAAGAAATGCCAACAAACACTCTCGGAAAAGAATCAGTATGCACAAAGGGGAAATGAAATGGCGGAAAAGGGAAGGTTACGTTACTTGGGGCATGACTTAGATAAGAGGGGAAGACGGGTTTGAAAGTATTTAACTCTCTTTTGCTTGGTTTTCTTGTCCGTTTTGAAGGAGGGGAATTGCCCGTTTTGCAGGTTTTGAAGACTAGTACTTTGTAACAGGTACAGTAATACATAGTTCAATGTTCTTATGCACATTAGTTTAAGTTCTTCAAAAACCCGTTTGTTATGTACAAGATCTGAGCATTTGCGATTGTTTTTAAGAATAGGAGAAACTAGTCAGCAACTTGTTTTCCTGTCAAAAAGTGGATAAGCACTCGAAATGCCAAAGCCAAAGACAAAGAACGGAAAGTGTGTTTGAATTTCTGTCAAGTGGGTGTGTCTATTACTTCGGCTCATTGAGCCAATCCCACTTATTGAACAAATACGTGAAAAGGGCACTAATCAGGTGAGGGGAAAGAGAATTTCATCGCCCACACGTGCCTTCAACAAATGAGTCACAATGACGGTCTGTCTTCCCCCTTTTCTGATTACTTTTTACTGTATCTGTTGACAAGTTACAGCCGATTTTCGTTGGATTTCGAGATTTCGAGAGGAGTTCATTGAATTTGTGGTCACTTTCGAGATTTCGTTTTAGTATTGAATTCTTTTAGGACTTGGAGACATTGATTCTGGTAGATCTTTCAGATTTAATTTTAACACGATGCTTTTTGTTTTACGATTGAAAATACATTTGATTACAGCATGATTTCCTGTTGCACTCTGTGCTCAAAAGGGCAAAGGCACCTTTTCTGGTGCACTCAATCCTGTGTTTTTTCTTTCAGCAACTATTCAATTTCACAAGAAATGAAGAATCAAGTGCAGCAGAAAGTAAACTAAGAGCGAGCTTCTTTTCTCTGGCACATTGAGTTCAAGATAATCTAAACAAGCCCTTTCTGATGCACTCAATTCTTCACTTTTCTTGATGCACTAAATTGTTGATGAAAGAAAAGCAAAGGATTCAGTGCTCCAGAAAGTCTTTGCTTACATTTTGAGTACAAAATGCATTTCAAGGTAAACAATTTCTATGACGTGAACTTTCAGGAGCATTTTTATCATGGAAAAACGTTACGAAATCCGGACGAATATTTCCGGAAATGGGAGTCTTTTCTGCTTTTTTTCTCTAGTCAGCCATTGGGAATCTTCTCCTTCACTACTGATTATCTGATAAATTGCCTGCTAGCAGTCAGAGATTTTATGATGGGTTCGGTTGTAAATAGAGGCATTGCACCTTTTCCTTTAGAGTAATCACCTCATTTGAGTGATTTAACTTTTTAAGATGTTGATTCACATTTGTTCAAAATATTGATCAACAAAGCCTTGTCAACGCGACTTCAGTTTCGCAGTTTTTGTTCTGAGCCATCGATAAAATCTTCCAAATGTCTTGATGTCTTGTCAGATTCAGACTTTATCTACGATAGCAATTTTGGTGCTTATCGATTACACTGGCCGTTTTTCAAATAGAGGACTAGTGGACCTTTTTGAAGCGTGTGTAATATTTTTTTATTCATAATATAGTTGAAAGCATACTATCTCGATTCAAAACACTTTCTGACCGGGGGATCGTGATCAAGGGAAGTTGGGGGAGCGAGAGTAGAAAGAGATATGCCGCTCGGGTACCTAAGCCCTTTAGGGCACCTCAAACGCTTGGAATTGCGCGGTTCCGCCATGGCAAAAAATAAACAAATAGAAAAGCATTATGAATAAAAAACATCAAGTTTATCACTTTTTTTTGACACCTTTGGATAAAATTTGCATAAAAACGGCCAATGTAACCAATAAGTACCGCAAATTTCCTCCAAACTTTACTTACCAATTTGGTTAACACCAGCTTCTGCAGAATTTCTGTTGTTTTAGGAGCTTTTAGGCTATCGTCCTGGCTTTTTGAAACTATTTTGAATTTTGAACTTGACGATGAATACTTAAATTTCAATTAGTTGACTTATTTGTTATTTTCCTGGGCATGTTTAAGATCTGAAAATCAAATAAATTGGCAAAAGAAAGTTAGCCCACAAAGCTTTTCGGAAAATGACTCTCAGAATGATCTTATCTAGGCTTTACGAGCCGTGAAGTCCGTAATCTTTAGCTTTTCATCATAATAAATTTTTCCATTTTCTTAATTCTCATGTTTTCTTTTGGTTTCGTTACAGAAAGGCTTTAAATTTCATTGTCTACAAGAAATCAAGGCAATTCAAAATAATACAATCCCCCTAAGCCGTTGTAAAACAAACGATTGCAAATTCCATTTCATCTCGAAGATCTTGACCGTTTATCGCAAAATGAGATCATTTTTTGATTGCCGAAAGTTTATGGAAATGACTCATCTTTCTGACGAGAAATGAAAAATAAGTGATTTCAATATGGATTTTTTCCAAGATCATTTTTTCTTTTGTGCCAGGAATTCGATTGATCACTTTTCTTGCAAAAAAGATCACGATCTTAGATATTTTTGTTTTTAACAAATTAGATTGAAAAGATGATGAATTTTAACAAGAAAAACGCATAAAGAGTGAAATTCACTTGAGAAATTGCTGAAATTTCTTTTTTAGTTTTGTTAATTTCTTGTTCTCAAAGCTTTGCATGATCAATGTTCATAATTTTTTAAAAATAACAAGTTTACTACTAGAATTTGTTTTAAATCTTATGAAAATTCAAGTTTTACAAAAAAATTGGAAATTTTGACTGCGTTTTAATGGCCTTTTGCCTGTTTCCTTGATTGGCACCTTGTTCTTGTTTGAAAACATTTTCCTATTATCTTTCTCAAAAAAGTGAACTCTTTGTCAAAACAAAATGAGGGAACTTCTCTATACCTGTTCACAAACAGATCCATATTGTTTTCTGTGCAAATTGGTGATCAATTTTTCCCCAAACAATTCTTGTGCCCGGAATACAAAAATTTGTCGCGTCTATGTATTGGTTTTTTGGAAAACGACTGAAAAACGTTTATTTTTCGATAAGTGCTAATACTCGAAATTTATTTTAAACGCAAAACCGAAGCCTATCTTTTTAAAGCGGTAATTTCCATACTTTTTTCAGTTCAGTCTTGAATTTGGCTTACAATTAGATTTGATTGAACAACTTGATTACTCATTTTATACTTTAAAAAGTATTCACTCAAATTTTGCTTCTTTTAAAGCTAGATTTCCATATTCTTTTCACTTTACTAACTTTTTACCTTGCTTACACTTTAGTTTACGATCAACTCTTTAGTTATAAATATTATAAGTTTAGTTTTTTGACTTGATAAAAGTATTCAGGCAACAAGCCAGCAGCTAATTGAAATTTTTGGGAGAATTTCAACACAGTCACTCCATTGACACAAACGGCTATGAGTTTTACAGTATTTTCAGCTTTGCTGAAATACTTTAACCCTTTCCGACAAATTTAAAAGTATTCAGTTCATTTAATAAAATTTCCCGATCAAAAATTCACAAATTCCTCAAATTTTCATCGAAAACCCAAAGTCCAGCCAAAATTTATGTTCAAAATTTATTGGATTTTCAGTGGATGACTGGCAGGGGAAGGAAAAGTAGGGAGAAAACCCGGTGCATGTTTGGCGCCGCGTTATCAGCAGATTTTTGGACTCTTTCTCCGGATTTTTCCACCAGAAAATACCGGAAAAATGCTTGAAAAACTGAATTTTTTATAGTTTTTGCGTTTATTTTTATTCTATTACCCCATCAATCCATTCTGATTCATCACGTGCCGCGAGGAAAAGGAGATTTTTCACCATTTGATGGCCGATTTTTATTCGGTTGATCGTGGTTTTTACTCCATTTTGTTATAGGATTCATATTTTTGTTCATTTCCCAAATGTGGTTTTGTTTTTGCCGATTTGGCGCCGATTTTCTCATTCAGAGCCCACGCATGGAACCGGTTTTGATCACCGAGGTGCAATTGCTTGTCGATAGATTTTTGGGAAAAGTGAGTAATTTTCGGGGATTAAGATGTTGATTGTTGGCAAGCAGATGTTCGGTTTTAGGAAATCATGTAAGACTTTGAAATCGTTCACCCAAATATGCCGGAAGTTTGACTTTATGAGGCACTTCAAGCTCAAGAATGGAAACGCGCCCTTTCTTGAGACCTCGTCTCTATGCCAGAAAGGGTGCGTTTTCGTTCTCTGGCATAAAGTACGTTCAGAAAGCCAAAAAGTCGGATTTTCAAAGAGATTTTTACGTTTTATGAAGCTCAATCTTGCGGTATACGTTTGAAAACAATGATAAATGATGATAATGAGTGGTAAATACAAAAACAAGAGCTAATTGTGTCTGCATTCTCATTTCTTGAGAAATGATTAACTATGGTTCAAGCTCAGGCTCTGAGTTACACTACTGGACAATGAAATATCATATTTGAAAAGCGATCGTCACTTTCGCGCTTCTGTAACTCTTTACCGTATTTCTAAATATTAATATTACCATTGTGTAGCCCTTGAAAAGAGCTTTCAGAAAATGTATAACACTAAGAGTTTTGAACTCAAAGACAAGGGAGTTACAGATGCGCGAAAGTGGCAATCGTTTTTCAAATATGATATTTCATTGTCCAGTACTGTAAGTATTGAATTTGCTTCGAATCTGAGTTGGGAAGAATAAAACTTATGAAAATTTTATGTGAATTTCAGAAATGGAAAGACTACATCGCAGCCGTATTCGAGAGTTCAGCCTATGGATGTGCGAGACTTGAGCTGTTCGCATCCGAGGCGAAACTCCGCACCGTTGAGCCAGCAAAAGTGCTTCTCCTAGCAGAATGCGTATCTATTCGGACAGCGTTTGCAGAAAGTGAGTCATACAGATATACAACGTTCGAAACCAGAGTCTATTGAATCAGTTTTGGAGCAATCATTATTGGAATCCACCAAATTTGCTGTTCGTTTTGCTTATTTGCTCAGATTTGTTAAAGGCTCATTTGTCTAAGAAAGTGAGACTCAGAATTTTCTTTTAAAGTTTTCATTTCCAGAAGACATTCGGGTTATTAAAATGCACATGAAAGACAACGCCTCGTTGACGATCACTTCGAAAGAGTTCAGTCTATTGAGGGACACATTGTCTAAAGCAACCTTCCCGCATAAAGTAAGCTTGATGCTTAGAACTTATAGCTTTAACATGCAGAACTTTGAAATTTACAAATTTGTTTAGTATGTGACAATCCACCCCTCGTCCTCTTCCTCCATCGATTCCCCATCGACTCCACTATCGTTAGAAGATCTATGTAGGTCTTACAACTATTTTTATTGTTAGTTTGAACTCTTTCTGTCTAGAGCTTTTATATTTGACTCTCTGGAATCAACTTTTCTTTGTTAAACATTCAAGTTAGTGCCCTTTCAGTTGACAAAATCCCGATCCTTCTCTTACCGACAACGATGAGTCGAACGAAAAGATGGAGAGATGGGAATTATGATCTCCATTTCTCGGAAAGCTCTTTGAATCTTGAGGCTGGAGGAACGATTATGGATTCTTGGGATTACGGGTCGATCCTGTGGTGAGCCAAAAAGGTTTCAAAAGTTGCTCCTAGATTGGCCTAAGGTGTTTTCAAAACGGACAAGGACCATTGAAGGATTCAATAATAATTCTGCCTTGCATCTTGTTAAAAAACATATTTGAAAATCAGTTTATCAAATTTGTTTACTATTTAAAACCGATATATTTCAGGGTAGCCACTGGAGAGCGATGTCTTGGCTTTGAAGTGGAAAGTGCCGGGATCATCGAGTGTGCTTGTGCCGCTCCACAACTTGCTGTCGACAACTTCCGAAAATTCGTTAAATTCAGCTCAATCTTCAGACCTGTTCAAAAAAGAACGTTGAACACGTATAACAGGTAAACATGATGGAATTTGAATAAAATAAAGATAATCCAGGAACTACACCCCACTTCGCGAAGAGGCTCCCCTATCGAAGGCGCCGATTGCCGAAGATGAAGAAGAGTGAGATTTTAGTAGAATGATATTAGCACAGTCGCGAAAACGGTATTTTGAGTGTACAGTCGTTTTAACTGTTTTACGTCATAATTTGGTGAACATTCAAAGATAAAATAAACTATTATAGTCATTCAAAAGCCCTGAATCTCCCTTTGAAAACTAGTGCAAATTACCAAGAACTTTATGCAAAATAAATAAAAAAGTCCTTAAAAGTGCAAGTTGACACCAAAAACAATTGGCATTAGTAAAATCCTCCGGTGGAGTGGATCGTGTGAACTTTCATACTTTACGATTCGGTATACAAGAATTGAAATCGCACTAACTGTTAGCAAATACTGTAAATGTATTTTAACTTCAGGGCATGTAGATTGCTTCCTCTGGTTTAAGAATACCAAATCTAAAGTCCAAACTTACGCCAGATGAGACCAAAACCGATATTTGACTTTTGGTGATCTGGTTTAGCTTGAGATTTTGAATCTAGGAACAACCTTGGTAGAATAGGGGCTTGTAATTTTACGGTAGTCCTTAAAATTTTAGATATTCTGAAGTTGCCGACAGTCGGGCCTCCACCAATCGCACGAAGGACAGCGGGGTTTCGGTGGGCGAAGCAAAGGAGCAAGTGAGAAATTTAAGAATATTCTAAAATTATAGCTGTTCGAATGACTAATTGAAGTTTTAATCTAATTTTGCCAAATTTTTAGCCAGCTTCGATTAGTCGAACGATCTCAAGAAGTATGCAAGAACTGGCTGCAAAAGAGAAAATCGAAGAAAAGAAAACGTTCATGAAATTCTTTAGAAGGTAAAAAACTCAAATACAAATTTATCTTGCAAACCTTACTATTAGATTCTTGTACAATTGTGGCTAAAACGAAAATTTGCTTTAGAAATTCCGCAAAGCAACGCCCTGACAAGGGCCGAGAAGCATTCGAGCAAAACGCCAGCAATGAATGGCTACAGTAATCATAAAACCCAAATAAATATCGATTCATTTACTCAGTGTATCCTCAAAGTCAAAAATCACACCCGAACAAGCTCAAGGAACAGTTGGGACAATATTTCGAGCAGAAATGGAGAATGCAGGGAATAGGAATCGGGTGAGATTTTGGTCACACAAATAAGTTATCGCAGACCTGATATTTAGGTAATTTGCATAGGTGAAGAGTTTTAAATTCAAATTCTAGACACGCACAAATGGAAAGGACACCCTCGGCTCATCGGCTTTCGACTTTAGCCTTTTGGACCAAGAATTAGCCAAGCAATTCGGTCATTTGAATCCAAGTGAAAGATCGAGTGTCGCATAAATGTAATAAAAGTTTTGATTCTTATTGTTCAAATTCACAAGCTCATTCCAATTCTCAAATGGCTAGATACCCTAGATTCCAATGGGTATCAAAAGAAAGAAATTTTTCTCCAATTCTCCCACCGTCTCTGTATGACTTAAGGATCCTTTCAATAGTTGAATCAAGTGAACTAATCGTAACTTAGCATGGCTACATGATCTGAGAACTTTCGACGCAATTTCACCGATCTAATGGCTTATCGAAGTAAACTCTCAAAAAGCATCTCAAATCTCTAGATATTTCTAGATATTATAGAGTACAAAAGACCGAAATTTCCTCCAATCTCCAATACAACTAGACTAATGCGTCTATTAGCAAATAGATGTGAGCTTAAAATAAAAAGTTTCTTTTGTTTCATCAAATTGAAGCCAGAAGACAAACAGATTTACTGAATCGGCAAAAATACAAAGCAATTCCCAAGTCGTCTCCGATCCAAGTACAAAGCGAACCCAACGTTACTTGGCTTGGCTGGTCGGACGGGATGCCTTGTTTTCCACGTGGCAGAGTCGTAAGCGACTGTTGGGCGGTGAAAGAAGGGTGAAATAATCAGTGGAGTGAGATCTCTTTTGCCCGCAGAGACGCGAGGCGACACGACTGTGTGTACCCTTCGTGTGTCTCGTAAGAAAAAGCGGCATACGGCACATGGCCCACCCATATAGTTCGACAGAGGCTTGGCTCCTTGGTTTAATTACCCAGGTTTGAGGTTAGCATTAACCCCGAGACATTGTAAAAGTGTCTTGAAAAAATTTTGGAACGCGCAATGGGGATGCATAAATAAATTGAGAAGGAAAGAGCTTTCATGCTTTTGTTGATTGTTCATGCATTGATTTTGTTTAACGTTTCAATCGACCTTTTTGGTGGAGTAGTTACGAGCCTGATGTGCCAAGACGGTCTTCTTATTTGTGCGAGTATTTTCGAACGATTTGACTGTGCAATATGTCGCTGTTTCACAAAATGACAGTGATACAATTCCAATCAGAAATGAGACTTTTCATTTCACGACCCAGCAGAGTTGGATAATTGGTAATTGTGAAAACGTTCTATCATCAAAGAAAAAGGAAATAGCCATAGGCAAACAATGGAAAGGAGTTTAGACAAACGGTAAAAACGATCGACACCAAATCGCGTTTTGGGTAGGATAATTTTTTGAAAATATCCATCGTGTGATTAAATTCCCTTTAATAGAACGAGACTATGTTCGCCTTATGCTGCTCAATTTTCTGTGAACGTCAGAAGTTACTTGAAATTCCCCAAATATTCCCTCTCAATGGATTGCCAAATGAGCTTAAAACACTCATATTTCACTATGTGAGTTTCGAGGAGAGAAATCTTTGTTTAAAAACGAATCAATCTTTGAGAAAGCTGGTCCTGGACAATGGACTATTCGGAAAAGAGGTCAACCAATTGTCTGGATGCGTCAATATTTTACACTCACCCGAAGAACAATCAATTCGGTACCCAAGTTTTTCGTTGACCTTTCAGCGATATGACGCGAAGCCGCCAATTAAAATCCATGGACCAATTGTCCACGGACCAGCGTATCTTCAAGGCTTCAAAATAGTAGTGTCGTTAGCAGAAGTTAAAAAAACACATTCAAAGTATACTACGAAGATCCTTTCATCGCATGATGTGCCACCCGAATACGGCCAGGCCGTTGTTTGTATCCTCAACAAAATTTGTTTCATCAAACAGATCAATCTCAATTTTAATTTCGGGTTCCATGATATCGATATGCTTGAATTCAGACGAATATTTGGGCACAGACGCTACCGATTTCTGCTTTTTCCCAACGTACGAGCCATCTCATCGGTGAAAATCATCTTATATCAAGATTCGGAAGTGGATCCCACGATTGAAAGCTTTCAACCGAATGTCTTCGATGAATGTAACTTGATAGTGTATGTACATGTGTCTTTGAATATACCCAAATGGCTCTGTGAGAGGGTTTGTGAGAGAAATATTCTCATGGTCAATCTCGGTAGTGATAGAGGCCTTCGAAGAGCGTTGTCAAACATTTGCAACCACATCGAATATATCTCTCGACTTGAACATGTTCATATTATCATCGAATGTAACCGTCTTTCCGAATACCTAATTCAAGAAGTAATCGAAAGCACATTCACTTTATTTGAAGTGAACTCAGAAAGAGTCGAAGAGTATCGTCAATTATTCCCTTTCTATTCGCCCAATCAGAGTGCCGTGTTTTCTGAGCGAATCGATTCAATAATCGGTTACAAAGAAATCCCATCACCCAATCATCCAAATCGACGCTTAATTATTTGGGGATGGAAAGTGTCAAGGTTTTTTATTGGGGGTTCCATGGTGGGAGGATTGTATTATGAGTTCTGTCTGAAAGTGCAATCGACATGATTTACTTATCGCTATTTTTTGACATCTATTGAATTTGTAGTTTGGGTAATTTATTTTGTATTCCATTATTCTTTTCCAAAAGTTTGATGAGCACCAAAAATTTGACCGTCCAACCTTTTTATTTGACTCATTCCTCAATATCTGAACAGCCAGTCTTTGATTCCACCAAAATATCCCATTCCTTCTGGAATTGCCTCTTTTCATACTTATCTATCATACTGAATAAACTCTTGATAAACCGGTCAAAAGGAACAAATAAGAGATGCAACAGTTTAGTTCCATTAAAAACAATACTCAAAGACTCAAAGAATTTCGATTTCACTTTTGCTTTATGAGACAATCTTTGAAACTTTCACCACGTCCAAATATCACATCACAAAGTCAGAATTTGACGTAGATTCGAATAGTCTACATCAAATTCTGACTTTGTAATGTGATCTTTGGACATCCTGCTAGCCATCAAAATCACCGAAAAATCCGGCCTCGAAGTTGACCACTCAGCCACTCACGAGTAGATGCTGTGAGTGTAAGGACCAGTTCCAATGAAACGCCAGTTCTACAGATCCGATTGGTCTGGAACTCACAGAATTTTTATTTCTAAGCTTTAGAGGAGATTTCCCAGAGTTTCGGACCGACCGGATGTGTATCAGGTTTCTGAACTCTTTAGAAGGTTTCTGAAGGTTCCAACCGGGGTCCAGGTAAGGGGGTCCAACCGGGGTCCAGTGTAAACTAGGCTAGACCAGCCCAGGCCGGAGCCGGCCATAAGTCACAAAAATTCTTTAATGGATATGAAACAATTGCAGAATGGATGTACCTGTAATAAAATTTGATTTAGTGAATGTTTTTATGCATTAATGGGCAAGAAAGTCTGATTTTTCGACAATTTTTTGTATTTCTTTCGTATATTTCGAAGTTGGATCTAGTTTTCGCTGTACTGTAAACCTGAGTACAAGTCCCTGGGCCCGTCAGATGCCACACCTGGGCCTTTTTCTGCCATTCCCTTTAACTTCGACACAATTTCATAAAAGCTACCGTAGGCAGAATTTGCGTTTAAAATTAGCCGTTTTTCTGCAAAATATTCAGTATTAACCCATTGGAAACCGGAGCGTTTTTCTTTTTTTTTTCGTCTGCGGACCGCGCCCTTTTTTGAAATTTTTCCGCTGCAGCGGTCCGTTCCCGCAGTTTTTTTGTTGACATTTCATTTTATATTATTTCTGATAGTTTTTATATATTGTGCAGAAAAATAGCTCTTTTCTGTGAAATCTTATTTGATGTTTTGATTTTGAATATCTCTGATTCACTTGTCCTTCCTCTAAAGATCGTTTGTGTGATAAAAAGGGACGGAGTCCACTTTGTATTGCTTTTCTTTGGCTTTGAAACACTGAACCAACGATTGATGAAATTCTTGGGGCTAGTTAAAGAACACAAGTTGGTGCTCGTTTGTTCAATTACGGCTTGTTCAATTATTAGACCAACAGGCTTTTTAGTGTATTAGGCTGTTCAGAAAGTCTTTTCATTCCTTTTCGTATTTTTGCTGAATTATTCCAAAAGGACTTTCTTCCCACGTTTGCTCTTTTTTGCAAAAAATTTGTATACAACATATAAAATTTATTTGGAACAACAAAAAACGAGATCAATGTAGGCAAAGTTAAAATACAGAAAAAAAAAATAGTATGAGCAAGGAAAGATCACCAACAACACTAGCGACTAGAGATTTTTGTTGATACCAAAAAAAACGCTTAAAAATATTGCACAACAAAAGAAATTTAGGTTAAAAAACCATACAGATTATTCGGACTTTGGATGTGAAGGATCGACTGGAATTGATGCTGCACGTTCTTCACCTTCCGATTCTTTCCATTTGTGTTCCACTGAACTCGTTTCCTCCTCATCCGAGAATTCACTTTCTGGGTAAGCATCTTCTCCAAAAAAGTTATATAATTAACAAAAATGAATAAGCCAATATTTTTACCTATCTACGGCAAAATCGGCAGAACAAATCGAGTAAGTAATAATCGAAAGAAAGGCAGTTGGAACACCAAATAAGCATGTGGAAAGCAATAGCTGCGTGACAAACATCTGATGAACGTCCCTAAAATCGACCTTTAAACTCGCCCCAAAATACGATTTTCAGCGTTACTCAACAAACGGTTCATAGACTTTCAATTCTGATTTGGCAGGCCATACCTTCGAACTGCGATCAAATAATGCCCCAATAAAGAGTCCGAAATTCCACTAGGACTCAAGTTACGAGTTTCCATACGGCACGAACACCACTCAAACAATACGGTTCCAATACGGTTCGCAATACGGTTCCAATACGGGTTTCCAATACACGGTTCCTATTATGAAACAAATACAAAGTTCCAATACGGTTCCAATACAGTTTAATACAGTTCCCATTACGGTTCCTATTATGAAACAAATATCCAATACGGTTCCAATACGGTTCCAATACGAGTTTCCAAATCACGGTTCCAGTACGGCCCCAATAGCGAGCGTCCAGCACGTGTGCCGGTTCCGTTTCTATACCTTTCAATATTGTTCCGATCATCATTTCTATTCGATTTCCCAATACGGCTTTTGAT